GGTAAGTAGAAAGACAAAAAAAAATATGGAAGTACACAATAATCCAGTCTCTAGTTACATGGTTTGGCAGAGTTTGAGGCACTTGAATGTAAATAGAGAGGTTGTATTGAGCATATAAATGAACAATATTGGAAGTTTATTAGGAAATAATTTTGTAATTAGGATAGAGTTTGTTTAGGTAGATATTTTCAAGCATTTCTCTTGCAAAAGGAAAGTGTGCCAAAGGAACCATGCGAATGGTAGAATACCGACACAAATTTCCAACAGTCGTCGGATAATATTATTCTTGTTAGAATCAATTTACTTCCTGAAACTTCATTTGTGCGCAGAACTTAGTGAAGAGGGCTGAATATTACAGCATCTTGTAACAATGCTATTGGTTCTCTCACTTAAATTATTTTGTTTATCATGTTTCAAGATATATTTTTGTTATAGGTGTTTGGTATTATTGTGTATAAATTCAAGATATAAATGTGATCTGTTGCTAACAATATTTTTGTTTAACCTGTATTCATAGATTTAAGTGCATATATTGGCTATTTTCAGTGCGTAGATTGTCAATTTCAAGTGCTTGATTGCAAGCATATTTTAAACTTTTTAATGCGTGAAGTTCTGGGGTGCATGAAGTGGACAATTAACCGAGATACCTTTTAGACCTAAAATATGAACATACATTGCAAATGATATGTATACCTGATGATGGGTTGAAAACTTCACCAGAAACATTGTTATATAAACAATGCTATATAGTTTTAAATGTATTGTGCTAAAATTTGCTAAAAAATGCTAAAATTTTTAATTAATATTAAAAAAAAATAGATGTATTGTGATCATTTACTCAACATGAATGACTGTTTACAAGAAAAAAAATTGGACAGAAATTGTGATGTATAAAACACTGTCGGTAGTATTTTGTATTTTCAAATACATTTTAAAATACTACTTTGTATCTAAAATACTTTTATGGAAGTATTTTGTATTTGAAATTCATTTTCCAAGTATTTTGCCCAACCGTGCTTATGAACCCTTTTAAAATTAATTTTTAGTTAAAAAACAGAAACACGGAATATTTTTATAATTTTATTGAGTTACTTTTACATTGATTTAATACTCTCAAATAAGATCTTTTGTACTACAACTACATACTTGCTACAGGATTAATGTGATGAGCTCATCACATTAATACTGTAGTACATACACATTAATGCAATCTATACTTTAATGAGTTTTTAACGAAGCAATAAACTAAAAGAACACTTCTCCAACACTCTTCTATTTACAGGAGCAAAAGCATTTAATGCATCTTTAACTGGGTCCAAGCAACCCAAGCAATAATATTTAATATACTAGAATCTGAGATGGACACTTTCGTTGTAATTGGCTCAATTTCTAACAAAATATTTTATGTCTTTTATAAAACATAAAATTCATTACTCGTTTATTCATTGGGGCCCTTTTGCATCCCTCTTTATACAGTTTGAATCACATGAATAATAATTTGCTTATGTGTACAAAATAAATTGCATTTTTTATTACTACAGCTCTTTGTTCAAATAATTAACACATTTTGAAACTTTCTACAAACACTGAATGGTGCAAGAATGTTTTATCTCTACTCTTAAAATCATTGCTTTGAAAGTGGGAAAAATTTCCATATTTCAGCCGTTTAATTCTCATGATTCCTTTCATTAAAATGGTTTGAATAACCAAGAATGTTAAACAATTATAAAAGTACATGAACAATATCTATATAGCTTATGACACAATGCTTACTTCATGTAACCCAATTCTTACTAGCTGCTCACACGAAACTAGAAGAGTCACAATCGAAATAAAGTAAACCCAAGAGATTCAAATAATGAGAGTCCATATGATTTTGAGATTCAGATTAATGAGGATAATGAAATTTCAGACAGTGAACATTTCTAATGTCTTCCTCTTCAATGTTTGTTTTTAAATTTGGAACTAGCATTTTTCAAAAGTGAATAAACATCAAGATATGCCAAATGTTAACCTACTACTACTTTTACAACTGAGTAATATATTTAAACCCAATACTAACCATTTTCAGGAAAAACAAAATAACTACTTTAAGAGGACTGACTTGATCATGTCTTTCCTTAGAGTTCCGAAGAGTTGATTTAATCTGAAGAAATAGTAATGATTCAGGAATGTAATTATTTGACATATTTCAAATTAAATTTGACAGTTTCATAACAAGCAGAGGCACATTTAGAGGAAAAACCGTTTTATTTTGTTTGAGCTAAACCAATACCACTACCAAAGTATGTAATTTGTTGAATAATACTTGTTGCTTATAGAGTATGTTACTTGTTGAATAACCATTACATAAAAATAGAAGCGTATTTTAAGCTCATAACTTTTACAAATAATTAACAATACCTATATAAGAAAACTGTATCCTCTCAGCACCAGTAGAATCTGCACCCAGAGCCTGATTCAGACCTGAAAACTGAAAAAGGCTTGAACTCAGACCAGGGAGCAGTATCGGTCCCAGGGCCCAACCTACATCCAGAAACATGTTCAGACCGGGGCCCAACCAACACCTGATAAATGCAGTACCAGAGCTCATCACACACCTGGGTGAATATTTCATCCCATGTTCTAACCCGCACCGGGAAGCTGATCCGATTTTCGCCAGACCCTTGCCTGAACTAGACTACAATAGAGGCCCAGCTGACATGGGATCAGGGATCTGAGGGTGCTCAACAAGCCTTGACCTCAATAAGATCCAATCTCCGTTCCCATCTCGGAGTCTAAACCCGAACCCTTTCAAAGCCCCAAGGTCTGCCCTGGCCCCACGGCTCTACCCGGCTCCCAGATTGGTCCCGGTCCTTTGGCTCAACTTACCATCGAGGCTCACCTCAGCCCCGCCTCGGTTGGGCCACAAGGTCCGACCCCGTCTTACCCCCGAGCCCCGTCCCGGCCCAAGTCAGATCCGACCGCTTGGCCAGCCCCAGCCCAAAGGTCCGCCCTAGCCCCCATGGTCCGGCCTCGGCCCTATGGGCCAGTTCCAGCCCCTGGGTCCCAACTGGCACCAAGGCCCGCCTAGGGCTGTTCCCCGTCGAAGAGGCGGCGCACCTCGTGGGTCCAGGCGATGCGGCGCGGGGTGCGTCCGTGGGCGTCGACGGCGTCGACGCGGGCGCCGGCGGCCAGCAGCGCCCGCGCCGCCGGCGCCGAGCCCCAGCGGGCGGCGCAGTGCAGCGGCGTCTGGCCCGAGCGGTCGGCGCAGTTGGGGTCGGCGCCGCCGCCCACCAGCAGCCGCACCGTCTCGCCCGTGCGCTCCTCGCACACGGCCAAGTGCAGCGCGCAGTTGCCGTGGCAGTCGCGCGCGCGCGGGTCGGCGCCGCGCTCCAGCAGAAGCAACAGGGCCTGCGCCCACCACGCCCACTATTTTCATACATTTCCCCCAATACATGAACAATGCATCTCCCCCTGCAAAAGAAATAACATATAGAGGTTGGTTTGGATTAGATTAATTGATTCCGGGCGCGTCAATTGGTAAGGTGTCATTAGTTCCGTAAACGTACAACATATTTTCCTCGGGAGGTGGATCTTCCTCCATGGGATGGTGAGATTCGGCTCGACCTACACGTCGGCTAGCGAGATTTTCCTCGACTAGGAACTACACTTCTCCCCAGCCGGGACATGCTCTAAGATCCCGACCTGTGTGGTAGTGTAGTGCTTGTGTGTGTAAGAGCGTGTTTAGGAGGTCAGGATAAACAAGGAAGAGGAAGGGAAGATCGCGCGGGGTTCGTGGCCCGTTTGATAGTGTACTGCTCCGGGATTCGCCTGGTGCGATTGGAAAAATCTCGGAAAGCCACCCATCACAGCAGGCGGTCGCTAAATTCTGATCCAGTCATCGGTTGAATTCGACCACCCCGGCAGGTAAACTAAAAGAAAATATGAAAAACCAGGTTTAAAAGTTACATCTCGTTGTGACATGAAGTTTCTAATTACTTGGAATTACCAAATTAGTATTTAAGAAATATGTTTTTTACTGATACAGATTTAAAGTACACGCCTCACAGTATCGAATCCATAGGATTCCGGTGCTCGAGAGAGTAAAACTATTTATATCAAAGAGAAAACTGAGAACGAGGAGAGGGAGAGAGAGAGAGATAAAAGGAAGATGTAAAGAAGAGAGAGAGAGATTAAAGAAGAATGCAGAGTAGAAAGACGAGAGAGAGCAGAAAAAGGAGAAGGAAAAAAGAAGAGAAAAGAAAGAGCAAGGAAAGAGTAGACGAGATAAAGAGACAATGCAGAGAGAAGAAATGGAAAGAGAGAACGAGAGAGAGAGAAGAAAGCAAGAGAGAGAAACCGAGGAGAGAGAAAAGAAAGAACAGAGACAGAGAAAGAAAAAAGAGAGAAAGAAAGAAATAGAGAGAGAAGAAAGAAAAGAGAAGAAAAGAGAGAAAAGAAGAGAGAGGAGAAAGAGAGGAGAGAAAGAAAGAGAGAGAAAAGAAAAAAGGACGAAGAGACAAAGAGAAAGAGCAGAGAGAGGAAGAAAGAAGAGAAGAGAGGAGAAAGAAGAGAGAGAAGAGGAGAAAGAAAGAGAGAGAGAGAGAAAGAAAGAGAGAGAGAGTAGAAAGAGAGAGAGAGAGAGAGAAAAGAGAAGAAGAAAGAGAGAAAAAGAAGAGAGAGAAAGAAAGAACGAGGAGAGAAAGAAAGAGAGAGAAAAGAAGAGAAAAGACGAGAGAAGAGAAGAGAAAACGAGAGCAGCAGAAGAAAGCAGAAGAGAAAGAAAGAGGAGAGAAGAGAAAGAAAGAGAAGAAAAAGAAGAGAAGAAGAAAGAGAGAGAGAAAGAAGAGAGAGAAAGAGAGAAGAGAGAGAGAGAAAGAGACGAGAGAAAGAAGAGAGAGAAAGAAAGAGAGAGAGAAAAGACGAGAGAGAAAAGAGAAGATGAAAGAGAAGAGAAAAGAGAGACGAGAAAGAGAGAGAAAGAAAGAGAGAGAGAAAGAAAGAGAGAGAGAGAGAAAGAGAGAGAGAAAGGTGTGTGTGTGAGAGAGAGAGAAAGGTGAGAAAGAGAAAGGTGAGAAAGAGAAAATCAGAGAAAGACACAGACGGGGAGAAACAGTACAGGGACGGTGAGAGAGGGGGAAGAAGAAAAAGACAGATGGACGGCCGGACGCCGGGGTCAGTTAGCATTTTTATAAAATGTTTCCTTTTTACGACCTAAAAGAATGGTGACCTAAAAGAAGAATGGAAATTTATGTAACTTTTCGACTGCATGTTTTGTACTATGTTCTCTTCATAAATTAATCTAAAGGAATTCTTGATGTTAATTTCAGAGAGTTGGCAATTTTTCAGACAGTAAACAACGGACATAAATGTACTAATAAATAATTATCCTAATTTTTCGCTTGACCAAATTCGCCCGACCCAATTTGCTTTATTTCATGACATACGCACCAAAATATCTCATCCAACACACCGAACATGAGTTCTGCAAGACAATACAAAGAATGATTCAAGCTCTGTTCAGCAATCACATCTTGCGAATTGCCCATACCGGTTGTTACTTTACTTAACTCTTTTGTGATCAGTTTTGGATGCAAGAAACATAATTTTTCTTGTCTACATTTTTTTTAATGTCTGGTCAAATCATTTTGTAACCTAATTTACGTGCATAAAACGTTACCTTACAGGCCTAACAGTGCCTAATTTTATATTTCTGTTACCTGCTTTAAGTACCTAAATCAGTTTTTTGGCACATTGTCCCAAGGACTCTCGGTAACGTATCACTAACAGCGCCTACTAACTCCGACGGCGATCAGCACCTGGTTGCGGTTGTAGCGCGCGCCCATCATGAGCGGCGTCCAGCCGTCGCCGCGCCTGAAGTTGGGGTCGGCGCCGGCGTCCAACAGCTCCCGCACGCGCTCCGGAGTCCCGTCCTGCATGGCCTCCAGCAGCTGGCGCCCCAGCAGCTGGGCGGCGGGGTCGAGGGCAGCGACGGCGGGGCGAGCGGGGGCGGGTGCGGGATCGGCCACGTCCTCCCCGTCGCACGCGCGTCCCACAGAGTCCCGCTCCAACTGCGACAGCAGCGCCTCCACGCGGGGGAACATGGTATGCAGGGCCGTGGCCACCGCCGCCTCCAGCTTGCTCAGGCGCTCCGCCACGCCAGGCGACACAGGCTCCTGCTGCGCCTGGACAGCGAAATACACACGTTCCCTACAGAGTCTGCGTGTAAGTACTCCCTATGATATGGTGTTTCATAAAAGACATGCGAATGGAAGAAACGGGATGAAAGAGAACGAAACAGCATGCCAAAGGACAAAAGGTTGCGAAAGGACGAAACGGGATGCGAAAAACGTCTGGATGAGAAAGGATGAAAAGGACTGCGAATATATGGAAACGGACTGCGAAGGACCGAAATGGCCTGCGAAGGACCGAAATGGCCTGCGAAGGACCGAAATGGCCAGCGAAGGACCGAAATGGCCAGCGAAGGACCGAAATGGCCTGCGAAGGACCGAAATGGCCTGCGAAGGACCGAAATGGCCTGCGAATGACCGAAATGGCCTGCGAAGGACCGAAATGACCTGCGAAGGACCGAGAAGGCCTGCGACGGGATCAAAAGAACTGCGACGAACGTAAAGGGATGCGAACGGACGAAAAGGGATTGATGGAACTCTGTAATGCACTAGTGAATCTTAAAATAATATTACTTATAATATGCTATTTAATGAGCATTGTTTTCCCACACTTTCCCACAAAACAAATATTTTTTCACATTACACATCTACTACGTTCATTCATATAGTTTGTATTGTTCGAAAGTAAATTAGCTGATAACACGACTGGATTGGTGTGGAAGAAATTACTATCAGTTGTGGAGATCAAAGTTGTCGTTTCTCACCTGACCGTCGGTGATGGCTGTCGCAGAGGCCTCTTGGGCCACCTCTCCAACGGTCACCGGCAGCCCGCTCCCCGACGCCTGCACGAAAACAAACTTTACCAAATACTTCTCCAATGACAGATTAACCTTTTTATCTACTTGTCGAATTATCTTGTTATGAAATTAAAATAGAATTTGGTACAAGAGTTTCAACTAGTAAGAGAACGAACAATTGCGTAATGTAATAAGTTGCCATGAAGGCGAAGGGAAGACGCTGGTTAGAGTTCGTAAGGGATGGCTGCATGACGATTCGGAGGCTTCAAGTAAAATGCTTGTTCAAATACCCAATTGAAGTTTCTTCAAGTGATTAGAAGATTGGCGAAATGATGGGGAAGGTACTAGTTATAATTAATCCGTGGTACAAGAATTCAGGACAAAATATCCGCGAACGCGGAGCTGATAACAGTTTGCCGACTGATTAGCCAACCAAAACTTTCGAACAATATATTTCCTTTTTGTGGCAACTTCAAGTGTTGTATTTGAATCGTCAAGAGTGAGGAGAACGGACAGCGGGGTTAAGTAAGTGGAAAGCTAGGGCAGCTGACATTATTGGAAATACCCATAATCGCGCGGCCTACGGGAGCTGTTGCGGGAAGTAGTTCATTGACACGTAACATACCTATTTTGTTCAACGCTCGCTTACAATATAAAAATCTTTACAATGTCTCATGAATGCCCTTCTCCGATGCCGCTACCACACTCGCCTCTCATCAGCTCACTGACCTTCACCGTCACCCCATCCTTGCCACCTCGAGCATCCCCTATTTTCCTGCGCTTCAGACCCCGCTTCCCGTACCCGCCGTAGTGTCAGCAGTCAAGCAGTCTTAAACATTGATTTTTGGCCGATGTTATTTGAACATCGATGTTTAGTTACATCGACGTTTTGTAACCCATGTCTCATTTCTAGTACGTACCGCGTGCTCGCCGCTGGCGGAGGCTGCGCCGACCCTTTCTTCCAACGCGCGCAGGCGTTCGTCGAGTTGGCGCAGCCGCTCCTGCACCGCCTGCTCGTGCTGGCGCAGCTCGCGCCGCATCTGCTGGAGCGCGGCCTGCTGGAAGGCCTGGGCGGCTTCGCTGCAACCGCCCTCCCCGTCCACCTCCGCCGCGGCCTCTTCCGCTGGCGATGCCATCCTACATACTGCGGGAGAAAAATTAGTTAAAAAATTAGACTTGCACCCTGAGTAGCTCCCGAATGTAACGTATCCTTCGCCGTCGATACTCTACACTGCGGACGAAAAATTGTAAGAATTAAAAAAAAATCAGACTTAACCCTGAATAGCTCCCGATCGTAACGAAGTTTGACCTCCTCCACCGTCGTTGCGGATGAAAAATTAGTGTTAAAAAAATCAGATTTGAATCCTGAATAGCTTCCTATTGTAATGAATTAAGGAAACAGTTTTTCTCACGAAAAACTCATTGACATATTCGCTGCCCCCTCCCCGTATTACAGTACAAAAGCTCAACATTTTATTACCAATGCACAACAATTAAGACTGAAAACGAACCCCCTCTGGTTAGGGCGTTATTTCGTCATAAACAGACGACCAGACGCATCCAGCTTTTCGGTATCAAGGGCTTAACGTGCATTTGTATTCTCGTGTATGTGGTAAGATGAGAAAGCAAACATCAATTTACAGTGTTAACCATCACCAAAAACATATATGATGCAGGACAACTAATTTTACCACGTCAAAAGTTACTAGTTTCAGTCCTGACTGGGATCACACATGCAGGCCCAATTGTCTTCTGTTCCACCAGAAGTCCATGTAAAAGTTCTATATTTCAACAAATAGTGATCTTATGACGTTTCAATATTTAAAAAAGCAAACAAATTCGATTCCCCCCCCCCTTCCATATTTCTGTAAATTTTAAAATCAACTAAGACTCGCTGTCAATATAATTTACGACGCTTGAAGATGAGACAAAATACTAAGTTTCAAAACCTTGAGAAAAAAGGGAACAGAAGTATGTGAATGAGTATTTTTGTAACTTAACATTTCAAAAAAGGAGAAAAAATAGGGTTTATGTCTATCGTTAAAAGAGCTGAAAAAAAAAAAAAACACCAAATGTAATTTACCTCTTTATCCAGAACACTTCAGTTACACGAGGAGGAGTTACTCTATGAAGGGACCAATTTGGCAGATCGAGAAACAAATTAACGTCATGCAGGGTGATGGCGTTGCAATACATAGTGGTGAAGACATTTACAGTTGAGCTAACTGTTAACAAATGCACTGACAAAATGAGTGCACGGACAGTTATATTGCCAGCACTGGCCAAGCAGTACCTGCCAAAGCGGTCCCTTTTGATAGTAATCTCTCTATATCTTATAAAATCAATAGTAACTCATTTTAATTTGCGAAATTAAGAGTTTATTACTTTTTGATATTTGTAATTGATGTTTTTATTGATCAATACTTCGAAATTAAGTTCATAAACTTTTTGATTCTTTCCTATTCTATTCTAAAGTACAAGGCAGCACAATAATTATCAAGATAGGTTCAAAATATTTAAAGTAATACTAGAAATTAATATTCAAAAACTGGAAGCTCTGTCTCAATGATGGCCCCAGCCTTCAAATTAGGGGCATGCACATTTATAAAGGGATATAAATAAATTTATAAGGGGTTCAATGGAAATGATAGCATGTTCTGTGTCTACACAGGTTCTAATCAACACCTTATCATTTGCAAATATACTAGACTGATAGGTTTAAATAAATGCATTACCTATCCATCCCATAAAATATCTTTACTTTTGCAAACATTCATATTATCTGACGATTTCAATTTACTTGTCTGAACATACTTCTGGAAAACATCAATAATTCTCAATAAGAGAAAAACTTTACAAATGAATTTAGAATGTTTTCATTTATTTCCAATTAGCATTTTAAAAAATTAATAAGAATCTATTACACTTAAATCTTACTAATCAATTTAGCAGATTTGGATTGTTTAGAAAAGGCTAGAAATTTAACCCCCAGAAGAAAACGGATTTTGGAGAAAAATATATTAAATCAACATCAATCACCGAACGTAGCCATAAAGTTGAACAATTTATTTAAGAAAAAATAACTCAAAATTTTTAACAGATAGAAGAGAAACTGTAGAAATTTTTCTATACTTACAAATCAACAGGTATTTACAGGGAAAAACGAACTGTTAACACAGCTTGTCACTTCTGTATCATCAAAGATTATGTTTACGCCCAATTTCTGGCAACCGTTTTGCACTGAATTATGACATGACACGAATTAGTTATTAAATAAACACTAATTGCATGTTGCAACTATCACACGCTGCCGGCAGCATCACGTTGGTTTGACAGAATAATCCAGGAGAGGAAATTAACCACATGACGTCGCGTTTCTTTTCTTTTCTTTTCTTTTGGTAGGTTCGCCACTTGCATGTTCAAGGAACCAGCACAGAATAAAGAGAGTTCAGCATGACGTCACGAGGGCAGGACAGTGTTGGCAAGTTCTGGTTTGCGCGTAAGCGATTTCTACTAGAGAATTATTCCGTTTTGGCTGTAATATGCGGTTACCGAGGTTGTGTTTCTTATTACTTTAATTATTTAAAATGATATTTGCCTTCTTTCGATTTGTTTAGGTTCTGGCTGCACATGAAGTTCACAAATTTAAATTAAAGGAACATAATTTATCAGAAATAAATCACGTCACTACCATTTCATTTTGAAAACTGTTTGAAGTAAAATATTATCACGACCTTAGTGATGATGCTAAGAAGCTAATTTATAATAAAATTAAATGTATGAAACATTTAGATGTATGTGCCCAATCATCGGATATGAAGTGCCAACGAAACACGGGCCCCTGTGCTATTCGAGTAAAAGTGACTCATTTCGAATATTTCTTTTATAAACTGTCTGCTTTTTAAATATTTATTTTATAAAGCTGTATTAATTATTTTATTTGAGGGAAATACTACCTACATTAAACTTTAATAATCGTTCGAAAAAATCTAGGATTTCATAAGTAGTCTCAAGAAAGTTCTCAAGACACAGAAGGACGAGCTTAACATCAACTCGTCGACGCAGGGAGGGACTCTCCTGCCATCAGCCGGTGGACCACACGCTTGTTATGGTCATCTCTCGGCACTTATGACAATTCGCTCTACTGAGAGTAAACTTACGGACAATATAGTTAAACTGTATCTTCCAACCAAAATGTCGACTTCATCTGGAATTTATTTATTCCGTTTCGCGGACGTTGTAAAGAACCGGAAAATACGGAATAATATTCTGGGGAAATTCCCCAGAAAGTATTCGCACTTTCATCATCCAAAAACGAATATTGAGAACAATGACAAATACTCACAAACGCGAGACCTGCAAACCACTGTTCAAAAAATTACAAATACTACCACTCCCATGTATGTACATATTTGAAATATTAATCTTCACAATGAAGATACTTATGGGAAACAAGGATTCTGTTACTCTGAACACAGAAGTTCATAATTATGATACTAGACAAAAAAGAAATCTGCACGATCCACACAGTGAAACTTTAATCTTTCAAAGAAGTACCCTTATAGAAGGCAAGATCTTTTTAAAATAAATGTGTCTCCGCCACTTCGACGGACGACGATTAATCAATCCAATTAGCCTATTATTTAACAAAAGCAAGTATGCGCATCACTTCAACTCAGAGCAACCCGCGCCTTCGAAATTCTCTACAGTCGGAGCAGGAGACCAGATTAGTATTTACTGCGGTTGGCGCCCACAAATAAAAATTCAGGGCAGGCTGCCCGAGCTCTGACGCAGCAATGCACGCACAACGCATGATTTGATACTCAGTGAGACAGCCAGGTGATTCATCACTTGTTTTGTCGCCTCTTATGGTACCCTGTGAGACCTGATGATCTGCAAAATATCACGGTCAATGACATCAAATACTTTCTAAATATGTCGATAGGCGCTTCATTTTGATCCAGTGATAAAGCAACATTTTTATGAAAAGGGAATAATGTTTCAGCAAATACTGATTTTCTAAATCCAGGTTAACAATTTGACGTTTCGTTTTTCCAAAGTTAGGCTTCTATTCGTTCATTGAAATCTCAGTTTCGAGAGAAAAAAAGAAGACTCACAGGGGAGGAATGGCAAAGAGAAATTGACAGATAATCTTGAACTTCATTTCTGATGTTCTTTTTGAACAGCGGCTTAATTAGTAGTTCCAAAAATTATCCCGAAATTTACGGTACACAAGGATGCATTGAGTATAGTCAAAGGCTGAGAAATGCTATATGCAATCATCGGCCAATATTAACAAAAGTTCTGGGAGAAAAAGCCCAAAATCACATCAAAAAAACAACTTATGCTTTCTCAACCTTCAATCTGATTTTAGAGGAGGATGAACACAGTTTTATTTCAGGTAACTGAAGACATGAGAAAAGTTCTGGATGGCCTTATATTTCAGTAAAGCATTTAACTCTCTAGATCACGATGCAATATTTAACAAAATGCAAAAACCTAAGCTTCACTGATTCCATTGTTTTGGATTGCAAACTACCTTCACAACAGGCAACTAATTGTAAAACACAAAATTCTTTCTCAAATCTATCTCAAAAATCACTCATCAGTGTACCTTAGGGATATGTGTTAGGGTCTACTCCTTATATATGCAAATGCCCCATTGTGCAAAATCAATGCAGTAATCATAACAGCCCATGAATTTACATGCCTGCTATGAGAAACCAGCTATGTAGCATTATTGTTATATAAATTAAATGAAGATCAGGCCTATTCAGTCAAATGGTCAATGACAAACTTCTTCGATTTGAATCCATTAAAATTACAAACCATAATAATTGGTTTCTCACAAATGCTGTGCTTACTGTTAGAGTGCTTCATCATTAACAGGTTAAATATTTGTGTTTACACTTAGTAGCAAGTTCAGAATTTCGTAACAAGCAAAGATCCCAGATTTTCTTCCCCTTTAGTTTATAACGACAATAAATTGAAATGAATATTTTAAAAGCATTTGCATTGTTGTGCTATTAAGACATCAATGTTTTTCCTTTAGGACTGTCAAGTTTATTTATTAAACTATGGTCTTGTTCTCAATTCGAAATATTCCCCTTCCATTGATCACACTACACTGCAAAAGTGTGCATTAAAAGTCAATAAAAAGTGCTCTATTCAGTTGTAAGATTCTGTGTGGCTTGCTTAAAACTTTTAATCCAATTATTTTCAATAAATCTTTTTTCTAATTTTATAAAATTCACAGAATAGAGATAAGTTAACCAAAATTAATATAATGTTTTGTTTTTTTTGTTTATTTTCTAAATTTTACCAAGTACTGAAGTGACATTCCATGCTAGGGCATGGTACACAACTTTATTTTGATATATACATGTACCCCTATTATGTACAAAATTTTGAGTAAAAAGTAAATATTATTTAGAAAATTTATCAAGCTTGCATTACAGATATTTTTGAAAAACAATACATGTCTACATTGATAATTTAGAATGCTTGTCTCAGTAGTGACCAAATGAAGTATAACAGTTGTGTGGAGCATCACAGAAATATTCAAGTTTAAGAGATTCTGCAAAAGAGCAGAATAAGCTGAAAGAATACGTCATAACTTCCAGGGAAAGCAGTGTGTGTTACACACTAATACAGTAATTTGAACTGGATAAAAAAGGTTTCTTCGTTACAAAAATTAATAATGGATACTTCCAAACTTGGGTCAAGATCTTGTAACTTAAGACAATACACATTCAAACTGTCACAACTGTTCTTGTGAGAATCAACCATTAGCAATTTCTAGGTAACAAAATTATACATGCATAAGAAAAAGAAAACAATGGGCATCTACAGATAAATTAAAACATATATTTCTAATACAATATGATCAATTATTCCAATCTACACTACATACAAAAGATAACACAACATTCAAAAAATAATTCCTCCCCAACTCATTTTTTATATACAAACAGTGCAAAATGTCATATCTAAGTTGATGATATAAATCATGCAAATACAATAATGATACTACTGACCGCTGGATTACAGGTACCAATACAAAATAAATACAAGGATGACCTTTATGGAAACTATGAATAATCAATGCTTAAAGAATCGGATGCTGGAGGTTTTCTGAAATCTAATTTAAAAAACAAAATTATTTCATTTGTAGACACTTCTTATCTATACAGTAAAATTCACTTCACTGACATACTTTTTTAATCTTTGCAGTTTGGAACAGATCAAACTGCCCTGCAAAATGTATTAACTAATACCAGTACTGGGAGAAGTACTCTTGTTACATACAGGAACCCTTCTGTATTTATTTTGAGATATATATTCCTGTTTCAATGTGAAACTGGATTTAGTTAAAATATTGTTTGATTTTTTTCTCAGTTACAAACTTGTGGTTATGAGACATCTCATTTAACTTAGTTCCAATTTTAATGTATTTCACAAGACAATACTGAAACTTTTGGCTTTGTTATTCATGTTACATGCGTAAACACAAAAGAAAAATAGTCCTCATGTACACCGTTTATCCTTTTGTCATATTTTCTAATATAAGAAACTTGTTATTGATTGGAGCAAATAATATATTGGCCCATGTGTTTTAAAGCATATTCTTAGATTTTTCATGGTGTTGAGATTACTACGAGCATTGCACAATGCTAATTAATAATAATGTAACTTTATTCGACTCAGTCTGTTTAAGTAACTACCATAATTACCCAAATATAAGACAAGGCTTCTTCCCAAGTATCTAGTTTGAAAATTAGGGGCTACAAGGCAGATTAACCCTTGTGGGATGGAATTTGTTTTTAAACTGTCTTTCGTTATCACGAAACTAATGTTGACATAACAATATGCTGCAAAGGTTATAAATATCACTGCATCTGTAATTCCTAATTATATTCACAGACTTTATTTATTCTAATTTTGACATCAAGCAAGAGTTTGCTGGGCAATTCAGATCAATATTTTTTAATGGATTGATAAAAAAAAATCTCAAATGAATATCATTGTAGTAAGAAAAACAATGTTAAAATGTAGTGTTGCCAAAATTATTGTTACACAATGTTCAACGAGTTCGGATGAACTCTGTTCCAGCGCACGGCAAATGCTAATCTGTGTTTTACAAAAGACAGAGAAAAACAATAATAGTAATAATAAAAATAAAAAAGAAGATTAGTATAACAGGGCATGGACATGCACAAGGGAAAAAATCTAGCAACACAGGAAATGTTCTTAGGTGGCGTTCAATTGGACTGCCAGAACACTAATTGAAAGGGCAAAACATTTAGGGAGTGTATGTGAAAAAGTCAAGATGGTGATGCAGTATGGGAGGAAGACGAGAAAGAAAGAAACAATGGTGCACGCAAAGATGATTATTTTAAGGAACAACAAAAGTGATAGCTAAATGATTATGTTGTAGCATTCTCAAGACAATTTTCTAGTCAATTGGACAATTTGTGATTTTATCTCAATAATAAAAATTTGTTACAAAATTCTCAGGAGGCCTCTTCAAATTCAGGGGTCACCATAGATTCAGTCATCTTTCATTTGGGTAAATATGATACTATAATCAATTTCAACCAAGATATTCGGTATATAATTGTCATGAAAACTTGCACTGCTTTTGTTTTCATAATTGACACTGCGTTTATCATTTTGTGATGACAGATTAAAACATTTATCTCTAACAACCAACATCCAGTTATTTAGTTGTAAAGGAAGTACACAAACAATTGTTAACAAAAAGTTTGATGTAGAATCATCATTACTGAAGGCTCAGCACTTTATAACTGGCTGTTTTTCACAATCCAGAAAATTTCAGGTTGTCCCTTCTGCATGCAAAGAAAACTTGTAAATTATGAGACAGTGATCCTGCCATCTTTACATGACAACTGGCAGAAAGAATCGTCTTTATCATTTAGCACTATCATTGTCATTCAAGAAATCTGTTCAGGGTTACAGATTCCATGTACCAAAATACCATTTAATATTTAACATTTCACTTTAAAATTCAAATTTTCATCATTTAGGTTCAGTAACTGAAAACCACGGCCATTATTTAGGAAGTGGATGATAGCCATTTTTCAAGAGTTCAAAATATAATTGTATGCACATTAAAATTCTATTTCACAGAGTAATCATCTTTAATCAATTCAAAATTTTTTTATTGAACAGAGGGCAGTCACTTTGAGAGAGGTTTAAGAGCACTTTCTTTGTATACCTTTTATTAAAAGAAAAATACAAATTTTGCAATTATACTCAACAGTGGCATTTCAAGGTGGACTGTGAGGGGGACAGTCATCCAATCGGGAGCTTTGTTACAACTTAAATTTTTGGTATTGGAGCTCCCGATTGGATAACAATGTCCCCATCTTCTTCCAGGTGTGACTTTGAAGTGCCACTAGGTTTAAATAGGAATTCATATCATTAGTTTCGAAGACTACAAATAAAAATGACATTTTTTGGTTAATCCAACATAACACATCAAATAGGTGAACTCTTTTGATGGGCAAACTATCAAGTGCATAACAACGTAAGTTTTCACAGCTGGTTTCAATGTTTAAATAGCTTTCCAGGCCGAAGATCATGGTCCAGTTGGATTCAGAATGATGACTGACTAATGGTATTAGTCAAATAATAGCTGACTAATAATATTAGTCAAACAGGCACCCACCAGAAAGGGTCTCCAACCACTGCCTCACTGCCACTGTTAAGGTCTTGTTGCAGATGAAACTTCCGAAAGCAGGAATCCAACTGGACCAAGTATCTACTAAGACTATCAGCCAGTAAGCACTTTAAATATCACAAGAATGTTTGCAACAAAGGTAGTTATAGACTGCCTCCACCCAAAATAACTTATGTTACGATCACTCTACTTTGTCTTGGTCACTCTGCTTTAAGACACAACGTAGGTTTTGTTTGGTGCGAGATTTTTTGACAAAGTATGTAAGTATTGGTAAAACAATCTTGACTCTTGAAAATTGCATAACCCAATGCAGTTCTAGGCCAAAGTACTTAAGATCAAGCTCTCATGCTTCACTTGCACAGTTCCATATTAGTATCAAGGCTTCAGCTTTTGGTCTCCATGACCCGTGTAAAACTATCTTCAGTCTCGCTAATGCATTTCATGCCAAAAAAATACATTATGCTGGTATGCTCCTACCCATGTCACAATGCTCACAAACAGAGTGGCCAAGTTCCGTCTCAAGATTGAATAGTAAGAATCTTGCATAGACTTTTCTCAAAAGTGACTTTTTGAGGTGTCAGTGTCTCCTTCGCAACCAAGGTTATCCATGGTAAGAAATACGATTCCTGTTCCTTACAAGTTCAATTCCATTACCAACATCTTTTCAATTTGTGAATCCCTTCCTTCACACCCCATCAAAGATACTGTTAATGTTTTTAGGAAAAGACTTTTCAAGCACAATAAAAAATCTATTCAACTCAAAATAAAACAAATGTGTACAAAAGATACAAACATGTAACAACATTTTTGTACAGTGAAATTGCAATGTACAATTAAAACATACACAACAATTAGGAGTTTCTCCCATCGCACATTTGAACCTACATAGGAATCAATACTTTGACAAAACAAAGGCAACATTTAATCTCACATTACTGGGAGGGACAGATTAAAGAAACACAAAGCAAATACCACAAATTAACATTCATCCTCATCCATGTATGTGTACAATAAATACACGACTGAACAATTAACACACAATTAAGCCCCATAACAATTCAAGTTACCTACAACAGGGAAAGAACTAAAAGGAGTCATTAACACTACAAATATCAATAGAAATGGTTATTTTAGAAGGAAAGTGTGAGAGGTCAGTAAAACCTTGTTAACCATTTACTTTTCACAGAGAATCTGAAAATCGGCAGTCATAAGCATTGGATTACAATATTGAATACACCTCAATGATGTTTGTAAACCAAAATTGTAGAACGACCTTTTCTTCTAGTTTGTTTTAGACGGTGTGATAGAACATATAATTGTGAGTGCAACTTAAGCTTTGTAAACCAAGAGGAACTAAGCTCAAGACTTGTCAGAGGCAGGATTTTTAACTACAGCCAAGTAACTGGGTCAAGGAGTGCCAATGGCTAGGTGAGAGAGGGATCAGCTGCTCTGATCAGTTATTTCCATGTTTTCTTCCCATCAATTCCATGCTGATGCCAAAGCAGTACCTTAGACAACGAGCCATGGCTTCATGCAATCTTTCCTTCCCTATTCTATTCTGAATTCGTTCCTCAGGGCTGATGATCTCACATCTGTATTTGGTCCACTCTCATGATCTACAAAGGCTCAGGAAGAACTGAGTTGGTATGTGGGCTTAAGGGTTACAGCACCACCGGAAAAAAAAACTTAAGTTATTTCACTTTATGGTGATAGGAGGAATGTGATCCATTTGCATAAGAAAAAGCTCACAGCTTTTAGAATTCTCACCATGAACTATATCTAAATCAAAAGCACAGTAAACTCATAGTCAACAATGAAAGAAACAAATAATGTTATAAAAACTCTGTACAGAGGAATGTTAATGATATATACAGTGATTTTTTCCTAGGTACCTGCTTTACCAGAATACCTGTTGACCAATTTTCATATTATTACATTCTTGCTTACACTTACATTGTATAGAGAATGTATTGTAACACTGCAACAGAAAATGGCAAGAAACCGTAAGAAGCATTTTACCCAAAACATATATTCCCTAATCAACTGGGCTCATGTCAATGTGCCTTGTACTGAAAATGGATATTTTTGATTTTGGGCAGTACTTTTCAGAAAGCCTCACGGGCGTTTTTAAACATGGCTTCAAATTTTTTTGTTTCAATTTTTTTTCTCAGAACAAAGGATGTTTATAAAAATGACAGGTATCATAAAAGTGTGTGACACCGATATAGGTAGTCGAATCTGATCATTTACACTTTTCCTTGAAACTTAACAATTGGTGCCAGAGGCATTGATTCTATGAGGTATTCCATAAATGTATTTGATGAAACAATAATTTTAGAGTATAATTACGCAAATACAAAACTTAATAGATTTATTTGACAACTGCCTGAAGTTAAATAAAATCTTCCTAGTAGGGATATTTTAGTTTTATGTGAAAACTTGGGTTGTCAGACGTGTATTTTCTTGAAAATCAGGTAAGCTTTATATATTTTTCTCTTGATCTCTCTACCATACCATAGCGTAACAGAATTCCTTAAAATTTTTTTGATCATTACTATAAGCTCTTTTGAAACCAATATATTGTCGGCTGAATCTGAATGGGAAAATACACGAAGAAAATTGGACCTGGAATGCCAATTTAGCGCAGTTTACCTAATTAATGCTGTTCCAGGCAGCTGACGAATGACCTCTGTTTCCCATTAAGGTAGAGGCGCATTCAGAAAGTTGTTCAGAGTAATCTAAATAGAATAGGAAGAACAGAAAAAATTATTTACTGACAATCAACCTGGAAAAGATTCATTTCATGGATTTTTGGAAAGGCACAAAGAAATAACTGCCTGACTCTATACAAATATAAAAAGGGTCAGGGTATGAGTTGTGCAAGCTAATATATGTGAATACTTTTCTAATTTGAAGGAGTCATTGATTCGAGTACCACTAGGCAATAATATCAATTACGATGAAACTGACTTTTCTGATGATCCAGGTCAAGTGAAGGTCTTCGTAAAATGTGGTTACAATCATCCAGAAAGAACCATTGATTCCCCCAAAACAAGCATTAGTGTTATGGTTGCTGCTTCAGAGGACAGCACACTGAATACCCCATACACGTTACAAAAGTAAGCTTTTGAATGATGGGAGGTATGCCAGAACCAGGCTACATAAAAATCTTAGCAGATAGTTTTATACATTTATGTTTGAGGCTTGTTTTTCTGACATACTCCTTCCATATACTATGAAGACTTGAAGGTCCAAAGCACTTAATTGGTGACAAAAATGTCCAGTCACATTTCCTTACATATTATTCAGATTTATGCTTATGCTTTTTCCTTCCAATACGATAAATTTATGTCAGCTGCTTGATGTTGCATTTCTTTGCCCTTTGAAACTTGCAGAGGAAAGTTTTAGATGAATGGAAACAGTGAAACAGGCATGATCTACAAACCAGAATTCCCTCATCATCTTAAAAAAACATTTGGTGAAATTGGAGCTAACCGAAAATCTGATATCTTTTCTGGTTTCAGAAAGACAGAGATTATCCCTTTCTGCCAAGCAAAAGTTATAGACCAGATTGCAATGATGATTCACAACATGAAAAGTAATAGACTGAATCTGTCGTAGATCACTTGAAAAACGTTAGTGTGGGGGAATTAAGTAAAGCCAGAGACATCAAAAACTTACAAGACTCATCTGAATTTAGTGCCAGGTAAGGGAGTGGTCATCAGTGATCTTGAAGAGAGAGGCTGTTGTTCGAACACACAGGCTGTTGCAGCTGAAAAAAAGCTTTGATAGTTTTGATGGAGCTATAGAAGAAAACAAGAGAAGTGAAGGTCAAAAATTTGTTGAAGAAAAGTAAGAACTTTACGAATTAATTAATGGAGAATTTGTTATAGTGAGATTTCCAACAAAGTTAAGAAACAGACATTTTATTGGTAGAATAGATAAAGTAGTTATGAAATATTTGTGTGAAATAAAGTTTTAAAGGAAAACAGGAAATAAGACAGAAACACACTTTGTGTTCCCAGAGATACAAGATATTTCGGAGATCGAAAAAAGTGATGATATTTGCAACATGGAATATGATACTCAGAGAAGAACACTGATGTCATTACAAATAAGATTGAATAATTATTTACATATTTGGACATTTATTTTTTTGGTAAAGTGCTAGTGACTGCGTCTTCTGCTCTTGTCTACTTTTGTTAGTTAGTTTGTAATAAATTATTTTTAACTTATTGCTACATAAATTTTAAAAACTCAAAATTGCTATCGGATTCCTCTGCATTGATGTCTTAAAACAATGTTACAAAAATGTGAGAAAGTGAGTGCTAAGGCAGCATCATTCATTTGTAATTAATGCCCTAATTCACACTTGATACCAGTTTGGCTTCACACTTTCAGCCACAGTGGTTGACAATTATGTTCACTGAGCCAATGCAATATCCACAAGAAACACTTAAGTGTTAACTATGTGTTTGGACCTGTGCTCTCAGAACAATATTGGTTCCCTTCTTAGGTACTAGTAAACAAAGTGAAAAAGTAACACAAGTATATTTAAATAAAAGCAATACACATCATTTACATAAGTTTTGGTTTCAAGCACTTCTCAAGGTCAAACGCACTCCAAAATTATTTAAAAGATAAAAGGTCAATTACAGAAACAGTGGCTATGCATTAAGAATATTTCATAAAACTTAATCAAATTTTATTTTCAAAGACACATTATTACTTGACAAGAAATTAAGTTTCCTGAGAAGTAAAAGAAGCAAATTTAATCTATCACTGAGAACACACATGAAAAACTTATTAGAATTAATAATCACAGTTACCATCAATGGAAATTTACTATTTATGATTATTCAGAACAAAATGCCACTAGCTAATCCTTCAGTGAAGATCAAATAAGAATAATTTAAATGTGAAATAAATTACATCGAAACTGCCTGACAATTAACACATTATTCTACTTTATCTTATTAATGTTAAAATTACCACAGTAATTTATTTTCAACAAGGTTTTACTGTAATAAGTTATTTCATCATATTATCAGTCATAGGAAAAAACGAGTTGGTCCATGAACACATACTATGGTGTAATACAATCAATATCTCAATTTTTTCCATCTCCATATACAAAATGTTGAAAACAGCATGTAAAATGTATAGTTGAGAGGCCACAGTACTGGATCTAATATGAAATACATTAAAAGCACATACAAACCAGCATTTGGCTTGAACACAGCATATGTACATATTACAATATTGGTATGAACTTTTTAAATCCAGTCCTGAAATACTTTACAATAACACATACCCCCTCTTCAATTCACAGCACCAATTGCACTTCCTCTACTTCTTCTAGACATAAGACAATGCAAGTAAATATGTGTTGCTCATTCAAAACTGCACACACTAAGGACTTTATATTATATACCTGTTGGCCTACACCATACGAATTAGTATTAAAATAATCAGGCCACAAACTACACACAGCCCAACCATTCTCATTCATATCCTTTTCAACAAATTGCATTGTAGTAATGAAAGTCCTCTTGACATAAAAATCTTCTTTCACACTCCACAAACAGCTCAACATTTAAATTCACACTCATATTTGCACAATTTTTCATCTAAATATTAAAAATCTTAAAACATCAGATGTTAAAATAGCAAGTGCAATTGCTGCATTCACTTTTCATTGTTGAGAAAAATAAACTACGAAAACCACTGCTGTGCCTTCATATCAAAATATTATTTGAGTTTTGTACACTCATCGACACCTCTAGCAGTAATAAAAAGTATCAAGTGAAAAAAATAGAAATGCACACTATTTAAAAACCTAGGCAACCCAGTCTGAACTTGATACTGAAACTTCAGAAGAACATTCCTCTGAATCAGATATATCTGGGCGGAATACAGCAGCATAGTCTATATGTGGTAGCAAAAGATTATCATTGCTTTTTTTTGATTGACGTGTTGGCCTCTGTGGTTTTGCATTCCACTGTCTCTGGCGTTGCAAGTAGCTCTGAACTTGCTTTCTGAAACCAAAAATACAATCAGTGAGTGAATGCAATCAATATAACTCAATATTTTCCTTGCTATGAATCAAAATAGCAAGGCTAAAAACATGCAAACTTAGCAAAAGAAAATTTGTTACTCATTTCGCCATGTCATCGTTTAAATAAAAAGGCATCAGAATTACTTGAATATTCACATTACACTGTACCAGGTGAACAATATTTCCTGACTAGAAAGATTATGACAAGATTTATCTTTTTTATATGTTATAGCAAACTACTTATGCTTGATGTTTGGGAGTCACATGACGTGGTTTCCTAGTGACACACAATAGCAACAGCATTTCCAGAGACAAAATTTTCTCTTGCTGCCACCAATTCGGAATAAATAAAGGGATACGTAATTGGCTAAGTGCTTCTGCAATGCATTTGTATTGCAATATCAAAGAAGAATTAAAACTATGTGTAACATTTCTGGAATTTTTTTAAAAAAGAAATTTTAAAAATTTTGAGTCAAGTGGCCATGCTCCTATAAATGTCAAATTTTGTTGCAACCATTGGTAGAGACTGGCACCAGCAGCATGTTGTGATGCTTTCTTGTTTATTCTGTGTTTGCATTTAAGTATTCGTAAGTTGATACTGAACAGGGATTTTGTGTAATCACTGCCAAACTTTAAAGTAAAATTCCTGTAAATTACATTTTACCATGTAAATCTTTTGTTTTCTATAAAACTACGTAAGATTGAAAGCTGTTATTTTCAGAACAGGTTCAGGACATTATTTAAAATAATGTAGATTACAATAAATGACCTACATTCAAAACAAATAAAAGTATAATATCTTAAACTTTTTAAAAAATGTTCAATTATTAAGCACATATTTTAAAAATTATTTCACAAAAAATTATTATATGTAAATTACTTTATAGTAGTCTGATATGGTATTTAGATAATATGTAGTCTAACAGTCTACCATATCTGATTTATCTTCGTGCTATAATTTCAAAAAACATAAACAAAATTTGTTAAAGAGCAAAATAAAAAACCAAATATAAACTAATATATTTATAACAAAATACAGTAAAGATATTTAAAACTGATATGAATAGCTCATTTACACAGTGACATATTTTAATTTTCATTGGATCAAAGTTTTCTAGAAAGAGTTCGAAAATGCTGAATTTTGACCATAATTTTTATTGAGTTCACATACATGTGCCCTTAAGACCTGTGTCACATGTGTGTTGCATTAATGAGTGCCACCTAACTTATATTGTAGCTTGAGCTGTGCACACAACAAATGTTGCCAAGGATGCACATGTGCCGCTTCGCATAAGAAACAGTGTTAATCTACAATGCATGTTTAGTGACACGTGTGAGCAGGCATCCATGCAACTGATGTCATCAGCATTAGGTGACACACATCAACACAATGCTTGTGTGACAGGCCTAAGAACTGACTGCATAAAGTGCAAATATCAAATATCAGAGTTATCTTTTCTACCAGGCATGCCTATACATGGGGCCGATCAGGTTTTTGTCCAGTTTTCTGGAACCACTGAGCAAATGCTGAGATGGTACCTTGTTTTGCTTCTAGATATAAATGTGGCTTTACTATGCAAGTTTTGTTGAGCTCAGCTTTTGCTAGTAGTTGTAGGAGAAGAGCAGGGGAGTGCTACATTTGTTAGCAAAACAAGCAAACACTGCAGTGTGTTTACTAAAGCTAATAAGTTTTCTATAACTTGGGAGGGAAAATATCTAGTTTTCGAAAGTTGCTAACTTATCCGTTTTTTGAAGTGGAGTGTGTTAATGAAAAAATATTGAGTTTTGTTTAGCTCATAATATTGGATTTCAGTTATACGTTTATCTCACTTATACAATTTCCCTGTTCAGTCCCCTGAAAAATGTATAAGTGAAGTTTTACTGCCATTATTTTGTGTTAAAAATATTCATAAAGACATCTTTCATCAATACTCGATACAGGAACTATTTCACTTCGGAAATATTTAGTAATAATATGTAAGAATTCAGACCATACAAATCAGAGATTAATTATGGTAAGCTAGATCAATATCACCTTGAGTAATTATTGCTGCTTTCTGTCTACCAAAAAACCTTAAAGGGTTGACAACTAACATATGACATTTTAAAGGACCATTGCTTTATCCTACTACTATTTGCTATGTCACATCAATATATCATTCTTTCCTTCTGGGAGGATTCAGCCTCACGCTTTTCATGGAAGACTCGAAGAAAAGCTTTTTCAAAATCAATATGGACAATATCAACTGATAAGCTGTCTTTCTGCAATTTCGTCCAATTGCCCAAACATTTCAGGAAGTTGGAGCAGATAGACATGCCGGGAAGAAAGCCATGTTAGTTGAACGGAAAGACGTTGTTCGTGCAGAAATCCAATACTCAGGAAGCAACAATTTTTTATCATGACGTTAATGAAGGGAGAAGTCAAAGGTCATACAGCGATAATTAACTGCTACCATTTTGTTACCTTTCTTGCATATAGGAACAACGGTCACTGAGAGCCAATATGGTGGAAGGTAACCTTTCATGGATTCTTCAAAACGGTCAACCAAGGTTTTATTTAATCAGGAAAGGATGGATCCCACTGGACCCCATTTATAACATAGATCAAAATAAAAAAAAACCTTGATTTTTCTACTGAAAATCACTCCCGACCCCCTTAAAGAGATGCAAAGAGAGTTGTAAAATAACAATATTAATAATTAAAATAAAACTTACGGATCTGGTGGCCTCATCAAAAGTTGTGGTGTTGCAACACTACTTGTGGCATCTTCATTGCCAAATCCATCATCTAAACCTGAGCGAGAAGGAGAAACTGTGCCATCTGAAGACGATGGGCGCCGCCGTTTTCTACTCTTGCCCAACAAATTTTCATGCCTACACCACTGGAACAAATCAAAAAGTAATAAAATCAGCCTCAATGTCAGTAATACTTCGTATTAGGTAAATGATTTTTGATACAGCAAGGACTTCTATATCAACACACAGCCTTGTAAGCCTATATTATGTAAAATTTTAATGAAAGAAAGCTAACACCTAATCTCTACATGTAAAGGAGACTTCATGGAGAGCATGGAAAGTCGAATGACTAAGACAATGCTGGTCATATTTATCATCCCAATAAAGATGATCTTATTTTATTGATGAAGAATTTGAAGATCTTATTTTATTCATTGGTTAGGAGTAAATTAGAATATACTTGTGCGGTATGGTCTCCTGACACTGCTAACTTATCAAAGGCCTTTGAGTCCTGTCAACAAAGATTACGTAAATATTTATATCTCGAGTTAACTGATGCCTATCCTGTAACAAGAATATTGAGTGAGATATTTCGTAACATCCATCTGGACAGTCTTGTTGGTCGAATAAAGCTACAGATGATTTATTTCATTAAATTAATTCCCAGTATGATTGATTCTCCTGGTCTATTGTCGGGTATCTCACTCTCTATTCTTGAACATAATATACCCATTTTTTCTCTGATCTATATTCCAATTTCTCACAAAAGATATGAATATAATCTTCGACTATTTGAAATGTCTAATATAGTCAATGATTTTATTATGTACTACCCAGTTTTCATTGATTTGTTCAGTGAATTAATGGAGTCCTTTTTGTGTTATGCACATTAGTATGTAAACACCTAAAATGGGTAGGGTGTAATGGGTAATTCTGTAATTGGGCATAATGCCTGAATTTAATTTAGAATAGATAGATAAATAAATATTTGATAAACATTAACTGTTAATTATGGTTATTAAAAATATTTACTACCATCAGTTGCCATAGATTGTTGTAAGTAGTTTCTTATTACTATAGGAAATATAACAAAAGATTGAGTAAGCTGAAGATGAGAACCTACAATGAGTTTTAACAGTAATTAATTATGGATGAGTGCTTCTTCAATGTATAGTCAAAATAATTTTATCACACAAAACAATCAAATCACATTTGATTTGTCATGTCACACCTCACCTCTTGAGGAAGAGGGCTAAATTTATGTGAGGCAATCAAATTCGCCATGGGATCATCATCGGCATCAATCCCAACCGTTTCTTTAGCTGCCAATTTTTTCCCCATTTCAGCCAACTGTGCATCTCTCTCTCGTCGCTCTTTTAAAGTACGTGGTTTTCGTCGGGGTTCAGGAGGATTATTCACTGGAACACACAAAAATACTTTATTACAACAGCAATAACAACAAAGAAATAAAAAGTAACCAAATTAAATACAAATGCATCACTAAAATATATAGGATTTGATTGTTCATGTGTTTGATATTTTGGTATCTACAAATCTGTAAACTTAATAATTTCATAAAAATAAATTTTTACATTTTCCAAAGATTGGCTTTTCACTCATTTTCCTTGCAGGTAAGCAAAATTACATAACAATTTTCAGAAAATTAATCAGAGATTATTTAATTTTATAATACATACAACTAGAGGAATCCGGCAGATGTTGTTCTGCCCTCTATCTCCCTCTTTCTACTTTCATCTCCCTTCCCCCTTTCTTCTGCCCCTATCTCGGTCTGACTGTCTCTGTGTGTCTCTCTGGCTGTCTCTGCCTCTCAAACACATTTAGTTGTAGGTTCTACACGTTTCTGAGCAGGTGGGATAAGAGCCAAAGGTCAAGAAGCACTAGACCAGCAAAAATGTAATAAATGTTCAAGAAGATCTCATCCTGTGGATTACGGTGTGAGAAACGTTTCTTTGAGGCCTATAGCCTCAAAATTTTAATTTGTAAGACCTTAGTATGCTTCGTTTAGGAGTTATTTAACAATATAGTCAAAAATCCTGCCAAGTGTTGCAAGTTGCATTCATCAGGAATACTTAGTTGTGTTCTTTATTCTTTTTTTTCCCCTGATATTTCCTTAGTTATTCTGCTATTCAGGGTGGAAACGAATCCAACAAATCAGAAATAGTTAAAATTCGTCCAGCCGTTCCCGAGTTTTAATGAGTGTAACTTACCCAACATCGTTTTATTTATTTTGATTGTTCATATACTTTTTTTCCCCATCAATGATGTGATCATAATTAAAGCCTCTACTACAATTACCTTTTGATATAATTCATTACCATTAGGTATATAAATCTAATAAGATATAAAAATTCTCTCAAATGGCAACTTACATTGAAAAATTACCGATGCTGAAGGACCAACTGAGGAATCTGATGAACAGTCTGAAGCAGCGCCATCATCTTCAGTAACTTCTTCAGAACTAGTAGGAATTCTGCAAAACACAAAACAATGTTTTATATTGACAAGTATGGACTGTTGAATTTTAATGAGAAACAATGCAGCATTTGAGGACTAAGAGGTCTATGTAGTACTTTAAGTTGACAAAAGAACTAAAGACTAAGATTGAACTTCTAGACCCTTGACAACGATATAAAAAATGTTCTGCGTTTACTTGAATATCAGACAAAGTTCTTCCTAAATACAACATTCTAAGATTACACTGTCATCTTACAATTGCAGTTTAAGCGTAGTAAGCCTTGGGATCTATAACATTTTCTTTCCATGTGAGCAATTCTTAACGCTGATGACATAAACCATGTGTATCTACAAAACTCCATGATATTCACAGATGTAGTCTGTATCTACAGTGGATTTCCAGGTGATCAATATTTTTGAACAACTGGTAAGAGGATCTTAAACAAACGACATTGTAGAAGGTGAAATGTGAAAATAAATGAAAATCATTTGAAAATCATTACAAAATCACAGACCTTTGAGTTTAAACTTGACAACTCAATCATGCAAACTGTAAAAATTAAACAATGTGAATTTCAAGTTAACCCTTCATTTTTTAAGCTAAATATTTTTTTAAGTTTTACTGACTGGGTACCTTTTGGACCCACAATTTTTTTTTTGTTCTCCTAATTGCTTATGCAGTAGAGAGAAAGTTATGTAATGCTGCACAAAAACGGCATGAATTTTGCGCAAAAACTGTGAATTTTTGGCACAAAGCTTGAATTACAGGGCCTTGGTAATGAAAAAGTGGATAAATCTGTTGTTAAATTCAGAAAGAAAGAAAGAAAGAAAGAAGGAAAAAAAAGAAAACTAAAATTAATCAAATAATGCATAATAATACATAATAATAAGTAGATAGAAGAACGAAAAGAAGAAGAAGAAGAAGAACAAGAAGAAGAAGAAGAACAGAAGAAGAACAAGAACAAGAAGAAGAAAGCCCAGGGACAAGAACAAGAAGAAGAACAAGAAACAAAGAAGAAGAACAAGAACAAGAAGAAGAACAAGGAAACAAGAAGAACAGAACAAGAACGAAGAAGCACAGAAGCAAGAAGACGAAGAAAACAAGAACAAGAAGAAGAAACAAGAACAAGACAGAAGAACAAGAAAAAAAAGAACAAGAACAGACAAGCAAGAACAAGAAAGACAGAGAAAGAAAAGAAAGAACAAGAACAGAACAAGAAAAGAACAAGAACAAGAACAAGAACAAGCAAGAAAAGAACAAACGAGAAGAAGAAGAAAGAAGAAGAAGAAGAAGAAGAAGAAGAAGAAGAAGAAGAGAAGAAGAACAAGAACAAAGAAGAAGCAGAAGAAGAAGAAGAAAGAAGAGAAGAGAAAGAAGAAGAGAAGAAGAAGAAGAAGAAGAAGAAGAAGCAGAGAGAAGAAGAAGAAGAAGAAGAAGAAGAAGAAGAAGAAAGAAGAAGAGAAGAAGAGAAGATAGAAGGAAGAAGAAGAAGAAGAAGAAGAAGAAGAAGAAGAAGAAGAGAAAGAAGAAGAAGAAGAAGAAGAAGAAGAAAGAAGAAGAAGAAGAAGAAGAGAAGAAGAAGAGAAAGAGAAGAAGAAGAAGAAGAGAAGAAGAAGAAGAAGAAGAAGAAGAGAAGAAGAAGAAGAAGAAGAAAGAGAAAGAAAGAGAAGGAAGAGAGAAGAAGGAAGAAGAAGAAGAAAGAAGAAGAAGAAGAGAAGAAGAAGAAGGCAAGAAGAAGAGAGAAAAGAAGAGAAGAAGAAGAAGGAAGAAGAAGGAAGAAGAAGAAAAGAAGAGAAAGAAGAAGAAGAAGAAGAAGAAGAAGAAGAAGAAGAAGAAGAAGAAGAAGAAGAAGAAGAAGAAGAAGAAGAAAGAGGGAAGAGAAGAAGAAGAAGAAGAAGAAGAAGAAGAAGAAGAAGAAGAAGAAGAAGAAGAAGAAGAAGAAGAAGAAGAAGAAGAAGAAAGAAGAAGAAGAAGAAGAAGAAGAAGAAAAAGTCTCACCGTCGTCTGTTTGGTGTGTATATTGAGTGTTTTTAAATTATAATATTCGGCAGTTCGTTCAGATTTTGTTACTAGTTAGATTGCACTTAGCAGTTTTCCATAATCAGGAAATGCATTTATGTTTAGCCTCAGGCAAATAGAAAACGTGTACCAGTAGAACTTTACAGAAGATCTTTGTCTCTATTTTTACCCTTTCATAACAACTATTTTTACAACGTACAACAAAATATTTAAAGTGCCATCCTCTCTCCCCAAATTAAAAGAATTCGAGGGGGCAAGGGACTTGTCCTGAAGCAAAATTTACATTTAAACTATATTAAATGAAAAATAACGAAATTTATTTATTTTTAATTAAAATAGAAATTTCCTTCATTACTTGCAAATGGTAACACTTATATCCTCAATTCATAAAATCAAAATCTCATATTAATAGAAATATTAAAAAATGAGTATTTATTTTGAAAATAGAGCTGCTAAAACAGCACTTTCACACAAAATTATGGGAAAAGTCCTCAAATTTTCGAAAAATTGTACATGACCTTATTTCAAAATCTATATTTAAGGAACAGATTTTATTAAGGGAAAAAACTTATCTTCATAATTGTATTTAAAGAAAGATGTCGAAAAAATTTTGAATTTTTTCAATTTTTGGAAAAATCAGTGTTTGTAACAAACATTGTACATGCACCTTTCTCTTAAACGTCCTTCACTCTATCTACTCAGAAAATGAATGGCTAATGATTGTTCATGGAACAGAGGCCACAATCTTGCACGTAGCAGGACAAAATTTTGGTTTCACAGAAGGGAATAGATGTTGTCAAAGAAAGACAATGCAAATTCAACACATAAATCTTTCAGTTTTGTTTGAGAGGTGAACCACAAAGAAAGTTACATTAATATATGTGAACATGAGAGAGCAGAACTGATAATCATGAAGATGAAAATAATGGTAGTGCAGGCGAAACGATTTAACTTTCTCATCAATAAGACAATTTGTGATTTTATTGCGAGTTAAAAAAAACAAAAAACAATAAGCTTTATAGGGCTTACAAGGCTAGAGCCAAATCCTTGGATTCAATCTATAAATTTGAGGTGAAGAGTACCATGATAAAAATCAAATAAGACCTAGAAAGAAAAAAAATCTAATATCTACTTCACTGTCTGCACGTGTATGAATTGCATGTGTGCACAAGAGTACATGAATTTTATGCAAAACATGGACAGATTAAAAAGCCTCTGGTATTGGCCATTAGGTGCCTCTCCACACCCCATTGCCAACAAACCCATATGATTTACTTGGATAGAATACACAGAAAAATGAATGCTTCTCTTTTAAAATGAAAAGTGCCAAAAAACATAATGCATTCAGTTTTATCTAACCTCTGTTCTTAATGTTCATTTGTTTAAAATTCGAAATAATAAGTAATATACCGCTGTGCATTTAGATGTGAACACAAATTAAATGCTTTTAAATTCAAGATCTATAATATAATTTATATAACTTTAATTTAATACTATTTATATAATTATAATTTAAGGGAAGATGAAAAGATTCAAACATATAGAAACAAGATACAAAATAATGAAATGTAGGATTTTTGTCTAATTAAATATACCAGCTATATTTTTGACCAGCTATGACTTTGCACTTGGAGCATGTTTCCTGTTACATGGTATCAATATATTAAAATTTCAAATAAGGTTAATTTTAGTATATGTACTACCGAAGTAAGTACAAAATTACAAGGAATACAGATCACAAAAGTCAAGAAGATAGATACAATCTTGTATGCTGATGACCAAACTATTGTAATGCAATCTGAAGATAATGTACAAAGAGCAGCGGTGGAATTGACGAAAGTAGGCCAATATTATTCAATGAAGATGGCAATTCATAAAACAAAAGTCATGGCAATACAAAGAAAGGAACAAAGGAGAGCCAAAATAGTAATAAATGGAAAATTAGAGGAACAAGTAAATACATTTTCATACCTCGGAAACATAAGTGTACACAACGAAACTCAGGAAGACATAGAAAACAAACTTTAATAACTACAACTGAATATGTGAAACAATCAAGAGACACTTCGGCAAAGACATGGATTCAGAAACAAAACTGAAACTTTACAATATAGCTGCTAAATCTAGAATTATGTATGGCTCTGAAGCATGGGTAATGAAAGACAGAGAGAAACAAAAACAGCAGGCGGCACACTTGAGATTTCTAAGACACTTCATGGGAATTGCAGACTAAGAAGTAAAGACATCAGAAAGATATTGAAAACCAAATGTTTAGTAGAAGAGATAGAACAGTCTCAAAGGAGATGGAAATATAATTTACAGAGAATGAACATCAACAGATTTCCAAAATTAATCTGAAAGTACAAACCAACAGGGATCAGAGATAGAGGGAGACCACAAAAGAGGTGACAACAGCAGGCGCACTTGGAATCTACAAACAACACTGTAATAAACCAATGGAAAAAGGCTATAGAGCCCAATTTCTGGTCAGATCATGATGATGATGATGATGATGAAAATATGATTAATATTTTGAACCTTTGAAATGATTTCCCCAACCAAGTTTTCTAAATTATACAATATCGAAAGTTTTATATAGTGTTGTTTATCTGTGTTTAGAGGTGAAATGTCTTGAACACAACCTAATGAAGATCTCTCTCACAATGAAAAAATCAATAAATGTGATAAATGTAATGTAAATGTGATAGATGTAAATAAAAAAGAAATTTTGTAAATGAATTTTTATATTAGTATTAATTTACAGAAAAGATTTTTGAAAATGGCAAACGGTTTCACATTTAAAGACTATGAGAAACACCATTAAATATTTTAATTAACTCAATTTCAAGAATTTAATTTTAAATTTATTAATTTTATAATTAATTAAATAATTTAAACTAAAAGAACAAACAACCAGAATATAACTCTCAAATCTAGACGAAACATGATGTTTCAAAAGTTTACAAACAAAATATTATTAATAATATCAAGACTTATTCTTTTAGATTACGCATTTAAATTATACAAAATTTGCCATTAAATGAAAGTGAACATTTTTTTTATATCGTCATGCTCTAAGCTGCAGATGAAGTGTATCTAATGATCTTCCAATATTTTACACACAATTCCTATCACACATTCTGTCGAAAACAATTTGATCATGGGATACAAGAGCTTAAATATTGTGTCTCACTTCATTCATGATAGAATTTGTAAGTTCCCACAATTTACACTTCTGGAAAAAATTAAGGGATGTTCAGAAATTCTATAATGTATAATAGAGTAATATTTATTTATTATTATATATTATTAGTTTAATATACGCTACAAAGCAGGACTACAGCTACAAAGCTACTGGAACAAAAGTGTTCAGAATTCAGGAATATTAAAATATGAAAGAAAAACAAAAAAATTTAACATTACATCAAATTATTATAATTACTGTATATATCATTTACATACCCTTTTCTTATATCCCTTAATTTTGTCCAATTGTTTACAACTTAGCCTATTCTTACGTTTTTGTTGAAGACCTTTTCTTGCTCTTGTTCTTTTCCTCCTCTTCTTTCTTGGTCTTCTCTTCATCTTTCTTCTTGTTCTTCACTCCAACTCTCTTGACTTCCTTCTTTTCAACTCTCTTGATCTTCTTTGCATGATCTCTTTGGTTCTTAACCTCATCATCTTTGTTCTTATTCACCTCATCTTTCCTGTTCTTCACATTTCTTTTGGTCTTCTTTGTTACTTCAACTGGTTTCTTCTCTGGAATTTTCTTTGCAGCAGAAACATTTTTCCCTTCTATATTCCTTTTTGATACTTTTGGAGAAACCTTTTTGATTTCGTTCGTTAGGCTCTTTCTCTGCGATTGGAAAGAAGTCGACTTTCTTGGAGGAGTCAATTTTTCATCATTTTGAAAACTTTTCCTGGCATCCAAACGCCGCACTAACACACGTAATTGACGTGAAGTAGTCCTTGTAGTGCTACGTAAACTTTTTGGTGATGGTAGGATCTTAGTAGTTTTTTCCGTTTTTTTTCTGCGAGGTGAACTGGCAACAGAAGTTCCAGGACTACTTGACAGCAATGACTGCCGTGTGTTTTGTTTTCGCACAGGTTTTTTTTTATTCACTAGCAGAGACAACTTCTTTCTTGAACGGGCTTGAGGCTCAACAAGTGGAGAAGTCTCAGTCTGACACGTCTCAGGAGAAGGAGATATCGCTTGTGTACTCGTTTTCTCTGGAATGGTTTGGCGACGTGTACGTGGCAAAGGTGAACGAGGAGAATGTGATGTAGTATTGGTTTTCGAGTTCTGGAGACAAGGCAAACATGCACGTTTTGAGGGTGAACGGGAAGGTCGAGATTTGGGAGTATATTCACTGGAAGAAAAAGACTCGTTTAGTCTAGGACTTCTAGAATCAAATTCTGATGAATTTTGAAGATTTTTTTGCATAGTTTTGGTTTCAGAAGTCATGTAAGATACCTTAATTCGAGAAGAAGAATAATCCACATTTGAAGAATCAGCACAAAGGCGAGGACTAGGCAACATCATCTGATTTTGGGTACTTTTCCAAGTGATGTTCTCAAAACACGATCGAGTTGCATCAGTATTACTTTTCCCAATAAAATTGTTTTCCTTGTCCTGCTGATTATTTGCAAGCTTATTACTGTCAATTTCTGGCCCACTTGCCTTTTCGTGAATTATTTGAGTGCTTCTTAAATTTGAACTATTTAGATCAACTTTATTGGAACTTCTATTATTTGCACTTGGGTTCAGTCCTGGTGTATTACTAGTATTTCTTTGGATTCGTGGAGAAGTCTCTGAATTCAGACCAGTGGATGATCCAGAGCCAATGTTCTTTCTAATGGTTCCTCTCAACCTACTGCTGGACGGAGTCTCCATTACACACTCGGAAGTCTCCTGCATGTTGCATGTTAGTGTAGAATTTGATTTTTGTTTTCCCAAAGATGTGTTGCGGGATGTGGTTCTCTTATTATTCCTTACATTGTGAGTTGACCTGCAAATAATAATAATAATAATAATAATAATAATAATAATAGATACACTGTACACTGATAGAAATGGGATAACATAAATATATTATTATTTATTTAGAAACCAATCCACAACTAAGTTATACCTTAACTTTATTTTTTTCTATTGTCGACTGACTGGCATATTCAATACAATATCAATGCTACATGACATCTAATACACACAGAAGTTTGAAATAATCCACTTACATGGGAAAAAATTAACATGAATAGAATAAATGAAATTATTTCAAAAGTATAACTTTGGAACCAAACCTATAGAAACGTAATTATTTGCACATTGAAATCGTGAGATACCACATTAATTTGAATTCAAGTATAGTTGCTGAGACTTACAATTCCCTCTCCCCATTCTTGATTTGTTGTGATAGTAACTAAATGGAAAAGGAAATTCTTATATTTAAATTCTTATAAATGAAAAGCCCAAGGTCAGATATATTGTTAATTAGATTTTTGGTAAATTGCTTGAACTACTCTGAAGAAAACCCTCAGAATCAATTTCAATAAATCATTGCCTGATTGTATCTATCCTTCTAGAAGGAAAAAGGAGTTTTGTAACACTCACAAATCTGTACACCACTACAGGCCAATACCTCTATTGAATGATTTTCCCGCTTTTTAAAGTACTGATTAATAGGTAAATTGAAATTTTAAGTAATCAATAACTTGATAGAGGATGAACATGGATTTAAGAAAGGGTCACCACTAGAATTAAACCTGGTAACTTTTCTACCATATCCTCAGTAGTTTTAATTTGCAAGTTAATTCAAAATTGGAAAGTATGGGCTTGAGAGATAACTTATGATATATTTTTTTATCTAAGAAGTTCCACATGGTTCTCACCTGGGTCGAATTTTGTTCATTGTTTTTATAACCAATCTTATGGATGTAATCTAATTCTTGAAACTATTGTTAAATGCTGATGATTGTAAATTCTACATTATCTTAAACGTGCCAGTGATAATTTGGTGCTACAGACTGATTTGATCGAAATTCCTACTTGGGGCTATCATAACAGTTTGAAAATGAACACTGACAAATGTATGTTGATAAGATTCTGCAGAAACACAGAACTTTACAAACGTAACTAACAAGATCATGGACACAAACTAATGTATAGTAAACACAATGATTTAATCACATCACTAAGAGTGATAAATGCTACAAGGCTTCATCAAAGAAGTCATAGAAATTTTACCAATATTCAAACATTGAAAACTTTATTGATGTATATTGTCAGATTTCACTTACAAAAGCTAGTTACAAAAATCTGTGTTTCTTTATTTCAATGTGCATTATTGAAAACAGTTACGTCCAGCACAGGTTTCTTTCTATTTTTCACAAACAAAACAATTTTGTCAGAAGATTAATTCTCTCTCATTATATACTAAAGCAACCAAGAATAGAATTCTCAATACTGATCCAACACAATTTAACCTTTTCCTCGTAAATATAATTTTCGCTACTTACCTTGAACTTCTATTAGTTGTTTTATCACCATTCTTTTCATTGTCAACATTACCGTAAAAAAGATCATACTCTGCACCCCAATCAGAACGATCTAAAAAAATATTCACATTGTGAGAAATAAATTTCAACCTTTACAGAAATTGATTACACAATAAGTAGTAATTTAAACAACACATTTAGCATTTGTATGTTTGTTTGATTTTCATTTATATTTGTGATTGTGGCTTGCTGTGGAAGGCAAAGGAAAGATATCAGGTGCCACTTTTACACCGCAAAAAACTTACTTATACTTCTAACACGTTTGTCTTTAAAATGAATGAAAGGATACATTATCATGAAAAGTGTGGGTTTAAGGAGAATTAAGGGAAATTGAAATTTTTTTAGATATCAAGGAATATAAGATCATAAATGTTGAATCATTGTTTTCACATTACGTGTTAGGCAAAAAATAATATATTTTGTAAATAACAAGAAACATTACCTTTGCATTCAATGAAGAAAAGTACACATTAGGGTCACTGTTAATTTGGCAAGATCAGAATTTCATTTCTCCCCTTCATTACATTTAAAATATTAAAAGATACAATTTGATACTGGACACAATTTTTCAGAGCAGTAGAACAATATTTACAAGCACCACCAAAGTATTTGAAAATTTTTTTGTAGCATTTTATGCATTATAGTATATATTTTTCTTTCCCGTAGAAACAACTGTATTGAAAAAGCATAATAGTCATTTACAGAATTACCTATAAAATGAATAATAATACCCAGCATTAATTCAGATGTTACAAATCAAGTAAGGCAACATTAAGTTTCTTTTATTGTTCCAGACTGATGTCTATTCTACAGAGCATAGTTCAGAAAAAAAATTGCATATCATCTGCATATAATAAAATGTACACAAACATGTTAATTAAATAATAAAGAAAAGAACACTCAAAGAAATTACAAAAATCCAGCATAAAATTACTGCACTTCACTGTACTTGTACAAGTAAATTTCTTGAGTACACATCAACATGCACTATAGATGACTGATGGCAGACCGTTCCAAATAATAAGTGCCTATTTTTGTTTCATAAAAACTCATCCAGCAGCACCTCTGGTGAGTACATTCAAATAAAAAAAATTGCTGCAGTGTACCCAAGACTAGAAGATCATTATTCCATGACAAGCATGGTTGCCTTTTCTAGTATAGATGATGAAAAGTGCTAATGCACCACATAATCATAGTGAATATGAATTGTTATGAAATGCAAATATTCTATCCCAAAAATGGTTTCTATAAAATTTATAATAACACCCTGTATTAATTAAGAGAGAAGATTTAGTTTAAGACTACTCTGTCTGATCCAATTGTTAGCCTTCAATGATCGAGTCATTCCATTATGTTCATCTTCACATCAAGTGTTCCATTTATAAGATTGCTAATCGCTAGCTCACTTGGCAAGAGCATCATTCTAGATTACAGAAGTTTTGAGATCAGATCCTGGTGGGATCAAATCCTGCATACATTTTCCGTGCGAAGATCTATTGTGTAACAATCCATTTTCGGTTGAAAGAGTAGGTTTGCACCTCCTAGGAAATTATTTCACCAAGATCGCAGTTAAAAGGCAATTCAAGAATGCACTTAGTAAATGCCAAGCTCCTACTCTGCTCCACCACTCAAAATTTGTGCAAATGAACTGTTGAGTCATGACAGGACCCCTTTGGCAATGTCCCCAGGTGCAATTCGGACTCTGCTGGATATATCATATTGTGAGAGTATTGTCTCCTGCCTAGGCACTGCTTTGGGGCCAAGATCTGTTAATAACTGTTAGTAGCATCTGAAGCCTGTTGGATTGCAATTATGAATGCTAATCTGCAAGCTACACAATAGCATGGAATTGAATTTGTAACAAATTAGTTGTAACTTCTGTTCTAATCAAGAAGCAATGCACTGGCAATAATTGCAATGTTTGTCATGATCATTTCATGCCAACATATATAATTTGTAATTAAAATTTTGACCTGACACAATGATCTGACTTTTGTTTCTAGTCTTGTGCATTCTTGGATGTGATATTTACTGTGTGTGTGTGTTTTTTCTTTTTTCTCCCGCTAATGCTTTACACTGTAGAGAGAAAGTTATGTAATGCTTTGTGAAAAAAAACGTGAATTTTCGATAGAAAATCTTATTGCCTGGCCCTGGTAACAAAAAAGTGAAAAAATCTTCCAACGCATTGAGTAGCCAAAATCAATGTTTAGGAAGTCCTTGATACAGAGAAATCGATTGATAGTAAAATGTCCGTCCGTCTTCTCTGTGAACAACACTGGCTAAACCATTCAGCAGATTTTCTCCAAAATTGATATTCCCCTATCAATCTGACTGATGTCACGGCACCTTGAATTTGAATCAGAAATTTTTATTTCAAGGGATACTTTACATGAAGCCCCTGAGTCATCTTCAAAATTTTCTAAAAGGCTCGAATATTTCTGGTTAAACTTTGTTACTGGATAGTATGAAGGACATTTAAGAGAATGGTGTAGTTTTCATGTTCGTTAAAACCCTAATTTGTTGAACATTGCAAAAATTAACATTTTTTTTTGGTGTCTTCCTACATAAGAAGATTATGAAGAGATTTTCACCCATAATGAAATATGTTCCTTAAGATTTTCCTATTTCCAGTAGAAATTATGCAAAAGTACTGTTTTTAAAAGAAATTGTACATGACCTTACTAATAAGAGTTGATTTTTCCGAGTAAAGAGCTGATAAGGGAAAATTTTTAGCTTCAATTTTATAGTTTTCAGATATAAACTTTTTGTAATTTTAAAAAATGCGGGTAGTTTGACAGAAATGAAAGTAGCACCACTTTTTTTTACTGTCTTTTGATACATACAAAGAGAATTTAAAGAAAATATTCTGAGTCGTTTTTGAGAGGGGAGAGAACATATTTTTTTTGCAGGATTGTTTTAAGTCTTTCTGTCTTTGTAGGATAGAAGTCTAAGAAAAAAACTATCTTCAATCTTGTATTTGTAGCCTCTGAATAAAAAAATTTAACTTGCAATTTTTGAGAAAGAAAAAACAGGGATTTCATCAAAAAGGAAACTTGCGCCATTCTCTTAAGTGCTCTTTACACTATCCGAGGACAAAGTTTAATAACAAATTTGGAAACATTTTTGAGAAAATTTTTACAATGTTGTTTAGGCTTAATGTAAAGTACACCCCAAAATCAAAATAACAATTTAGAGAGCGCAAAGAGCCTCAAGATCATTTAAATTGATTGGAGAATTGATAAATTTTGGAGAAAATCGGCTAAATGGTTTAGGCACTAGAGATCACGGGTGGAGAGATGCTTTGATGTCACTCAATTTTTTGGTATCAAGGACCCACAAAACATGAATTCTCACTACACATGTTTGAGGAAGTAATTTACACATAGGAACAAGATTTATCCACTTTTTCGTTAACAGGGCCTGGCAGTTTTCAGGTGCACGATTACAATACTTTCTCTTCTTACAAAGAAGGAAGAGGAAGTAAAAATGGAGAGTTACTGAGCATTGCTTGATTCCGGAGCAATGAATGGAAGTTTCTTTTCTGGAGAAAATGGATATGATTCTCTCATTATACCATTCCACAATTCAAACCGATAATTTTAACTCCTTATATGTGTAACATCATATCACATATGTTCTACCTCTCTTTTAAAGTCAGGTAAGTGAGACATTGTACATCATTACTGCAATCCTTCCCGAAATGTTTTGTTAATGTTTGGCTCCAGGCTTGTATGCAATACACAGTTGCAGACCTTTGGTATAAACACTTTTCTACCTTTAAATTTTCCCCTCACAATTACAGTTCTTCCAAGTGTATAAGTAAAAGTACGCACTTGTGTATGACACCTGGTAACGTGTAAAGTATGCACATATTTAATGAATATGCATCAACAATTCATAACCATATGAAGTCCTTAGATTTGCAGTATTCAGCAATTAAGTCAGAGGCAAGTTTCTCTCATTTTCCAATTAAGAAATAATATAAGACACGGAAAAGTAATAAAATGAGACCTTTAAAGTAATGTAACTACATTTTTAACTTAGTTAATTAGTTTGATAATCAAATTTAGGAAGTAGCATTTATGCTTCTTCCTTATATGCTCCCAGGTCTTGCCACTTGCAATTTGCCAGCTGACATGATTAGCAAACTAAATTTAAAATTGGGTACATCACTTTGAAAGTTTTAAAGAAAGGTCAAATATATTACATGAGGGTGTGATAAACTAAGTATTCAACAAAGTATAACGTCACAATATCCTGCCAATACAACTGCTTCAAGCATTTTTGTATCATTGCAAATGGTTAGAGCCATTACGGCTGTCCAAAAACATTGAAGTTGCTTAGCTCCCAGTTGCCACAATCCCAAAGGCAGGTATTTTCTAAAAAAATGATTCAATTATAATAAAGTTGAAAAATCAATAAATAAATCATCCTCAGTTATTGGGGATCTAAAATATGGATGAGAAACAATGAACACATATCTGCACACTTAAGGGCTCACCATTGTGTACCTATAACCTTGCTAACTAACAGTATGGACACCACACTGATTTTGAAGTAGTTCTGGTGATCACCCAGTACAAATGAACTCTAAATTACAGAAAATTGAAATAACCAAAATCGCAGTGAAAGAATGGTAGAAAAATATGTGGAAACATACTTTTGGGACAGCATTTTCTTTGTACCCTTTGTAAGTAGTATTCTCTAAAATTTCATTTAATTTTGTGAAACTTAAGGATGACTACCTTGGATCATTTTAATCACACCTCACTAATTTTAATTTTTCAAATAAAATTGTTTTTCGTCTTCTGTACGTTCTGTAATGGGTCAGTCAATGCATGTTAAAGATAATTATGATTATTCTAATTGTCAAATCAATGTGAAACATTTGTATAAAAAGTACAAGAATTTTAATTTAACCCACTGAAATGTAATTTTCATTTTGTAAGTGATTAAGTTAAAGCAATAATTGATAAGTACCAAATTCTCAAAGATATTAAAGTTTAACATAAAACATGAAAGTAAAGAAAAAATCTACCAAGAAATAATAAAATTAGAAGTCTTTATAATATTTTATATTCATTTGCCTTCATATTACTAGCATTTTACATTTAATTGATACTTTCATTAAAATTCAAACAAAAGAAATGAATAGCAAATACCAGCCAGATTCATTACATGTAATGAAAATCATGTTTACTGTAAGAAGAGTTTGACATAAGAAGTAATTTCTGCCCTTTGTTAAAATTTTTCTAAACTAAAATCTACACATTTTTATGAATTTAAATATTTCTATAGCAAACTTAGAAAGTTCTATTCAGCATGAAGTTTGATTTTATTAAAATTTACAACCATTGAATAAGAAATCTAAAAAACCCATGGCACACTTCAGAAAAAACTCCATTTATACAAGGTAAATAGTCTTATCTTACACTTGTAATTGCACATGACAGTCAGAAATAGACCAAGTTAAATGATTTCAAAAAACAAATGTAGGCTGAGAAAGTGAATCAAATGACTGTAATATTATCAAGCCAACAAACAAGAAAAGCCCATTGAGAAAACAAAACAATTCATAATATTCAAAGCACTTACATCTTGTTTTAATATTGTTCAAACCACCTTTTACCTTTTCTAGTTTAAAATCAAGAATCCAATGCTCTGAACAAAGCAAAGCCTTTAAAGCAAGTAGCATTGCTTTGAAAAAAGCTGTATACGCTTAAAATCCATAGTTCTAGTCATCTCCCCACAATTCATCAAAGAAATTCACAAATATACTCTACATAGAGGTTCAATGACAATTGTTTAGTGACACAGTACAAATAATTTACTGTGTAAATCATGTACAAAAAAGCATAATACAAGGGTAGAAATTTTGGTTTTAAAATAAATTGTAAATTAATACAAAGTCATTCTGTCTTCGAACATTTTTAGTTCCTTCATAAATGAACAATGTCTGTGGCACTTGCCTCACATTCGTCTCTGGCACAAGAAATGTTATTACAATACTAACCAAAATATAATGCCTTATTTGAATAAATATACAAATTCCATAAAATCAAATTAGTACAGCATTATTAATACTTTCAATTAAAAAAACAATATAAAGAAATTTCATTGTTTCACAAGGTTTAATAGAACAAATGCAGGCCAAGAATCAGAAAAAAAGCTTGAACCGAAAGATCACAACTTGAGCATTATGATAGCATTTTTCTTTTTCATAATGTAACCTAATCACTCATTACAAGATTGTAAAACAAATCCCTGTCAAAGGAATAGCCATTATTCTCATATTTTAACTCCATTACTTTTATATACATTTAATCAGCAAAATCCATTTTATGCTAGTTAAAAATCTTTCCTAGAATTATGGCTTCCTTTTTCTACAGTAATATTATTCTTCTACTTCAACAATCACTCTGGTTACTATACAATTAAGAAAAAATGAAAGAGAAAGAAAGAGACAGAGAGACTAGTATTTGCAGGAATGTTTCACATCACTTTGACATAGAACATCAGTACATAATTATCCCAAACATGCCTTTGACTCACCTGCAAAATGAGAGAGAGCAAGCAAGGAGTCTGTCCTTGAGAGGGTTCCAACATACTCAGCCAATAGGGTGCCAGAGGTCGGCACACTCGCCCAGAGCGTGTCATGCTCATCCTCATGGGAGCAGGAGGTGGTGCAAGGTAAAAGCAGCTCGTCACATCCTCTGCACACACATGACAACACAAGAACAGAAATAGGACTCTATGTCTACAGAACCACACAGAAGTAGAATGAAAACCACAAAGGAAAGAAAAGGAGATGAACACAACAGAAAGAAAACAAGATGTACAATACAAAGGAACCTTGGTAACTCATGCTTTAAAGTAACACACTTTTTAAATTCTCTTTTCAATTTTCTGATTACTCTATCAGTACAAGTGTATTAAACAAGAAAATTGTTGATATGAATTTTCCTCATTTTATGGTAATGTTATTAACCTAAAGTCTGTCTTCTAATTAAATTAGAGTCAATGCATCGCTCGTTTACAGCCAGGCTTCTTTTGCCATCATAGTTGACATTAGAAGGTTTTGAATTGAAAATCTCAGATATAAAAGAGGTTAACACTCAAACGAGTAGTTATTGGGATTCTGCAACTTCTTGTTCATGCAGTGTGATATTTAAAAAGTTCAATTTATAGCTAATGGACACTTAGTTGCAATTTTTGGTATCCTCATGGAAACCTCTTAAAGAAAAATTATCATTTGCTTCTTTCTCCACAGCATTAGTGGATGGGTTATGCGTTTTACCCAAACCCTTCAATTACTTCATTTCCTGCCACTTTAGAAGTGAAATGTGAGGTCCATTCACAATGTATTAGATGCAGTGTTGCTTTTCTTAATAAGTCACCATTAAAACCACTCTGAACATTGTAACAAATCATTCATCTCAGAGTATTATGAAATAATAGTCTTACGAAGAGAAATCTAACATGAGCAGTAATAGTATTGCGAATCAAACATAAGCAATTCCTCTAACAACATTCATCTGGGACCAAGAGCTTTAAAGAAAACTACTTAGTGACTGTGAAATCTAATTCCTTATTAATAAATTTCATGAGTGGATTTAAATTTGTGACTATGAGCCAGTGGCATAAAATATTTATCAATCTCAAATGTTGCTATTCTTCATGGTATATAAAATATTGATTAACTTAACGTCAGAAGATTTGATATCTCAATTTTTTGTACTCTTCCTTAGATGTGAGTTATCAAGGTTCCATTGTAATAATAATTATTAATATAAAAATAACTAAGTATAATAACAATAATAAAATAACACAATTACAACACACAAACTGAAGAAATAAAAATCTGTATGTGTGATAACTCTTTTCTAACATTTATTCAAATCAAACAACCACACATTTTGGGTCTCCAGCAATGCAGGAAGATAACAAACATAACTAATAAAATAGAATATATACTTTTTTCTCTCACTTTTCAAAACATTTAATAAGAAACAAAACTTGGATACCACACCGTAAAAGCTAACCCAAACACGTTACATGGCTGTGAAACATGGATATTCAAAAAAGGGAGATGCAAGCATACTTGAAACTGAGATGAACCATACGAAAACTCAAAACAAAAGATTTAAAATAAAATAAAAATATAAGAAGGAAACTTAAAAAGTGAAAATATAAGCGATAAATGATTTCCCACTTGAAATGAGAATGCATTCAATGGGTAGAAACAGAAAGAGTTTCAAAATGTCCAGATCAACCATAAGGAAAAAGCAAAAAAGAAGGGGGAAATCTCAGTAGTAGTGACTAAATAAGTACTGGAAATTAAAGAAATGAGCTACAAGGTATAACCCATAACATATTTGTTAATCATGTTGCTGATATCTGCAGTTTGAAGCGGAGTGAAAGAAAAATGACTCTCCAATATTGCAATTGAAACTAAAAAGGAAAGTAATTCGAGGTTGCAAAAGAAGATAGGTGTTGTGGTGCATTATCGTTGGCATTTCTAATGAAATAATTATATGCGTTGTCATTGCCACAAATATTGTTGGCAATGACGAAGCATATAATTATTTCTTTGCAAGAGAAGAATTGTAGATAGCACTGCAAAGGACAGTTTCATGCTCCGAGCAGCTAAGTTCTGTATTTCTTCATAAAGTGTGATAATTATTTTGAAATTAAAATTGTAATAGACTTCTTTTGAAGCAGCAAAACCAATTGGCCAGAGAATTTGTGAACTTCAAATTAAGATTAGAGGTTTCACAGGTGGCTTGTGCACAGGTTGCACTCTTGTATGGCTGCATGATTGCAAAACCCCCACAACATTTCAAATACTTACAATTAGGAGGAGGATTTTGATGTCATAAAATCTTGAAATATGCTTTTAAAAATATGCATTTGTGACCTAAAAACTCTAAAATATGCACTTCAAATTAATAAAATTTCATTTCCTCTATAAACCATTATTGATAAATTTCAAAAGCAGCATGCTTGGAATGAAAGATGTACTTTTGTGCAAATGTAATAAAATCAACCCTACTTCACAAGAGAAATAATTTAGGTAAATATTCACCACAGTGAAGTATATTATATGTCTTCTTGTATTTCTTCTGACCGGTTTAAAAATGTGTTATGAAGAAATATTTGCACAAGTATTTTATCATCTATAGAAAAGAAAAAACGCAAATTGTAACAAACTCTTTCAAATCAATGAATGCTCACAAATAAAGAATTCTATAAAAAGATGAAACATTTTAGAATTAAGTCTATTGTATGAAATATGCAAAATGTGCACCTATAATTACACGATTATCAGGAAAACAGGAAAAATCGGTCAAATATGCACAAATGTGCACTAACATATTAATTTATATAGCATCATATTCTAACCAAATGTCAAGAAATTTCACTGAGCTATGCTCTGAAGCAACAAACAAAACTATGCAAAATCATAGATATCTGCTCCCTAGTTATAATTATATTAGAAATATATCAGTTCGAGTGTGACAACGAACGATGTCAGTTGTGTCTTGGGCCACTTTTCCACGCCAAAGCTTCTGCAGAGCAAGACACTTGATAACCTCCAGTTTGAGTGTGATGACAGACAAGGTTGATTGTATGTTGTACCGGTTTCCCTTACCAAAGCCTCGGCACAGCAAGACATTTGATAACATCGAATTTAATTTGAGTGTTGCAATGGAGGAGGTCGGCGGAGGAGGAGGAGGATGATAAAAAATTCAAAGATTGGGAAACCCACAAAACAGAAACCAAATTCAACATTAAAATATAGTTATATTCCCTTATTCTAAACACACACTGGACATACTAATAAACAAGAAAAACTCTGAAGATGCTCTCATAGGTCAGGGCCCCACACTAAGACAAAAGGGAATACCTCAAAATATTTTGACAAAATTAAAGGTAGATAAAAATAGAGAAAATACAAATCTTAAGATAAAATATATAAATGGAACACCCACTCTTTTTAATTCATTATCCAAAAACAAAAATAGACCAACATTCATTAAAACAAAGCCCGAAAACTTAAAAACAGACCATTCTCATAAAAAATCTTGGTATATTACCAAAATGTTTGGGGACTCAGAACCAAGTTGGCAAGTTTGAACATCTCAACATTATGCATACAATGACACCGACATTCTTTGTCTCAGTGAGGCCTGGCTTAAAAAATATCCGATGCTGAACTCAATCTACCAAACCATAACATCTCGACTGGATTACAGTTCATCTACACGCAACTTTGAGAAGGGAGGTGGGGTAGCAGCGGCTGTTTATTGTAATCACATTAGTTCACCATTTTAACTTTTAACTCTTTAGCTGAACAACTATTTATAATAATAAAAATTCAAAAACAGCTTATCGTCATTGGTATGGTATATCTTCTTCTAAAATAACTGTTGGAAGCATATATACAATATTCTGATAGTCTTGAACAAATATTTGATTTACACCCTACAACCATATTTTTATTACCCAGTGATTTTAACTTATAAAATTATAAATGGAATTTCCTACAATTTTGTAGATGCTTCTAATAATGAAATTGAACCATGCTTTTTAATTCCTTTAATTAATAAAATCCTTATTTATTTTCAAACAACATACTTAATAAAGATAATAGTTTCGACTTGATATTCACAAATGAAATAAATTCCATCATTGTAACATCAAATGTCCTACAGTTGAATGAGATCATTACAAACCAGCCTTGGATATTTATATGTCATTGTTATGAAAACCCTTCTTAGATACAAATTTACACACTATTTTGACTCAGTTATATGGCTATTAATAATGAATGAAATAATTATGATAGTTTAATACTTTACGATACTTATTTATACACTTTATGATAGTTTAAATAGTTTAACACTTTTTAATAAACTTGCTTCAAACTTGTTTCAAAGACAGACAGACAGGCAGACAGACAGACATCAAGTTATGCCGAAAACAAATTTTTTCGATATCTGGGAAGCCACCAAACATTCATTCTGACTAGATAACGTATTATTGATATTTACTACATATAGGAAAAAGAATTATCTACTTTTCCAATATCAGGAACACACAAAACAAGTTTTTCTGTCGAAAAATCACTGCTCTTGACACAGCATTATAATATGTTTTCTAAACTGTGTAAGTAGAGAGCACAAATGCCACACAAATAGATATAGCATAATTTACTGTAGCACATATGGAAGGTACAGTGAAAAAGATGAATTTGTACCTATAACAGAACAAACAAATTTCAGAGTTTGGACATCATAAAAAACATCTGGAACTTTCTTAAAACAAAATGGAATTGACATAATGTTCCCGGGCAGACTGACATAAAACTGCATCAGTGTTCCAGTTCAGCCACCCAACCACATTGAAGGGGCACAAGCTGCATGTATACAGCAATGAAGACTAAAGAAAGCGATGAAGGATGAAAAAGCAGAGCTGAGAGGAAAAGTAGCAATAGGACAAAGGGAGAAAATGGAGAAAGACTAATGAAAAATGGCAGTCAGGGCCTTATAGTGCTCTGCTGCATCACCTTCTTACAGGAACTAAAATACGAATGTCGCCAACAATTCTTAAAACGTGCTTGGCTGCTGCGTGAATTCACAGTTTGCAAGCAGGCCCATAAGGTTACAAAAGATAGCGCTGATCGTGCTTTCTTCAGGTGTTCCTTATATGTGTATATTACGAATAATTGAACATTTAAAAGACACTTTTCCTATTTCTCACAGATAAGCCAATTTGTTTGTGCAGAAGTTGGCGAGCCTAACCTGCAGCTGTACCTGGCGATACTAGCGCCTCCTAGAGTAGCATCCTCGAGCTTTCTCCCCTGTTTTGATGGAGAGTTGCAAGGCCCTGGCGGTAGTAATGACACACATCTTACAGAGGCAAGGCTTCAATTTGTCATCAGGTGTATCCAGCAAAATGGCGCATCTGTGCATACCGCTTGAGACAAGATAGCAATGTTACATACAGTGTTCACGAGCAGAATCATCTTTCATGTTCTGGGGAAATTCTGTGGCCAGCCAGATCCTCTGAACCAAGCACTTGCAATTTCTTTCTGTGGTGTACCTCAAGAGCCTGGTGGTTGCAACACTCAATTTAGAGATGCTGACGCATCACATCAGTGCAGAAGTCCAGGCAATTCCACCTGAAATGCTGGTGAAAGCAGTGGACACTATCGTTCATCAACTTCGCCAGTGGATCACAAAGTAAGGTGGTTATCTCAAAGATGTAATTAAAAAAACAACTAAAAACATGATGAGGGTTATTGCACCATAAACTGGCATTACATTATTAATTAATTACAACTCTCATCCATTGCATTCCCTATGTAGTTACTGTAGGTATAATAAAATGGTATATTGTTTCTGCCGGACCCTTTGCATGAAGCTCTTCAACCACTTTTTAAAAAATCATAATTTAAAGGCTATTCATTGATTTTGAGTTTATGTTTAACTGCCTCATCCAAATGATATTACAACTCTTTTAACCTATTATTTTTTCAAGTGTGTTTTGCTATTTGAATATCAATTTATCACTAATTAAATTAATGAAACACAATTCAACATAAGATTTGAAAATCTTTCCACTCACTTTTAGCCAGTCCACATTACTTGTAATTTTTTTTAGAAAGAATTGCTATTTGTTGGGAACACACTGAAATAATTCTTAGGTTAAAAGAAATGTATGATAAAAATTATTACAAAACTCATAACCTTTCATTTACATTAAAACAATATACAGTTTCAATAATATTGTTCAACATTTATTTATTTATGAGCTTTTAGTGTACAGTGCTTTTCAAAAGATTAGCATCTGTGAAGTCTGTATAATGGAGCACATCTTACAGGAAACCAGTTTTTCTTCTTCTGAGATATGGTCTTAAAATATTTGGTTTAGTAATAGGCTTCTTCAGCTTGTTTTTTCTGCCCAAAACAAGACTCAAAAAAATGCATATTATTACTGTCACATTTTTTTCTGCTATTCTACTCTAATTTTGCTATCGGTACCAAATTATTTTCTTTCTCACACTCCCCCCCCCTATGCTTTTTGTCCTTTCTTTCTTTGCTTCCAATACTCATTTATAGTTTTGATCATTATCATCTTGAACTGACCAGAAATGAGGCTTTAAAGCCTGTTTCTATTGGTTCATTACAGTATTCTCGGTAGATTATTAGTCTTCCCAGTGTTCCTGCTGATGCCATCTCTTTAACAATCTGCCTCTAACTCTATTCTCTCTTGGTTTGTATTTCAAGATTAATTTTGGAAATCTGTTGTTGTTCATGCCTCATTGTTGAACTTTAAATATTATAGTGTAATCCATAAAACCCTTCAATGCTTCTTGCATTAACGGAGCACTTTCTTCATGTCTGTATCTTCACCGTTACACTTGTTTTCTTATGTTCTATAAGATTTTATCATCACATTCACGATTTCACAGCTATATCAGATTTCAATACATTTCAACTTGCCGTTCACGTTGATGCAGTCTTCAGGCTGGGCACAACTACCATTGAGGAGCTGAAGCAATTCCCGTTGAAGTACAGTATCCTTAAAAACCTTTCCATTCACCCATTCATTTACGAAAATAACCCATGAAACTTTCTACCTGTAATCCCTTCATGTTATATGTTTTTGCGATAGAGACAACTTTTTTCCTGGAAGTTGTATTTACTAAGTTCACTATAACACAATCTTCTAAGGCTTGTTTGTTATGTATATTGTTGATTGGAACTATTGATATCAGTGCACTAGAAACCAAAGTTCACTTACCCACGCACTTTTTCTAGTAGAGGATTTGGTTCTTTAAATACACTAAAAGTTGTAAAAGTACATTTTCTGAAGTTGTGAAGACTTCATGTATTCACTCCATTTATCAGTTGATATAGGCTGTGCACTGCTATTTCCACAATCTTTATCATTACTAGCCACTTTCACTACTACATTAGTGTTTTCATAAATTATACTATCACAAAAATTTTTCTCTATCACTTTCCCCCCAAAATGTGCAATATTTCAGACAAGCCATTCATCAAGTCCACAATCTTCCTTGTTTAAATAAAGAACAATTGCAGTGGTTCAGCAAACAAAAACTTACATTAAAGCAAGTAGTTTCTAGTGTGCCCGAGAAATCGTAGAAACTGTTCGGTAGTGGAGGTGGTCCCCCATACAAGATGAAGCTGCTTCAAGAGCCGACAGAGCTCACCCAATTGTGAGCTGTAAGAAATTTTTAAATGTCAAAGCTAGCCACGTTGAAAGAGAAGAAATGTTAACCTTTGTGCCATGTTGAGTAGGAACAAACATTAACAAATTGGTCTTTGGTTCTTCTGTCGAGTCCCATTGGACATAGTGTTTCCGTTCAATTCTGAGCTCTAATGTGCCTAGTTTGATAGTGCAGGAATGTGAAGTAAACTACTGATAGTTGCCTATAATTTTCATTAACAAATAATTAGAATGTTAGACAGTTTATAAGGTTATTAATTGATAATTTAAGCATTGTTGCAAACTAAATGATTGTCACTACCATTTTATTATGTAGGTTCAGCATTGATGAGGTAAACATAAAATCCAAGTTCAATTCCTGACTCCTCCAGAATTTTCCTCAAATACAAAAGAGGCCAACAGAGAATGAAGCAAAGTTCTGCATGTTGATTATTGAGTCATTTCAGCTTGTTAGACAGTTTATTACACTACACACTGGTTAGAAGTGTGGTGATAGGAACCCAATACATTTTCATTGTTTCTTAAACAAAATGCCTCTTCTTTTGTACCCTAAAACTCAGCCAATGTGTTGGCAACACACCACAGTATTATGGCAGTTGAATTTCAATGAAGAGCTGACGTAAAAGCAATGCCCAAAGTATAAAGAGCACTAAGATTTAAATATTAATATGTTCTAAAATTTTCAATTAACCACCTTTTTCCTTCACTATGTTGTCTCTTATACATGAATTTTTTTTTTTTTCATTTACATATATTTTATTTTCTGATCAAAATTCACCCTAAAGGAAACTTTATGTAAAATTCACTTATGCAATTATATTTAAAAAAATCAATGTATGTTAATGAATGTATTCATCGTGCCTCTTGAGTAATTAACAAACCAAAACAAATTTTTACTATGCAAAAAATCTTATGCGTCAGCAAAGAGTTATTTGTTCAAAATAGTAATGTATCAGCTTTTAACTTCAAGAACTGAAAATGAATACAGCCACAACAAAGATATATTTTAGAAAAGAAGATGCATTAGCAAAGTTACAAAAAGAAAAATTATGCCACACTGGAAGCTGAAAATGTTCAATATAAAAAGTAATTTTATATTTTAACATATTGGTAATTTTAATGTTACCTTTCAAAGCTTGGAATTCCATCAATTTGGCAGTTATGACTGAATAGTCCAAGGGTTTAAGAAGTTGGTTTTTCAAATCATCAGGAATTTCTGAAACAAACAATGAATGGTATTTTCAGAAAGAGTCATAAGCATCATGCAACTGGAAAATGAACTGAACTTCCTGGAAGTCTAGCATTCTTCTACACATCACATTTTACTTGTTTGTTTTTCCATTACTTGCCAAATAAGAAGCCACCTGCAAAGAAGCAGGAAGCAATGCAACTAAGTCGTGGATCAGAAAAGAATAGTACAACCGGAATGAATCACAATGTAATAGTGGACACAGGCCCTTATTTACAGAGAGCAGTTTTTAACCACATCACCGTTAGCTCTAACATTATAAGAGTTTTATAGATGATGCTACATATCATATTTACCCCAATAAAAAAGACAAGTTTTTTCCTAAATATCTCATTACAAAAATTCGGCATCTTAAATAACCCCATAGGTTAGGATTTATATTTTTCAATTCCCATTCCATCTCATGAAACTGACACATGTTTACGTTACAATAAGCTCTGAAGAAAACAAAAATATCATGCGTACCTGTAATACCAAATTATATTTGCAGACATATTCTCTGTATTGCTTTTAGAAGTTCATACTTTGCTTTTGCACTGACTTTTTGATTCAATTGTTTGATGACTTATCACATTCCAGACTACACCAGAGTGCTGGTCAGGTAAGCACACCAGGCTGGGCTAATGAAGTCTGAATGCCACTCGTTTTCATGTTTAATGGCTTATGCTAAGGAAATGGGCGGGTTTAACTGTGCACTGATCATTTGTCGTGTGGTAGTAGTGTTTTATAATATTAGGTATATTTTCGTGTCACAGTTGATGCATATATAATAATGGAAAAATTACATATATTTCTGTAAAATAATTATGGTTATATTAATTTTTTATTTTATTTATATATACAAGAAGCCAGTGTTATTTACAGATGATTCTTATAATACAAAATTGTATAACATTACTGGCGATAATATATCACAGCAGTGATTCAATATATTTAAGAGCAGAGTTAATAAGTACATTTTAAAAATCGGCTTCAAGAATGTTGACGCTTTGTTTAATATTGAAAACACATTTGTTATCATTGACAATTATTTTTCAAAGAACACTATTTAGAATTAAATTGCTATTTGCTGTAAAAATATTGAAAGGTCTACATTAACGAGAAGACTAATATGAGACAAACTGACATTTGACCATGAACAGTAGGGCAATCAGCCAAGTTCTTGAAGATCTTAAGAAACATACAGCCTTACTAAAAAAAGGTCTGGATTACACCAGGAGTAGCACATTTACTTCAGAAGTAACTACTTTAAAAGTAAGCATGAAGTACGCAAAGAGAAATGTACTAAAAAATGTGGAGTAAGCAATAATTAACGTGGGGGCAGTTACTTAACAACCAATGTTTGGCAACACCTAAAAACCCCATGTTGACTTAAGTCAAATGTCCAATCGTTCCTTCGTTCAATTATCGAAATCAATCGATTTTTCTAGATTGTATGTAGTATGTTCTTTGCAGTATGTTGTGAACTGGCTGTGAGTAAATTCAAATCAACATTTTAACATGGATATTGAAGCTGAAGTCAGAGATGTCGAAACCATGTTTGGTGATGACCATCCAAGGAAAAAGAGAGTATCGCCTCAGAAGGAATCCTTCTGGGGAATACACAGCATTCCGGTATTTGGGGTAGTTTGTCTTCCGAAAGTGCCCAAGGTGGTAAACTTTCCACAGATATTCTAATTCTGACAGCACTCAGGTGCTGGGGGCGAAATATGGTAACATATTTGTGTATTGCACCTGCTCTATACTGCTATACATGGTCACATAACCAACATTTTATGAATATGTATTACCTATCACAGATGCAAGGCAAACACGCGATCTCGCATGGCATTAGCCAGCAGTCAGTCCCCAACATTTGAAGGAGCTCTCAGCATTGCCAGAGCTAGGCTACATTATGTTCACATGCCCCGAACAGTTGATGAAAACAAAGATTAAAACCAAGCGGCACATTTGTTGTTATCCATTCACAGGTTCAGGAATGTGGATTGGGTGCATTGACTGTACCCACATCCACATTCCCAACATGAGAACAGATGCCAGACAAAAGTTTTTAACAGGAAAGGTTTTCCATCTTTGAATGTGCAGGTACTGCATACAAATATTAGCTGCAATAATTTATTTAAAAGAAATCATCAGTAAGATTATGAAGCTGTTGCAAAATCTACATTCACAAATATATTTTCAGGGCGTTTGTAATGCAAAGTTCAAAATCCTGGACATTGTGCCCCGATGGCATGGATGCGTCCATGATGACAGGATTTTTAATAAATCGCGATGGAAGCAAAGATACAAGGTAGAAGAATTTAGACAGAGGTTACTTGGAGACTGGGTATCCTTGCACCCTCTATTTATTTACACCAGTGTGTAATCAGAGGCGTGCAAATGAGCAGGCATACAATGCAAGTAACAAAAGCACATGCAACTGAATAGGACAGTGCTTGGACTTTGGAAAAGCTACTTCAGATGTTTGCTAACAGGTATTTGATCTGTGATAAGGCTTTTTAATAACATTTATTGCATTCTTATCTCAGTTGCTTCTATGTAATTGAAAATGATTCGATTAACACATTTTGCTGAAAGGATTTACATCTCCGGAGCAAACAAAATTGAGCTTTGTAGCTCTGGCAGTGTTACATAATATTGCCAGAGCTGAAGGAAAGAGAATTTCCTATAAAACAGGAAATTGAAGAGAAAGAGGAGTAAGAGCCTTTGGTTTTTCAACAAAATAATCCACACGAAGCTGCTGTACGTGCTGAATGTATTCAAAATATTTTTTAATTAATTTCTGCCTAATTGTCTCTTTGTTGTGCTATCTGATCAAGTGAAGCAGAAGGATGGCCATATATAGGGTTTGTAGAAAATCTCACATTGCTGAGGAGTGCAGACCCTTCTCATCTTCTTTTTGAAGATTTCTACAGTCCCCTTCGTTAAAAAAAAATCTAATAAGTCAGAAGGATTAAGCTAAGTACTATTGAATAAAAACTTCTGGAAATTGTTTTTTCTTATTTTTTTTTATTCGCTGCTTCCTTCAGCAACCCCAACAATATTTAATTGTTGCATAACAATTTTCTGTTGCTCACGCATATTGCTGAACTGTTCATCTATGAATTGCTGTTTCCTGGGATGTATTTCTGCCTCTCTCAACTTCCTTCTGCCTGTAGTCTTCTTGCACATGAAAGGTTGCCTTTCTTAGGTCAAATTGCTGTAAGAAATGCAAATTAATTAATGTTGTGAATGATGACAGAATAAAAAGTTCATTCTATTTACATGAATTTATTTCACACCTACAATATAATATTTTCAGTTAATTTTCATTTTTCTTTTATTTACACAAACCTTTTCAAAAATTAACAGAAATAAAAGATGGTAATAGTTCTATTACCATCTAATTGCTATTATATAATGCTTTTGAATAACACTAAATGATAATGCAGAGTTGCTCCTCTGTAACTACAATGCATATGATAGCAATTTGTAATAGAATTAAAAAATTATTACAGACTTGCTTTTCTTTTACCTTTCTAATGTTAGATATAGGCACAGATTTCAGTCTTGCACATTTCTAGCAATTCACTGTAACCCATACATTTTTCTTCTTATAAAACCAATAATTAACTTACCACGTTATACAAGTTGCCATCATCCGGTAGAAGTTGTGCGTGTTGTAATGTGCGTTCTACATTATCAGGATCCGCCAGTGAAAACAGGAGACAATCATGATTTTTTTTCTTTTTTAATGTTAAGTTTGTGGCTTGGTTTCACAGAAAAAATAATCCTTATGTCACAATCAAAATCATTAATGCCTTCAGCAAATTCCGATGGTGGCAGGAACTGAATTTCCAACGCTTGATGGTATGGTGGAGCCGGCATTGGGCCACCACCGGTTTTCCTCGTGCCCCTTCTGTGGTCACTGATTTCTTCCTTGAATTTGCCTCCGATTTCTTCCTTGGATTTGCCCTTCATGCCGCTCCACTGGATTTTTATTTGTTTTAGATCTCTTGCCCAGTTGTTATGTGCATTGAATCTGAACAAATGAAAAATATAAAAATTATTAACGAGTATAGAAGTCATCGAAGTGAACACCTATTGCACTTCTTTAACATACTTATGGTTGACTCGTTGCTTCGTTAATGGAGGTAGTATTTTCCCTCCTATATGATATGGCAAGGAACTGTGATACCAGCCCCAAAAACAGCTCCTGGAGCAGAATCAGTCATGTTAAATACATACAGCACACACAGTCAGTTCTCATTATTGACAACAAGATAATTTTTTATAAAAATGATTTGTATAATATCATCTACGTACCTTCACTGCGCTGTCCTAATTTTTGCTTCTTTAGCGTTGATCCAGTTTAATTTGCAACTCATGAATATACAACGAATATGATTCAATGCAAGATTCTGCAGATTTGCGTGACCATGTGCTACTGTGCAGTTACTGAAGGTGAACAGACAGCGTTTCAAAGCGAGATACTCCCTCCGTACTCAACGCATAAACAAGGGTCAACTGAGTAGTGGTAACAATGGTCACTATGCATCCGTTACTTTCAGTTTACTCTATGCTTTCGCTACTCCATGTTTATTAGTCAAGATTTTGGCTACTTCAAGCTTACTCTAGAAGTAAATGTTACTCTACATGTTAAGTTATCAGACAACTGCCTTCTACCGGCTTAACTTTGAATATGAAATTTAGCCAAGAAATATTCAGTCAACCCCACGAGGGGGATAGACTCCTGTGTCTCTAAACTCAAGGTATATATTATATGTGCCTTGCATTTCACCTGCTTCCTCGCACATCAAATTATTGAGAATACGTTGACGAATGTACTCACAATTTCCCTTTATTCCATTAGATTCATTGGATTTTTTTTTTTTTTTTTTTAATTTGTAGCTGTTGTGCTCAATGATGTTAAATTAAAGGTATAATTCTATTTTAATGATACTTGGCTCAAGAGGAAAATTCAGTTCAGCTTCAAACAACAAATAGAGCCATTTATTAAAATTTGCTCTGCTAGTTAATGAATCCTTGGGATTTCTAATATTCTTTCCAGTTTTGTTTTGCTTTATTGCGTTCACTTTTCTGCCTATTCAAACTAAGTATATTACCTACATGTTCCTTAGCGAAATATCAGTATATATATATATATATATATATATATATATAAATATATATATATATATATAATATAATAATATATATATATATAATATATATATATATATATATATTATATATATATATATAGTATATATAAAAAAAAAAAAAAAAATTGGAAAGAGGTTTCAGGCATTTGCTCAAATTGTCCTACTGCCTAACCTATATGGCAAGGGTCTGGCTTCATTTTCGGCGATGAAGAAAGTATTCTTGATATCCATAATTCTAACCTCCTTGTTTACACCAAAGGACAGATGCTGAAACCTGATGAAAAGACGTGTCTTTGCGATGATTTAATTTATTAATAGGCTATTACGATACCCAGTATGATCAATACATAAACGTAACTACCGATTGAAAATCCGATTTGAGAAGTCGACATGGGGATTTTAGATGTTGCCAAATGTTTGCAAAGCCAGCGTAGTTACTCTTCCATTACTCTGCGATTATTAGTAGAAAATTAAGATTCACTTACTCCGGGCTTACGTTGAGAGAAGCTATTTCTGGCGTAAACATGTTACTCCTGGCTTACATCAGACGTTTATTAATAAGGCAGTGTGTGTATTGTATACTAGACGTAATTATATTCGTGGTTATATTCTTGGCGTCCACAGCGAATTTGTCAGGCAATTTGGAGACATATTTTTGAATGGGCCTATAAAGAGAGAATCTCAAATGAATGACATTGTTTCAAGTGAAACGTGTTTTGAAAATGAATGCTGAGACTTTTACAAGATGCGGGTTTGAAGAGGCCACACAGAATCACAGTATGACTCACAGCAAGTGCAAATCCGCATTTTGCAAGGGATGGAAATGAAAAAAATTACATTGTTAGGCATACGAATTCTACTTCCAAACACTGAAAAAGATAAGAAAAATGCATTTTCTTAGCATATATTTCCCAAATTTGGAAACTTGCAACTGCCTCCCACTTTTCCCACGAAACGGAGGTAGAAAGATGCACAATTTTGCAGTTCACAACTTGATAACATGGACAGTAAACTATGCTAATTTCAAGCTTATTCTGTAAGAGAATGTCCAAAAACTCTTCAAGAAACAGAAGCCATCAAAAAGTGTGAGATAGAAAATCTGGTGACAAAGAAGGGAATGTTTCTTGGTGGCGGGTAATGTAAGATTAAGAACAACACAAATGCAAAACTTTCAGAAGGGCCTAAAAAGTCAGATGTTGCAGCATGAAAGGAAGACCAAAAAGAAAAACATTGATACAAGTGAAGATGAGTGTAGAGTTTACTGACAAAAAATATGATTGTGATGATTTTTGGATACAAGAAAAGATAGTTCAGGAAATAAGTCTGAACATTCTCATCAAAAAGGAAATTTTCTTATCAATAACAGAATTTGCAATTTTGTATGGACTGAAAAGTAAGAATTGAATGGAATTTTTAAAAATTCTGAGGAGGCCTCTTCAAAATTAAGGGGTTTGTCTTATATTCAGTCAACTAATAATCGGGTAAATATGGCAATTACACGTTGAAACAATTGTAAATATCAATTTAAATGAATTCACCAACTTTTTGATATCTAATATTTTGCAGTACTTTTTGATATCTAATATTTTGATTTCTTTTGTCTATTATTAATATTTCTTTTTATCTTACGATGTTTTTTTTTAAATGTATTTTTATGTATTACAAATATTTTTAATGGGCAAGTAAACAGAGAATCTCAAACTAGCATTGTATCACAGAAAATGCAACATGAAAATAAATAAAAATCGTTGCCGAAATTCTGTTCCATGATGAACGAAGCCGTGCAGACTCACTTCAACGCCCGGTAAATCTGTGTTTTGCAAGATATGGAAATGAAAAAAAATCTACATCGATAGAAAATCTACATTCATCCACAGAGAAAGATAATAAAAATTATCTTAGCAAGAACTTTCACAACTCAGGAACTTGCTGCTATCTCCCTCAGCTGATGCTGATTCTATTTACCCTTGAAACAGACGAACAGAGATCATGAGTTCTCTCAGTTAACAACTCAATCGCACAAACATTAAACTACGTGAATTTGAAATATAATAAGTCAAAGAATGTAAAAGAACTTAAAAAATCAAGAGTGCACAACAAGATGAAAATCTGGTAAAACAGAAGAGAAAGTTCTTAGGTGGTATCTGACAAAAGTCTAGAATGCAAATTGAAAGCACGAAACCTTCAGATGAGCCTAAAACGACGATGCAGTATGTGTGGAGGACTGTAAGGAAAGAAACAATGATATATGTGAAAATGAAGTGGGTAGTGATAAAAATCATGATCATGATGATTTTAAGGAAAACTAGAATAGTTATAGTTTGAGCAATAGATTTTAACATTCTCATCACCAACACAATTTATAGTGTATTAGACAATTTAAAATCTTATTCTGACTAAATAGCAAGAGTTTGGTTAAAAAATTAAAATATTTGGGGGGGAGGGGGGGGCGATTTGCTGTCAATCGGTTTTTTGGTATCAAGGACACACAAATCATGGATTCTGGCTACACCATTGTCACAAGAATTCTTTTTCTATGTTTAGCAACTGGATTCATCCACTTTTTCATTACCAGGGCCCAGTGATAGGAGTTTTTGTGTCGAAAATTCACAATTTTCTGCCTGACGATTACAATACTTTCTCTTCTTACTTTAGTAAGTGCAAGAAAGTAAGAACCAAGTTTTCCAGGACTTCCTAATGGAATGCCAACATAAATCTTTCCTTGCTCTGAATTTAAAGAAAATATCAACACTTAACTTTTTAACCCCCTCCTTCAAGGGGAGACCCTGTTGGAGTACCCAGGGAATGGCAAGTTTCTTCCCTGTTGCACAATTGCAGAAGCAAGCATGACTCGTACACACATCCACTCATCGTGGAGTTCAGTCACACACCTAGACCGATTCAATTTATTCGTAATTCTGGTTAGCCAACTGATAAGGTAATTAGTAACAAAAGTATAAAATCTGTTCTTTATTATGGGAGGTAGCAGTGATCTTCCCAGTTGAATGGCAAGATCCAGCACCAACCTCCTTCACATCTTGCATGATTATCACAACCAGGTATCTACAGGGTGCACGGCCAAAATCCGGACAAATTGAACATTTTTCTTTACACTATATTTTTTTGTTGTAACATGAAAAATTAAACAAAATGTTTTTACCACGTAATGTATAGGATCATATGGAATAATATTTATTCTATATATCCCCATTGCTTGAACGACCGCCTCCAATCTGGGTCTGAAACGCTCGCAGGCACGGTGCAAGGCATTACGGTCCATTTCGGCGAATGCTGCTTCAATAGCGACTCGGAGAGATGCTACGTTCGGGTGTCTCGACTTGTTTTGTCACCTCTCTCAACCCGCTCCATACTAAATAATCCAACGGATTTAAATCTGGGCTGTTGGAGGCCAGAATTCCTTCGACCAAAACATGTCGATATTGTCCGATAACAATTCTGCACCAAATGACTCGTATGGGCGGGCGCACCGTCTTGCTGGAACACATATGGCCTTCCAAATGCCTTACGTTGTCATCCACGGCTTCACAACGTAGTAAGACATTCACATAAACCCCTTGTCACATTTCCCCTTTTGGAAGAAATGAAGGTGCATAACATCACCTCTCGGACGAAACAACCCTAGCACGTGCCACATTGGCCGGAAATTTTGTTCTCGATACCACAGGGACATCCTCAGGGTCGCGGGCAAGCCAGCGGTCATTTCTTCGATTAATTTTTGCGTCTACCGTAAAAATTTTCTCGTCGGAAAAAAATCTGATTCGTCCAGCCGCCTTGTTCCGTAAGAGCAACAAAAGAAGATTGCACCGTTCAACTCTCTTCGTCCTGGCGGCTTCAGAAAGCATCTTGTCGAACTTTGATGGTGTAGGACTTGTAACGGAGGTCTCCTGGACAATCTGACGCATAGTTGTCTCACTTATTCCGACAAGCGACGCAATTTTTCGGATCGATTGTCCTGGATCCTCAAAAATCAGTTCTTGAACGCGTTGAATGACTTCTGGCGTCCTGAACTAGCGCTCCTTCGAGGATGCACTTTTCTCGCGGTGTTAGGAGACCTTCCTCTGACTTCTCCGACTCCTTGTATTTTGCCACGAATCATACACTGTCGATCTCGATATCCGAAGAAGCTGATAATCTCCGTCGCTGAGCGACCAGCGCGAACACTTTCAATTATCGCTGCTCTTCGATTGTATTCTTCGCTTTGTCTCAACATTGCGACTGTTTTTGAGGTTATGTCTGCTTAGTAGATGGGTATACGATATTCATGTAACAATCGCGGACATCTTTAGGTGCCATAAAAGCGCGGGAGATTCAAATCTAATTTTGTCCGGATTTTGACCGCGGACCCTGTACTATCAAAGAGGCACTGACCCAGCCTGGACAAACTCTAAGTTCCCCATTGGTCTCCTGGCATGTGGAATAGTGCAGTGCATGTAAGGGTGTGTGTAAACAAGGGGTGAGGATATGTCCCGGAAGAGGAAAGAAAGTTCACCCACAGTTAATGGCCTCATTGTTAGAGTACTGCTCTGCATTCACCAGGTGTTGATCGGAGGAACAATGGAAAACCACTGATCAGAGCAGCTAGCCACTAGACCTTTCCTCCAGACAGAGGCTGAATTCGACCTAGTTATATAAGTATCTAGTGTCCTTCGTCGAACTGGGTCAGAGACACTGCAGTGACATCAATTGATGCCCTTAGGGCTGGTTTCACCAATAATTTGTTAAGCACTGCTTTGCCAAGTTGCCTCGAAATTTAAGTTCTACATTTAATTGAGCTTATGGCAAACGTATATTATCAGTCCCCTAGCATTGATCTAGCAGCATGGCTGAGCTAAGCAGGTTTCATGCGACTTCCACTAATGTTGGCAATGCCAGAAACTAAACACATCGTTGTTCTGCACGTTCTTTGACACAGTTGTCTCCATGTTTTCAAGTTGTTTGTTACTATTTCATGGACCACAATCATTTGGTTCAGTCCTTATAGTGTGTGCAAGTTAGCCAACATGAAAGATTTTGCCAGAGCACTACACAATGAATAGCAAACATTAAAAATGACCACATTAAGATTGCTGCTTAGGCTAGAAAAGTAATTTTCTATTTTCTGATCCATCGAACATAGTATGTTCTACTAACACCTCCTTAACTTTTTCTAGGCAATGAAAGCATTGAATTTAAATAAGAATTTCCCCCATTTTTGTCTCGTGTTGAATACATACTTCCATACGGATCTCCAACAAGCTCGTACTCTCTCCCATCACAGGTGATGACTCTTCTTTCACCCCATTTGACAACAGAGTTTGTTGTCAAAATCTGGCCAGCAGTCATGTCACATTGCCTGAAAAAACAGCCAATAAAAGAATTAAAAACAAATATGTCCATGTTTTATTAGAAGAACCCTCTCCTCTGATACTCCTCTTTACTTTCAACATTTCCATTATTCTCGTAACTTTCATCAAACAATAACATGATTTTTTCCTTTCTTGTTTACATAGTTCAGACCAAGTGATAAAAACCAGCAAGGAATTAACATAGAAATTTCCCCCAGAAATGCGTATTTTAGGGATTCTCAATACTGAAAAGTCATCTTTTAAGTGTGTGAAATGACTGTCTTTTGTAAAATTGTGATTGAGAGTTTTTTTTGCAAAGAGTTTTCAAAGGAAATATCACACACACAATATATTATGTTTTTATCATATAAAAGTGCTTCTGTTATGAATAATGATTTGTTTTATCTCTATTCTTCATGGTTTATTTATTTTGTAGATAAAGAAAACTAGTAGAGATCCAAAAGCACATACTTTCTCGTACTGCTTCTAAATTTGCACTTTTCGAAAAGTCACAAAGTTCAACAAAAGTAAGACCCACATTCTTTTAAAGACCCCTTATTGCATCCATGTAAAAAATTTGGAGCAGTTTTTGAAAAAATTAAATGTTTTTTTTAATTGGCTATATTTTGCGCCTAATTACACAAAAAATACTCGTATTTTTGAAAAACCGAACATAAACTTATTTAAGGTCCATCTTTAAGGAACAGATTTCATTAAGGAAAAAAATCTCTGTCTTCAATATTATAGTTACAGGAAGATGACCCTCAAAAAATTGCAATTTCACAAATTTCAAATAATCTGGAATTTTAATGAATATGAGACCTACACTGTTTTCTAAAGCGCCCTTTATACTATTCAAGGACAAAGTTAAGATGGTCACTATCAAAAATCAAAAAGTGTGTTTTAAACTCCCAAGCCTCAAGTTCATTCAAATAGATTAGGAAAGAACAATTTAAAGGAAATCGGTTGAACAGTTTAGACAGCTTTTTTTTGAAATTGCGGTTACATTATATTTATAACAGAAGTTAAACGTTTCAAGAGAACAAAAATATGCACTAGCGTTCTGTGTGTGTGTACTTTTAATGTTTTCATGAAAACATATCCATGTGCATTCCAACAAATTATTTCAAGAATGGTGCTTTTTAAATGGTGACGTCTAAATGACAATGCTACCTGGAACACAGATCAATATCAAGGTCCCAGATGGGGGTTAATATCCGTTTCCATTAAGTTGCTTTAGTTTTTTGTTTGATTTTCCAAAATGTAGAAATGAAACACAGTAACATTAATACTAGATGCCACAATATTTGTATGTAATCAAATATCATTACAAGTTGACAGGAAGACAAGTGTTGGTCAATTCATGAAGATGGCAAACTTATCTTGAAAAATTACACATGCAATAGGACACACAACAGTGAGTATAAGTAAGGGGCAGATTTTAATGAAATGACATTTTTTCTTTTTTACTTTACCTACACTGTTTAGAATAGACGTTAATATAATGTCATGACAAAACCAAATGAACCATTTTCTATTACTTTTTTTTACATTTTTTGTTGACTTGAACTAATTAGCCTTTTTAAAACCCTTTTCCATAATTTTTAAAGCATTTTTCACTATTTATTTCTTTGCTCAGAAATTGAAATGTCAACCATGTTAAGTACATAATCTAAGCACATTAGCGCCATTGTACGGCGTAGCGTACGCACATTAGCGCCATTGTTGGGCGAAGTGATATCTGGGAAAACTACAGACAAATTCCCTGGTAAAATTCAGTCCAAAACAAAAGTTTGCCAGCACTTCACTTAAATGAATGAAAGAAGTCAAAAACTCTCTAACAGCTGGAGTTGTCCATATGAACTGGTTTTGATCAAATTTTTACATCATTTTGCATTGTTTTAAGGGCATTTTAAAAACATTTTAAGAGCAATTTTATTGATAATTTTTGCTAATGTTTTAGGTCAACAAAATCTGCCCCCTAGTGATACATAACCTTCCGCCAAAACTTTATTTGCTTGTCAACCAATACCAGAAAGGATTGCTAACTTAAAGTGTCACTCACAGGGTACATAATTTTTATCCTCATATATTGATGAATAATTTCAACAACAACAACCCTCCCATTTACATACACACACCAATACAATTCATCAGAAGGGAATACAATATAAAGCAACTCTCTTAAATTACACTGAAATTGAGACACCACTTGCCCACTTACAGTAAAAGGTATCCTTGCACCTTGAGAGACCCATCAACTCCCAGCACTGGTCGCCAACGTTCAATCTTCTGCATAGTCTGTTTTCGGCGTGGCCTAAGCGATGAAGAAAGCTGTAAAAAGAACTGGGTTAATCATAAAGAAATTGCATAAAATACAAATTGGTGTATAATGTACACGCTTGATGTAATGAACACACACACATCTCTACACGCACGCACACGCCTCTGACATACTCGTACAATATCAAGCAACTTAATTAAACTAATCTTGTCCGAAGACAATACAATGGGTGAATATTTGAGTCTAAGTCTAAGAACAAGAACTACTCGAAGAACTTTGATAGTCTCCAGACTTTTGCCAGTTCTCGAAAAAAATTCCAAGTGATCTGCCAATAGATAGATAAAATTTTAATTTAAATGTGTATAAAAGGTAGTTGATTGATTGTGATCCAAGCATGTCAACTATTAAGGTCATTAGTCCCATAACTGTAGTGCATTTTTTACTAGCTTTGTCTGAGGCAAGCTCTAAGCTTCCGACAGGTCTCTCAGCATGTGTGGTAGTGCTATGCATGTAGGTGTGTGTAAGGGGTGAGGATTAGACCAGGAAGGGGTAGGAAAGATGGTGCAAGGTCCATGGCCCGTTTGTAGGGTACTGACCCAGCATTCGCCTGGTGTTGATTGGACAAACCACGGAAAACTACCGATCAGACCAGCCGACTGCTAGAATTCTCCTCAAGTCCACAACTGAATTCAACCTAGCTGACAAGCTAGTATCAAAAATTCTGCAACTGTCTGGGACTCGAACCTAGGATAATCCGGTCAGAGGGACTGCAGTGACATCAGTGGATGCCCTGGGCCACCTCTCCCGGTACAACTAGTAAGAGCATAATTAACAAAATTTGAACCAATAGTTGAATATGTGTTAAAATATGAAAATAATAAATAATAATAGATGTACTACTTACAAGACAAAATGAGAAATTCAGGCAGAAATCACATTTAAGCATTTTCTGTATAATAAAGCATATTCAGACTCCTATACTGAATTTTTGCACAAAAATACCTTTTAAAAAAATTGCTTGAATTATATTGACAATAAAGTTGATGCATAAAAAGCATATTCATGAATCTGACAATGAACAAATGTAGTTGTTGCACCTTTCATTGTAAATAAGTACTCTTTAAAATTTGAAAGAAAAGCAACTATGAAGGGCCTTAACAGGGAACTATAAACCAGAGAAATGCATGGATCTACTCTATCCACCCTGCAGTGAGACAGTCTGCAAAAAGCAAAAGGCTAGTCTGTTTAACGATATTCATTAACACACCTGCTTAGGGTTAAACAATGAATGATAAATAAAGCAAGCAGATAAAATGGTCCATTTGAGTAAGGAAACAAAATTTACCATTCTGCCCATTCGACTGCCAGGCACTTCTGCATTCTTGGAGTTTCGTGGCACCTTTCCTGGTAGAGTCTTAGAAGATGTTTTTGGAGGCTCACCTCGAGTTGGTTCACGAAAGACACTGTCCGACACTGTATTAACTAATGGTGGATCAGAACTAGTTACCGAGGCAGGCACTGCTATGTTTTCTTGAACAGGCAGCAAACGTGAAGGAGGTACCCTGGAAATATTTTTAGAATTCTTCTTCGGTTGATTCCGTAAATCTGATTTACCAAATATGTCTGATGCCACAGAACCTAACGTGGCAGAGTTGTTTAATGTTGAGTGCACAGAAGAAACATTCCATGGTAAAAAGCCCTCAGAATCAGTCAGTGCAGAACCGGACACTGGCGTGGACTGCATAATATTGTTTGTTCTTCGGTGTAATGTCTCCGAGTTTCGCACTTTATTCTTAGGATTAAATACTGGTTCTGATGGAGCAACAAACTCGGCTCTTGTGTTTCTGCTACCATCTTCAACTTCTCTTTCTGATGGTTCATTTGAAAGGTGAGCAGTGTCTATCCACTGAAAGATCTCTTTCACTTTATACGCAGGCAACTGAGGTGAAACAGAACCCCAAATGGAAGGGGGTGACCCGGGTTGATGCACCTTTGCACCAGAACAGTCTTCTGAAGTGGGAATCGCGGAGTCCCTTTCCTCTTCAGAACACCTAGATTTTCCAGCTGTTCTTTGGATTGACTTTCCTTTGGAGTTTCCATCTGATTTTCTTCCTGGAAAAGAAAAAAAAAAACCCTCTTGCTTACACTACTGAGAAACATTAAAAAATTGAACTTGAAAAAAGCATACAGTACATTGTGCATGTGATTACTCTCATACTGTTACATGATGATTACTGAATTTGTTTTCAGAAGATCACATAATTAGGTTTATAGTTTTAAACTTTCAGAGTGGAACTTATGCATAAGAAATATAAAACAAGTTGCAAAGTAAAATCAAATTTGAAGATGTACTTTTTTAGATAATACCCTCTGAAACTCGTGCAAAACATGAAATTTCATTATTTTCAAAATGAAGTTAATAGACATAAAATTTAATATCATAAAGACAATTTTCAGTGTTCTTTCATCATTCTAAAACTATTTATTAAGGTTTGGTCCAATCGGACGATGGTCGGAAAATTTTGGCGGATTTTACATGGAATTACCCAAATAAATATGAAAAATATTTATAATTTAAAAAATAAAATGTAAACTAGTTAAGAAAATTTTGATAACAAAACTTGAGAGGAGTTGTTATTATTACAGGATATCTTGTGAAGAAGGTAAACATACATGTAGTTTTAACGTAATGGAGGACTGTGAAACACTCGCATGTAGCATATAATCAGGTATCTCAGTTTGCCACGGCTGAATGGGAGGAAGTCAGTGAGACTAATGATGGAGTATAATGATGGAGTATCAACAGTTACTCGTTTGAAACTTCTTCACATCGACAATGTTACTGTGAAGTATTAAGAGGTTTGTAATTTTCTCAACACAGACAGCTGATGAGTTGACAAATCCAAAGTAAAATGAAAAAACACACAATTAATTTTGGCAAACTGATACATCCAGGGTTTTGTTTAGTTGCTTAGTTAGTTTCTTTCTGTGTATACAGAATATTTATTCAACTCACCTGAAATAACTCTTCGACTTCTTGTTAAGAGAAATGATGTGTCACAACTGCCAAAACTCTCATCCTGTTCCCAGGTAAATGAACTTTTCTCACCTAAACAAGAGGAAAAAATGCACTAAGTTTGTTCACAAAATCCATAATGACAGAAAAGGACACTAAAAAAACAAAGTTTGTTATAGAAGATATAAGTATGTTAAGTATTGACATAACATTTTTTCATCAAATTTAGTGCATCAAATCATTTCATGCTCTCGTTATTTCATCAAATTTATGTTATTTTCTACATTATTTGAAATTCAATATTGAAGTGAATATCAAAGTGAGTACTTGTGGTGTTCACATATTATTTGAAATTTGAAAGTCCCTTTGTCCATACATCTGCCATGGTATTCTGTAGTGCAATGAAGGCTTGTAAAAAGGAAATTGTGATTTCCATGACAGACTATTTTTAATGTGACTTCTGTAACTAAATTTCACAAGGATTGTATAGATCTTACTACAGAGAAAAGGGTTTTTGCTCTTTAAGCGGTAAAAAATGGTCCTGTCCTGATTTTGGTGGAGGTCAATCCAAATACGTCATGAATGTGACATTGGCACTCCAATTGGATAACGTTGATAATCTGACAAAAAAGATCAAAAGTCTGAGGGAAAATTCCCTTGAAGATCATGAAGAAATATATTCTTCAAATTTGATGGAGCATAGAAAGTCTCAGGAATTCTCGGAGCAGGAGAAACTCTCAAGGAATATATTATTATTCAACTTCATGGAAAACCTGAGTTTACCATTCAGTGATTATCAGGCAGTCAAAAAGCAAACAGGCAAATCAATTTTATCAAGCATTGTTGATGTTGACATCAGAGAAATTCAAGTATAGAGACTGGGTAACAATAGAAACAAAGACAATACACTAAATCAGGGATTTTCTATCTTTTTGTATACACAGCTCCCTTGATCTAAACGAAACTACCGGTGGCTCCACTAGTAACAATAATTTTCAAATACAGTCAACTCCGGTTAAAGTGAACCTCAGTAGATGGTCCTGTTTCACTTACATTACAAATAAGGCAAGAAGATTCGGTTATAGTAAACACTGAACTTTGGCTATAGTGAACATAGGAAGTATGTCCTGGAAATTAATTCCCCCAGGCAAAACAATATATCTCCTCAGTGCCACAAATTCCAGTCCTAGGCAGCTTGGAAAAAATATCGTCAATAATCTGGAGGTACCAGACCTGAATGTCTCTCTTCAGCCATCAGTTTCAATAGCCAATTGCGCAATGTCGCTACCGAAAGGATCTAGTATGTTATTCCATTTTAATTACGTATTAAAATAACAGTTAACACATTCTATTCAAATAATATTTTTTTTATAATTATAATATAAATATATTATTATATAAATAACAATTATAATATAGTTATTTATTCAAATAAATACATTTTAATATAATGCCAAAATTCTTCTAAAAAATAATGGGAAGGATGAGCTTAAACATCCCCGACGCACGCTAGGGATGTACATCTATACTAAAGGTGCCACAGAAACTTATTGATAAAGGACTTGTCGAGTTCCATTGATCCATAATTAATTAGTCAATAATTTATTTTAATATATAACAAATAGCATAGTACAAAATTATTATCCGAATATTAATGACAAAAGGATTAAAGTAATTCAAATGATGCAGTTTGAAAACCCTAGCACTAAATACAATTTATAATTTTATACTTGTTACAGTTTGCAATATAATAAATAACCAACAGCCTCAAGTTTGAATTTTGACAATTGAAGACCAATTAAAGTAGTTTTCCTGAATGCCACATTGCTGTTATACTTGGCAGATGGAGTTATAAAACAACTGTGAAAACTGTTCCAGATTATACTTTACTTTGAAACTGATACATTATTAACCCTTGAAAGAGCACTTTCTTTAAAGATATTTGGGTATGAACAGCACGTTGTGCCGCATTGCGAAATGAAGTGTGTAGGATTGTTTGATGCCTACAAGGCACAAGGAAAAATTTATTAAAGTACAATAAAAATATAAACTAGTACTTTTAATTGTAATATATGTATATAAATATTGCATTAAGAACCACTCAATATTTTTGTGAGAGAAATAGAATACACCTTGGTGCAGCTGTTGTTATACAAGTGAAGACATAATTGAAATGTTTAAAATAAAATTTAAACAATTATCACGTTTTCTAAAGGCTTTTCTTTTCTTCTCAATTATTCCATTAGTTGCACGTATCTTCCTCTTCTTTGAAGAATTTTATGTAAGCGAGCTCGTGGCAGCTGTAGATTGCACATAAATCTGGAGTTAAAAAAGTGCCACGTACGATAGTTCTAATGTTTTTGTGTAGGTCACATTCTCAGCAAGCTTCTCTTCTTCTTTCAGGTACTATTTTTGTTCCTGCATACTGGATCTCTATTTTTCTGAAATACATCCAAATCTTTCTTCTCTTCCGTATGCTAAAAAAAGAGGCCCATTGACAAATTCGTAAGAAATTTACATTGGAGCTACATGATGAAGGTTTACCTCCTGTGAACATGTTCCTGTTATGCCAATCATTCTAAAAAATAGGGAAACATGCTATCTTCTCCATATATCAAGGTGCACAATTTTGGTCACCAGCAGTAGCTCCCTTTGGAATATCGTAGTTGACAATAACTGTTGGTGTGCTTGTTTCATCATACTGAGAGGTGAATTATCCTTATTCACTAAATACAACTTACTTTATGAATTGATTGAAATCAATGTACAAATATATAAGCATTGTATTATGGCACTGAAACATACCCGGCGTGGATCCACAATGAGGGAAATTCACCCTCCGAAAATTTTTCAGTAACTATTAATTTTAACTTGTCACAAACCTTTCAAGCAAAAATATTTTTGGATTGTCATTAAAACAAATAAAATTGTATCGCAGCATGAGCCGAGTGTAGCCTGCAACACTTTACAAAATCTGCCATATGACATATTCAACCAAAACCTGTTGAATTTCCCGCCCTAAAATTCATCTCTGGCTCCACCCCTGAATATACAGAGTGGTATTCTCATGAATTAAAGGAAATTATTAAAATGAAAAACCCTGTTCATGAAATCTACAAAATTACTTGAATTCAGATTATTTTAAATTTTCAGACCTTCACAAATATTGTAAAGAAAAATATTGTAAAGAGTGAAATTATATTTCGTAAAATCTATGAATGCAACAGAAATGTGAAATCTGTCTGAAAGTATGCAAACTCTAAAAGACAAACCAGAGCCCTCTCAGGGTTTTTTCCCATGGTGATTCTAAAGTGCATGATGGTCAAGAAATTGTTGATCTATTTGCTGACTATACGAGGATTTATTTAATCATGCACTTGATGTAAATCAGCAGTTCATGTTTTCATCCAATCAAAAGCTTGAATGTCCCCATAGTGACTTCACTGTAGCGACATATACGCTCCAGGTTGGAAGAAAAAGGAACAGCTGCTTTACATCAAGCGCACGACTAAATAAATCATACTATACTTTCAATTTATTTATTCTCTGGGGAAAACTCATATTGCAACAAACTACAACACAGTAGAGAATATAGCGAACTTGGGATCCTTGAATTTAAGACAGAATGAAATTTTCAAAGCTATTGGGAATCTGAATGGAAATCTCTGGCTGGGAACAGATGGGATACCCCTTGTTTTCTAAATCACTACCTGAGGGATGTTTTCCAGCAGTAAGGAAAAATAGTTTTATTACTCTGGTATTAAAAGTGGCAATTGATCTTCTATAACCAATTATCATTCACTTTTAAAATAGATGGTTCAATCAAAGGGTTTTAGATCCTTAATGATTATTCAGCATCTGTTGAAAAATTAGAAATGAAATCTTAAGTGCATGTGGCATACACAGACTTTACAAAAGTTTCCTATAACACGAATCAGAATATACTGTTGCAAAAATTGAATGGTTTGGGTATTCATGACATATTGTCATTGTGGATAAGAAGTTACCTGCTCCCTAGGGCACAGTATGTCAAATATAAATCTTATATTTCACAATTTATTGATGTGATGTTCCTCAAGGTTCACATCTTGATCCACTTTTATTCCTTTTCTCATTAACATTATGAAAAATTATTTGCCTTCAAATTTATTTGTTGCTCGCTGATAATTTTAAAATCTTGGGGGAAACAAAATCTCTTGATAATTGTTTGTCCCTATAACATGATTTGAATGGTCTCTCACTTCATTGCTTGGTTAAACTGAATAATTTATAACTGAAATTGATTATTCAAAAATGTAAAATTTGCAAGTTCTCCAAGGTTCTCCAGCTGATGCTAGGATTGCTTATAAAATGGCTTTTTTTTTTTAAATCATAAAGAACATTCTTTGTTTCCTACCCATCAATTGGAATACCAAACGATATAGATATATGGATACGTGTGTAAAAACACAATATTAATTTTCATCAAAATAATATCCCCCCCTCCCGTGTTTCAAATTTTAACAATTTATTATAAACTTCCACCAGTTTAGAAATGCCCCATTTGATTATGCTTTACAGTGTTGAAGGTATTCAAAAGAACGGTCAAAATTCTATTCATTTCTACAAAAATTTGTAATTTTCAGTGTACATTGTAAAAGAAACCTAACATCATTCAAACTGTTTGCGTATTTGAATTGAGGACTCCAACATGAAATTTAGACATTTGTTCAATTCCTTACCATACAAAAGAAGTTAAATTATCCATTTTAAAGGTTCCACATTTCTCTCAACTTACCTCTCTGAACATACTGTATCCATTTATTGACAATCTCTTTCCAGTTAGTTGGAACTCCACGAGCAAATTTTTCAGCAACATATTCTGGAAGTTCTGGAGGGAGGAAGAAACAGTTTTATTAAACAAATTGGTTCTATTGTTATGAAAATTAAAAGTCAGTTACATTAAACTATTGTCATGTTGATGTAATGATAAATCAATAAAAACTTACCTTTTGTGTTCAAAATACCATGAAGTTTCACTAATGTACAGTCATTTGACACCCAATAACTGTTTAATCGATCAGTAATTGGAATGCAAACTGCCAAATCCGAGTTGCTGAAAATTAAAGCAAAATAAATTACTGTCTTTATTCAGTTCACTTTTCTACCCACCAAAGTTGAATTAGGGCAAACGGGTAAGCTACTCAAAATCTCAGGCCTCTGCCAGCTCCAAGAAAAGTAAATAGTATTTCCCCAAAGACATCCTATGAGTAGTATGGTCCGTTCACCAATAGACAATTTTTTTTACACATTTTTAAATCAGTTTCACATTGCCAAAGACTGCATTACTATTGTTCAAATAGTATTTCTGTCTACTTGACAGCTACTGGCTAACTGGGGAGACAGGGCTTGAATATCCAATCAGAAACTGCTGCTGATACTTATTAACAAAAAAGAAATTAAATCTTATCAGAGTGCTATTACTTCTTTGGTCACACATTATAAGTGCAGTTCTGTGTCATCTACTGTTGTGCATTCTTATTGTGATTTGTTTCTTGCTAATAGTGTGATATGATGCAAGAAAGACTACACAATCATGCGGCCGCCACTCAATTAAGTGACAACTTTGCTCTATCCCTGCCCTAGCTGTCAAATAGAAATATTATTCGAACAATATGTTTTCTTTCGGCAGTCATGTCGGCAGGTGCACCAGCTATTAATCCCTGTGTCAATTCACTGTGTGTAGTTTTGGAAGGTTAAGGATAATTTTCAGTATCATTTACATTGTTCCAAAATCATCTCTAAAAAATGTTTAAAGATTCGATACAAATCATGTAAAAAGATGAGAATATGTACGCATGAGAAAAGGATATCAAACAGATGTAAACTGCCAGCCCATAAACACCGAATTTCAAAGAGATTGTTTTTTAATTTCTTCATGCTTTTAATTTAATTCACAATATTTTACAATTTAATCACACAATTGTGTATGTAAATAATTTTTCAAATGGAAAATTTTATGAAGTATTTTTCTTGCTATCTAGTCCAAATATATATAGATAAATGGCGAACATTCACCAGCTCGTGATATGACAAGAATAATAGGAGTAAAACGCTTAAGCAAGTTAGTCAAAGATTGTAAAATAAATGTGAATCATTTCCATGTGTTCATCAATTACGGATTTGGTTTGTCATCAGTATCAAAAAAATCACTCACTAACTGAACAGACAATACAAACGTATATTGGATCTAACTTTTAGAGTCATGAGCAATCATATTAGTTATTGGCAAGCATATTAATGTGTAATTGAAGATAGAATTGCTTATATTAATTGTTGAAGAACAAGACAATATTTTTGTCTTGTGTGGGTGGAGCTCTTGTATGCATTACAGTTGATGCAAACATAAGTTTAAATGACCTCTTTTGTTAAAACGTTTTATTTATTGCATTCACCACCATCATGAATGAATTTAGTGAAAGGAAAACCTTTTACATAAAAAAATGAAATACAAAAGGGGAAACAGATGTTACTTACATATCACAAAGACCCTCTACGCATAGTTGATATTTCTTATTTAACATTAGGGACCACGATTTTATGGGTAAAACACACTTGTATGTTTCTTCCTGAAAAAAAGTGCACCAATTAAAATAAGAACTTACGGTAAAAGAAAAATATTAATCATCATAAGTTTATAATAGAGTAACTATTTGGTACCTTCATTAAATATATTTCATGTTATGTAATTCAATCCATTGTCGTGTCACATTCATATAATACCGATATTCAAAGACACAATCCAGTTACTAAGGAACTTATCAAATATATCATTCCACTTTAATTCTTTCAAAATTGAAATGTACATTAACCATGAAAAACGCCTTGTGTTTACAAGTAAAAGCGATATAAACAATTATTTTGAAAATGAGAATTTACTACTTTGTTAAAAATATTTAATGTAAATCCAGCTCATAAATTAATCATGGCCATAACATTTTCAATGTTGTTGACATCTGTATTTGTCAATACTCTCACACTATAAAAAACATTATCTTCTAATATTTTAATACATGGGAAAAGACAATGAAAAAAACTAAAATACTTTGGTAATACATCCAATTTTGTATTTGTACTAAAGTTCAAAACAACAGTTATTAACATTTTGAACTTCTATTTGGAGGAAATTCACATATTTATTAATAACTATGAGTAATTTCGACTGCCATTAAGCATACACGCCAAAAACGGAATGCATACGATTCGTTGTGATCTAAAATCATTTCTACGAGAAACTGAAATGATCAGACTAGTCTCCTGGTCACGTGAAGAACAAAATACTCGACAAAATAGTAAAACATACAGGAAACGAAGTACTGTAAGTGAACTCGTAAGCTTTGTGGGCTCAAGTTTATCACTACCTGTTGACAAGCCGCCATCCATAACAATTCAAAATCTACTTACCCACGACTTCCCATTCCATTTCGACAGACATGACCCGCATCGTAAGTTTGACGAGGGACACATGGTCTAGCATAAAGAGATTATTCATACATTCCCAACACTTTACTTCACTTCATTTCCCTTCTGCACCTTCACACACAAACAAGCACTTTTCCAGCCTTCCGAGCCTTCCTCCTCGGAGGACGCCACCGCAAACACAAAACCGCTTGTACAGCAGTTTTGCACGGAGTAAACAAAATTGCGCGGGAAATTTACTCACTTACTTATGATTTTGTGAAGGGTTAGGGTCCATATTACTCGCTCACTTTTATCGAAACATTAGGCGGGATATTTGAATATAATACCTTATGTAAACAAGGAAATGGTACATCTTTTACAAATTTATTCAGTATTTTAAATCTTATGTAAATATGTACTTTTGTATTGTGTTTTTGAAGTGCGCATAAACTCACAACAAAAAGTAGGTTATTTTTTTTTAGCATTCATCACCATTTAAGAATTATATTAAATGTTGTAAAATTAACAAGCAATTCTGTCCACTTTTCACTTAAACTACATATTTCTAGTAGAATTTTAAGTTATAGTAGGTCAAGTCTATAGTACGAATTTTCTAGGTATTGAAATAGTTGCGGCTGATTCCCCAACAAACTGGAGGTTGCAACTCCATCGAATTACAGAAAGGTAATTTCAAAATTGAGAACAGAACATATATAATGAAAGTCACCAATTCATGTAAATTGATTAAAACTGTTTAACAAAAGTCTGTATTCAAACATTACTCTCATAATTTTATGCGTGTGTTCGTCTAGGGTACATTCACCTCCCGCGCATGTGGTTCTGTCTTTGATTTCCAGTAGGGACTTGAGTTTTTGTATTAATTGTGCATTGAGACAATTGAAGGTACTAATAACATTCACACAAAACAAAAAAAAACTTTGTTTCGTACTCCAGCACTTTGCAACAAGCACTATTGTTGGGACACGTTTTACACAAATAAAATTATTTTATTTCGAAAAATTCACTACCCTTTTACATATTGTGAAAATAAAAAATCTTCCGCGCACACAAGTATTGTATTTACGACGGCGCTCTCACTCTGTAGCTCAGCTCAAGAGGGCTAAATGGACCTCCCGGTCAGAGGTACCGCAGCCCTGAGAAATGACCCTTGTATTCGAGGGTCATTTCAGAAAACATGGCAACTATGTTCTATATGAATGGGTGAAAAACAGAACGGAATAAGAAACATTTTATAAATTCTGAAAAATCTGTTTATTTAAGTCAATATCATTGTAAAGTTGTGCTTTGCTTCATCATTAAAACCACGGCATAACAAATGTTCATTTAAACTACGAAAATTCATTGCCACATAAATATAATCCAAAACAAATACATTTTCTCAGAATTTATAAAATGTTACTTATACCGTTCTGGTTTTTACCCATTCATATTCTGAATAACCACATTCCCTAGACCAAAGTGGGTGACATATGCTTTAACTGAGATGCAAAATTGGACTCGATAGACACATGTTTCAATCTGGGGCGATTCCAACAAAAAGGAAATGAGATGTTGAATCGCATTATTGCAATTGATGAAAAGTTGGCAGGAGCGTTCGAACCAGAACTAAAGAGGCAATCAAATGAATGGCGGCGTCGAGGTTCACCACGAAAACTCAATCCATCACCCACGAAGGTCATGCTTAGTTTGACTTATGACAGCCGAGGTATTATCGTGTCCCGTCCTGTTCGTTAGGGCCAAACTGTCACTGCCACGTACTACAGATCATTGCCGCTGCACAATCTGCGTCGCACACCGCGGAGGACGCGTACAGGGCATGTTGACAATGCAATACTCCTCCACGTTAATGCAACAACCCACACTACAGCCTGTGACCAGAGCCTTGGGCGGAGGTGGAGTGTGGGAGATATTGGAACACCAACCGTACTCCCTGATCTCAGTCTGCGCGACTTCGATCTTATTCCAAAAATGTAGACGCCGGTGCGTGGGAAGCGGTTTGCAAACAGGGAGGTCATCCGAACGGCGCATCGACGAGAGGTGGCGCGCATAGACACATCACACAGATGGTATTCAGCGCCTTCGTCATCGATGGCAAAGATGTGTGGACGCCTTGGAGGATTATTTTGACGGTTGCTAGCGCGTAAGAGTACGAGTATTACGCGTACTGTTTTGTTTTGTGCAAATGTAATACGAATAGTTTTGCAATTGTTTTGCTTCTGGACGTAAATGTTGCTTCAGTATGCGCACGTTTTGTTGAACTCTCCTTTTGCTTGTAATGGTAGTAGAGGTAAGGGCAAGTTACTATTTTGTTAGCAAATGCAGAAAAATCGTACTTGCAATTCGTTTTACCGATGCAAATAAATTTTCTATAACTCGGCAACAAAAATGTATATTTTTTTAAAAAATATTGCTAATTTCGCGTATTTAAAATTTGTTTTTGTTTATTTATTTTAAACTTTTACTCATCTTTCAACTATTTATAGTTAAAATGACGAGGAAGGATTCTGAAACTCAAGAAAACGAACGCAGTAAATATTCTCCCCCATACGTCATATACAGTTTTTACTGTTTGTTTGACTAAATAAATCAAATCAAATAAAACAATGCATCTTACAATGTCCGTTACCCGTAGCGCCTCGTACCTGGATCGCAATTTAGTACCAGCATTGTGAAGAACGCCCTCGGCTATTGGTAGGTTAGCGTGCTCGCTTTTCACGGCGGAACACCAGGTTCGATCCCCCCGTCACAACACAATTATAACTGTGCTTTCCTTACAAATATCCCAGTATCTATGACTCTGCAACGGTGAGAAAGCCTACCCTAAGGTTAAGAAGGCCAGTGTATACGGTAGACAGATGTCTTCGTGCTAAACACAGGAACCCCTTATGCCATGGCCGAGAGGCTGGGCCACCGCTAGTCGGCCAAGGCCCGTATTGGGCTGTTGAGCCAATGGACAGGGTTGTGAAGAACATTTCAGCGATTTTCAACCGCATATCCAGGTTTTTGTTTCCTGCAGCTTTATTGACTGATAAAAAATAGGTGATATGACTTGAAATGACGCTTTTAAATGTGTATATATAAGGTCTTGCCTTGAGTCCTACCTACACGCCTTCTTACGGGGGTTTTCCCAACCAGGCATCTCCCACGTGGCGCACCGCCCCCGCCGGGATAAGCTCCGAGCTCCCGGCCGGTCTCCCGGCATGTGTAGTGTACGTAAGTGAAAGTAGGGGGTGAGGATAGGGCAAGGAAGAGGAAGCAAAGATCGCGCGCGGTCCGTGGCCTATTTACGTTCCGGCTTTTGCCTGGTGTTGATCGGAGAAACTATGGAAAAACTACCGATTAGAGTGGCTGGCCACTAGAATTGTCCTCCAGACAACAGCTGAATTCGACCGAGCTTTCTAGCTGGCGTCGAAAATCCTGCCACCGTCGGGACTCAAACCCTAGAACCTCCCGGTCAGAGGCATTGTAATGTCATCAGTAGTTTCCCTGAGTCACCTTCGCAGGTGATTCTGACTACACATTACGTAAGAAGTAATTTTCTACTTACGCAGGAAGATGGGTTTTCCATTTTTTGGATATCAGGGCTCCACAAAACGAGATTTTCTATTAAGAAATTACCGATTGTTGTAGCAGCAGTACAATACTAGTACTTTATTTTTGCTATGTCAGTGCGTAGTGCAGCAAAAAAGGAAAAACGATACAAAGGAACATACGGGTCATTTTGGCGTCCAGACAAAGTTATTCCGGTGAACGGGACAGAATCAGGCACGGACCCGGGAGCCTGATAGTTCTTAAAAAAATAATACAAATTTTTCAAAAAAATAAAATAAAACACCGTATAAAATGTGATGTATGATTAAATTATACGCGAAAAATGGCATAATTTAGTGATGTGTCACACATCGTTGGATAATATTTTATAACATGGAATGGTTCTGGTTGATGCGAGAATGTAACTTAGTGATGAGAAGTTAAGTTTTTTAACAAATTGGGGGGGAGGTGAAAGCAAGAATAGGGGGGGCTCTCAAATTAACAAGGCCCAAGGCCCCCCAAAGCTGGACAGAATTTCGAAAAACGGGATCATCCGGAATTTTCTTGGGTCGATGTTTGATACTACAACGGATATTTTAAAGCGCCCAACCTCTCGCTTTTGAGGACAATGTTACGATGTGGCAGTGAACATGTCTGAATCAGTGGCGGCTAGTGAAAAAATGGCCAGGGTAGGCAAAAAAGCGACGGATCCAGGGAAGGGGGCCCCACTTGAATCTAATTCCTTTTTGTTTTGTAATTTTATTAAATGTATTCAAAATAATAGTCTCGTTGGTATAATTACATTCCAAAGTATTATTTTCACGAAGCAAAAACAGATGTAATTTCAAGGTATTCAGATTCTAAAATCGTTTTGCGAGTTTTTTTATTGTTCTGACAATAATTCAGAAAAAGGATTCAATTTTTTCCCAGGCGTCTAAGATTTACTAAATTACATATGTGATCTATTGACATTTAATGTTTTCGTAAAATTTTTGATAAATTTTTCACGTCAAAATATCCATTCCTTCTTAATAAATTGACATTAAAAGAAATGTGCAACAATAAAGCTTAGCTTTAACTTTACTACCTGATATCCATTTGTGTGAACTGAATTTTATTACATTTTTCTCGTCAGCACCTTGTGCAACCGTACTCAACATGAGTAAGTCGACCACTGTTCAAAAGTTGTTTCTTTTTAACATCGTTAAGACGAGAAAACTATATACATAGTAGTTCATTTACTATTTCTGTCGTGATATTAACGTAAAATCATATTTAAATACTAAAAAAATCAAGTAACACTAATAACATTGGTGTACAAAAAACAACATTTTTTCTGTAACAAGAAGAAACCACACTGTTTCTGTAAGATCATTTGGCTCTCCATTCAGATATAATTTCAGATTTCTGTATCAGCCTCAGTTTTCATGCAATGATGCTTTTTGTAATTGCGTATGTCTTCTTATGTATTATGTGTATCTGGCAAAATAAACCGCTCTAATAACAACACATGCAGTGTCGTAACGTTGGCCTGCAAAGCCTGCAATGCGGGCGGGCCCGGGTAATAGGGGGGCTATTTTTATTAAGATACTAACACTAATTGTGTTTGCTATACACTGTTGTAAAGGGGCCCAGAAAAAGGTTTTGCCAACGGGCCCGCACTCATTTCGTTATGCTACTGTCCACATGTATACAGTGAGAAATAAGACAAAAGTGTTAAGAAAAGTGAATAGGAAGCTTGGAATGTTTCACAGAAGGCTTGAAGTGTTGAATCAGCATGGATATCTGCACTATCTTCTGAATGTTCATCACAGTAGCATTCATCTTCAATGTCACGTTTTCAGAAGGTTGTCGAACCGGAAATTCGTCACTGACATACAGGCCTTACAACAGATGGTAAATTAAGATATTGCACAGGTGTGTGTATGTGTGAGTGGTTGTTGTTTTTCTTCGTTTTTGAGGTAATTCCAGCTATGTGTCAGATAAAAATTGCAGTTCCCACCAAATCATGGGAACAGCAAAGATCATATGGATTATATGTCGTGAACCTTTTAAACAGCATGTCAGGAGTGTAACACACGACACACAAAAAATATCGGAGGCACATTTCATTTGAAGTCAATTTAAGTACTTTAACACACAAATACAATAGTTTGCAAATTGCATATCAACACCGTGTGAAATCTTGCAAAAAATTTGCATTTGTGAAATTAAAAACAAACAAAAATAACAACAAAAACCAGCGAAATGAACTTTGTCATATTAATGAGTGAAATTAGCACTATCCGTACGAAATGTTTGAAGAACAAAATTGGAGCCGTTTTTGAGAAAATGGCGTTTGAGCATGTCTGAAAATGCGGAATTTTGAGCTAGTTTTCATAGAAAACGGTTGAATTTTCGAGCAACTTTATATGATATTATTTAATACACATGTATTCATAAATACAATAATGTGAAAAAATTGCCACTAGTATAAATATTAACGACATGAGAGACAATTTTTGTAAGTTTGGAAAAAACAAAAGAATATACCAATATGGCGTTTATGTCCTCTTAGAGTACATTTAGCACTATCACAGAAGTAAAAGAGAATATAGTATGACTTGGTGGGTATAGAATATGGTATGACTTCAGTAATATTGCAAAACCATTGCGAGAAAATTAGAAGTCACATATTTTTGTTCTAGAAAGGAGTTATTTTGTCATTGGCAGGATAAATTAACATGTATCCAGTTAGAAAATCATACTGTCTAGAGGGTCTCCTGTCAATTTTCAGCCTGCCCCTAAAAAAAATAATCCATCTCTGCCTTAAGCAAACACAATCTACCATCCCTTCCCTTAACAAATTATCACATAGTGCTAATTTTTAGTCATCATAAAATAAATAAATAATTCATATTTCTGAAAAATGTTGATCAAGGATAGTTGGAAGTAATCTGTAAGCCTCAACAAACAAATCAGAAGGAAAGTCTTCCAAATAAAGAGTGAATTCTAAAAAAAGAAATTATATTTTCAAGTTTTTATTGCACAATAATAATTTTTTATAATAGTACATTCATTGCACTCAATTATTCTTTATTTAATTTACCTCCAAAGGATATAATGTTAGGTTTAACATTATACTATGTGACTTCACATTACACGTGACATTATATGTTACTTATGACAAAATATTATAATTTAATTAAAAAACAATCATAATCAAGTTTCAATGACACAATCTATTCTTCGCTCGTGCATGAAAGCTATTGTTCAATATTGAACAACGTGACTTAACTAGAAAGTAGAAATTCAAATTCAAGAATCCATTTTTATTTTGCTGCACATGCTCTGTATAAAAATGGACATGTATTATACCTTGAAATAAAACAAATAATAATTAATCAGAGTTATTTATAAAAAAATTAAAATGGTAAAAATTAAACAAAGGTCCTATGTATGAAATCACACTTAAAACAACACAATAATCATTTATTTAAATATTGCAACAATTGTGACTCAAACAATACCATTCATTTTAATATTTTTTCAATTAGATTTTCAAATCAAAAAGTATTTTACATTCAAAACCATCCACTTGCACATCCATTTCTTTTCAAGTCCTAGAAGAGCAAACAAATATTTGGAATGCTTTATTTCAAATTTGCAGTTAAATTCTCGACATTTGTAATAAACCAGTTACTCGCTGGCCACTTAGACAAACAATTGATTATTATGAGATATGTTTTGTCAAAAATAATAGCCCCATGTAGGACATATCATAAAACATAATTAGTATTAACCATACAAAACATATAATTATTTTATTTTAGATATGGTAAACTACAATTGTAGTGTTGCAATATGACCCCTGCTGACAAGATTCTGTCATCTGTTGAAAATTGCAACATCTTCATTTAAGAATGGCAGCTACCGAAGTGCAGAATTGTGTGTAAAGTGAAATTTATTTTGAATTCTTTTATGTTTTTCTGCTGTACCTTGTGAACACCCGATAGTATTTCAATCAGGGTTGTATTTTAAGCATTTTTACATACGTGTATTATGAGCTCCCTGTTAAATTAGTTTCCATCAAATTACTTTTACAGAATAAAAATCTTGCCCAATTATTTTAAAACTTTATCACAAAAGATGATTGTCTACTTGAATCTTGAAATAAATGGATAAAATTAAATTGAACCTTTTACTAAATATTGCTATGTTGGATATTTAACATACAAAGATTTACAATTGACTTAAGTTTAAGGTTCATTAAGAGTAGAAGAGCTTCATTACATCTTATTTCAACTCTCACTTAGAACAGTCACCTCTTAAGCCTTGTATATAACTACACGTTCCAAGTCCATTATGTAAGAGTTTAATTAGATATTAACTTTTTGCTAATCTTGAATAGTTAAGATTGAATGAAACATTAAGTAGATTCTTAGTTGAAATGTTATTTCAGTAATCAAATAAGAGAATTAGGAGAGAAGAAAGAAAAGAAAAGTAATGGCTTATCCAAGTTTTTTCAGTTTCTAAAATTTTTTCTCTCACAACTGAGCTATCATATTAAGTATGGACTTGTTAATTTGCTCTCAAATCATTGATATCATGGTTGAAGTTGAGAAGTTTTTAATACACGAAACCTTCAACACGTAAGTCAGTAAGAAATTCCTATTTAAAAATGCACATGAATAAAATTAAGTTTGGGATTAGTGATTATTTATACTTTAATAATTTTGTTTCAGATCAGTGCATCATTAAAAGAGACTATTTCCTCAGGGTCACAATGATATTAGGATGATTACTTTTAAGTTACTCCAGATATTTCCCATATTCAATGAAAAATGGAAATAACGTTATTGGGATTAAGAACTACAGTCTTTATCACTTCATAATTCTTTTTATTTCATGAACCCTTACGTTGATCTTTTTTATCATTCTGTATTATCATTTAATGTTTGACATTTTATATCTTGCATCTCTCATTGACTTAAGTATAGTAAAAGTAATATTTTATGATATATACAAAGTTTTCTTGACAATAACTTTATTGTAAATACTGTTATTGGCACACAAAGAGAAGATAACAATTAAATTATGTTGCAGAGTTTCTTTATTAATGAACAATACAAGAAAACACAAACACTTATGTATCATTAATTTCTTTATGTATACTGCATCATTGTACAATGTTGCACCCATGAGCACACCTCCATGCAAATAGGTGAAGTGAATTGTGGAGAAGCTCCCAATATGGCAGTGTTTGATGAAACTTTCTTGGTGATATAATGTAGAATTTAAGTAAATAAGTGTTTCTCTGTCTCAGAAAACAATAATTTGAGTTGGAATAGTATTCTTTTGAATAAAAAAATCCGTCTCTTTTGATTTTCAGTGAAACAATGCAATTTTATTGAATTTTCAAACCCTTATTTGTAACTTTTGATGTACCATACTTTTAAGGTTCTCAAGATATTGAGAACTATTAAGAGAGCTAGATCATTTCTGACAAATAGGTAGTAACCTATATTGCTGGTTGTAACCTATGTTGTTGATTTTTGATTTTTGTGCATGTACAAAATAATTTGGTATTGAGCAATTGCCTGATTGATAAATTAAATATTGTTTCAACATATTATTCAAGACCATTGGAAACTGGTCCAATGGTCTTCTGATGAAATGGTAGTAGTAATTTTTTTATTAGTACGCAAGTTGGCAAACAGTTAGTTCTTTAAGCTCATGTATTCCAACTCAAGGATTCATATTTTTACTTTAATCAATGTTTCCCCACTATGTTTTGACTAGGGGAGTACGACAGAGAGAATGAGGGAATAAATTTGGCTCATAAAATCAGTTGCAACTTGTGACATCAAAAGTTGATGATTCACAAAATTTAGTGGTTTATAAAAAATGTGGAAAGGTGTTCTTGTTCAGTCAACAAACCTAACTATCTGCAAAGCTTTATGAATACTTTATGGCAGCCAAGAATTTCTTCACGATTTAACAGATCAGGTTGAATTCATTCTGCCCTGAAAGTTGTTGATCAAGGCATTCAGGAGTTTAATAATTAAACTTGTCTTTCTCAAATGAGAGATTAGCCTTACTCTGCAATGGAAATTTATTCTAAATGAGGAACAACAATTACTCAAAACCACGGTGTCAAATTGATTCCCATTTGAAAGGAAGATAATAAAAGGACAAGAAAGGGGGGTAATAAGAAAGAGGGCATGAGCAAAAGGGCATGAGAGTATGACCCACAAATGAACTGGGTTGAAAATGGAAAAGGTTGGTAAGGAAGAGGGTGAACTAAAAAAATGTGGCAAATCGAAGGTGCTTGTTTTAACATCTGCTTGAAATTTGCTTTGTTGCATAAACCAAATAAAACAGATTGTGGGAGGTCTCTACTTATATAAATACACAAGAATCAAACATTGTAGAAAACAGTAGATCATGCATTAGAAACTCACTTGCGGTTGGAGATCAAAGGTTTTTTTTGACAATGGTTTATTTATCGACTGGTTGCTCTTGTAAAATAAACATTAATGACTGAACCTCTTAGATACTCCTTAATTAAAGATATTGAAATAAAACATTAATTTCTATAAATCACATACTTATTTTATTTGCCAAATAACACTTTAGAAAAGCTTTTGTAGTTATTATAGGCCTATTATTTAAAATTTAGCGGTTTTTCTGCAGTCTTTGTACATGTGATATCGAAATCACTTTGGTATACATTGATCATACATAGTTCTCACATTTTATGAATTATAATATGTAGCCAATCATGTTTTTTTATCCATCGTAGTTCAATAATGCTGAATGAATTAGTTCATTATGTTGCTAATTTTTCAAGTTTTGGGAAATATTACTAATATTTCCTTATCTGGATTTCTTCATATTGTCATTGGAGGAAAGAAATTTTACATTGACAATTAACATACATTTTCTTTACTATCATTGCACCCTGATGTTATGTTGAAGATGTCAGGGCAGGATTTTACACAACAATCACAATGTAATCTGAAAAAGTTTGTTAATGAGCGAGACCTACAGTAAGAGGTTGTTACAGATTGTTCAAGGTTGTTGGCTGCATACATAATTTCAACTAGATTTTGCTATTGCTAAGACAAACTAATATATAACAAGTTTTACTGGAACATTAACGAACTTAAGATTTACGAGTTGGTGATAGTGTCAAAACCTATAAACAGTTCAATTTCTTTTCGATATTATATCACTGTGCTAATTTATTCACTGAAAGATTTTTATTATATTTCTGCGACGAGTGACGATTCTGTTGATTTGAACTTTACGGGGACGGTGTATCGAACAGTTTTGAATTTGTGTTCCAAATTTAATTTATTCTACATTTTCATGACAAATTTTCAGTTAATATCATTTATCTATCTACGGTAAAGTATAGTCTACTGATTGTATTAAACAGTAGCAGCTTAAGTGAACAACAATCTAAGACTTTTGGATGGAAAAGGAAGGAAAGAAATATAATATTAAAGAGTTGAAAATGGAGGAACTGATGAAAGAAGCAAGGGCATTTTTCCCATGAACAAAATATGCTCTTGCTATTTCCGTCTTTGCCATATACTATGAGCTATGAGAACCATTGAGCACTCATTTAGAAGAGTGAAAATTTGGCTACATTCAACAATGAGAGAGGAATGCTTGAATAGACATCAAACACAGGAAAGAAGAAAAATAGAAAAGGACTTTCTGCATTGGCTTAGTGCAGAAAAAAAAAAAAAAAGAATATATAAGCTGAGGCAATACTTGCTCGGAAGTAATGAACTGATTTACATAAAAACAGCTTGTTTTAACTTGCATGTTATGCTAAGTAAAATTCAAGGGTATATTCCAGGTATTATTCTTAACAAATAAGATTAAATTTGTAACATTTTTCCAACAACCAAACCCTCCTCCCCGTGCCAGCTTTCACACCAGGTATTGCACCCCAGCCAACAATTTGAACCTATTTCAATAAAGAAATCATGAGGCAAAGATTGTGACTTTGATAATGCAAGGTAGTTCTCAATGACATGTATGTATTAGATTGCTATGTTCACCCAGTTATTTGTTGTGTTGAATACCGTGACTGATTAAGTTATTTGTCTACGTTCTCTTTCATTCTTTAAATTCATGTTAGAAACCTTTTGTCTACTCCTTTCTCTTCTCGTTCATTCTTAAACTGCTGTAGTGAAGAGGTAATGCAGGGTGCAACTTTGTGCATCTGTGGTATACTAATGTTTACTCTCACCTCCGCATGCTAGGGCTTAAGAGACCTTGGAAAATGGATGGCAATTCAGTGCGAGCACACGAATGAAGCAGACGTTCTCCTCCAAGGAGAGTAATTGGTTGTCTTGCATGATACTCAATCAATTCCCCTGTAAAATAACATCACAATAATGAAACATTGAAAGTTTAACAATATAATTATACGATTAAAAGAATTAAAACCGTCCAACGTACATTCTTCTCCTATTTGGCTTTTAAATTCAATATACCTAATACAATTTATAATCATAATTATTGAGATATATCAAAGAGGTTGGAACTGTCTATGTTGAAATCTGCAAGAATGTTTCGTGATGTTTTCTTCATATTTACAGTCTTGACTGCATCAGTTTGGAAGTCCATGATTTCTGATTTATTTACACCATATGTAAATAGATTTAATATCAGGGAAGCACCACTGATTTATAAATAGAATTGCAAACACAAAACATTTTGATTCATCAGTCGACTCCGCAGATTAGTTAAATATAATTTCCAGTAATATATAATATCTTACAAAATCGGTATTTTCAAATAATGTTAATGACATTATTTACGAGTTTATTGAAATTGAATATTGTGATTGATATTGAACATTGATCTGCAGCATCTAAAATTGTAAGTGGCAATGTTATCAATTTATTATTTTCTTTCTTTGTATTTCCGTGGTTAAACATATTATTTTGTAGAGAAGAAGTTATTGTATTTCATTTACGTATTGGGCCTAATTAATTAAAAAAGACTTAATTAATTTGAAATAAAATAAAATATTTTTTATGGTTTTAATGGACATGAAAAATCCGAACTTCTTGAGTTTATCACATTTCCATTTAAGATAAAGCATCTAATACACCTGCTGCGGATGGAACTGAAAAGGGGTTATCATTTAACATTTTTCTGTGGAAAAAATTTGAACAAGAGCAGCAGATTGGCTAGGCCTGGGATAGGAATTAGAAACAATTAAAATCTTAATGCTCACCCAGAGACCCGTGGCTTAGTTGATTTGCTCCTAAGAATTGGTAGTGCCCACTGGATGCATCTATGAGAAAATGTTTACATCGTTCTGCTGCACGGTAACTGACTGCATAACCCCACACACGTTCCGAGACACGCACAAGGAAGCTCCCAACAGGAGCAGATTCCAAACGAAGCTCAGCTTCTTGACGAGTTATAAGTCCTAACAGAAAATAAAGTACATGAGCATCAGTGATGCCTTTAGGAAAAAATAGAAAACTTGAAGAAAAAAAAATTCATACCATGTGTAAGGAAATACAAAGTGATAAAAAATTTACTATATTAATGTCAACAAGTTAAATAATTATAATTTACAATAAATAGCAATGAAATATTGTAAAGCTTACCGTGAAACCAAGTGGCAACTAGATTCGTACCAGGAGCCAGACCAGCTCTTCGTGCAATTTCACTAGATCGAAACCACTGGACGACAGCCTCTGTACTTGGAGGCTTGGCAGTTGGAGTGGTTGTACCCAAGCTATTTGTAAGGCTTGGTAAACAAAAAAAAAGGAAAGAAAAAAGTTTATTAAAAATGTACACACAGAATCACACAATCATAGAAGAGTAGGTAATATTGAACAACGTAAAAAATGAATATTCATTATTTGTTTAAGCTTATGATTTAATTACTAATTTATTTATAGCACAATCGACAGCCAGGTAAACTTGATAATGTCTGGGATCATGAATAACAAACATTATGATCCATTACAATAACATTAATACCAATTATTTATGTATGATGGTTTATATATTTAGTGTGATATTAATCATTAAACCAGGAAGTAAAAACAAAAGAAAATTATGTTCATTTCACTGAACTTTTAAAGACCTTCTGATGTGTCAATTCTAAATTTTAACACTGAATTATATTTTGTGTAAAGTTGTTGAATTACAAGGTCAATTATGAGAAAGCATGATGTCCATGATGATGCCCGGATTGTACTTATTTTCCATTCATCAAATGCACTCTTTTTATAATTTTTAATAGTGAGTGAGTGAGTGAGTGAGTGAGTGAGTGAGTGAGTGAGTGAGTGAGTGAGTGAGTGAGTAAATGAAATAATGAACGAATGCTCTCGTGGCTCAGTCAGCCCACTGATGTTCGAAGATTGATGCCCGTAGAATCCCAATAGAACCTCATGTGAAATTTGTGACGACAAAACGAGTTTGCATGCTTCACAGAGGCTAGTCCAACCCCTGTGAAATGTCCTAAACCTTACCCAAATCGTAATTCCTACCCAATTCTGGCCACTGATTAGTGACGCAGGGGTGCGTAGTAGGAGGCACGTACGTGGAGATGCTACTTCACGGTCCTCTTGACAACTGAATGCGACGAGACATGATGGATATGTGGAAATATTAACGAAGGATTACTCCATTCTCCCTCACTCATATTAATGTAGGATTCCTCCATTGCATTGGTATGAAATGACGAACGAATGAATAAAATAACAAATAATGAATGAGTGAATGAATGGATGAATAAATGAATGAGTGAATGAAAGAATGAATGAACGAATAAACAAACAAATGAATGAATGAATGTATGAATGAGTGAATGAATGAACGTATGAATAAGTGAATACATTAATGAATAAATAAATATATTAATAAATAAATTTATGTCACTAATTTCCATTGCATGCAGAAACGGAAAGAAAACAAGATAGGTCTTCAAACAAAACACAATACATAATGCAAGAGAGGCATATTATTATCAGTACTGAGCCCATACAATAGAGTGCATCACTGCTTAGGGATAGATGGTCCATTTTAATTTCTTTCTTTTTTTTTTTAAATCCTGAAAAATTAATGGGCAAATATGGCCAACTCTACTCCAGTCTCCTCTACTCATTTGACCGACTATAGTCAAAAGTTAGCAAGCAAATTTGTTGGAAGTGTAGAACGTGTTTATACTTTTCAGGATAATTAGTAATTTAGTTTAGATTTTGAAAATGTTTATAAATATATATTGGGTATGATGCTACAAAATTATTGCCTTACCTGTTTGATGACTCACAGGAAGTAGGTGTAAGGGAGGGCTCAACCTCCATTGCCAACACTGATGTTCGCCTATGTTCTTCTCGTGCTCTGCGGGCTATTTCTCGAATTTGTTGTTCAGCTTCTTTTGCTTTACGTTCTATCAGAAAGCATTATAATAATTTACTCACATTTAACAATAATGTCTTCAATGTCCTTAAAGTTTATATTTAAAGTGAATCTAATTTCACTTTATTTTGTGTTTATTAATAGGACATTCACATTAATGGAACCTTCTAGAATCATCAAATCTAGGAATAATAGAATGAATTTGCTTTTATCCTCACTTTCAGTAAACTGAAAAAATAGTTTGTCTAGAACCACATTCATGGTTCTCAAATGCGAGGTCACAAAAAAAACCAAAAAAAACAAGTTAGCTAAAGATAAACTTCAGGAAATTCAGACCTTAGAGATTTTGCTAGATAGCAGTTGCACTCTTTTCATAATTTGCAATAGAGGTATGGTGCACATTGATGGGGGAATGAAGGGGCCCCCTTGCCCCCATCCAGAGAATTTAACATCTTATGAAAAAGTAGTAATTTGTCTCAGCCAGAGATAAAATTACTATATTTGTAGGTGTACCATCTATGATTTCCACTCTTTGGAATTAACAAAACAAGAAATACAAATCAAGAAAATTGGAACATTCCCAACCATATTTTTAGGATTCATTCAGAATTTGCATAGTGAAGATGGCCTTTGTTTCAATTGTCTTTCATCAAGTCATCCGAATCTCCCCTTGGAGCAAATGGCCAATTCATACCATGAAAAGAGGAGAGTCGGAGTTAAACATACCTTGTTCCCTCCAAGCCCTGTCTTCCTCTTCCTGCTGTAGTCTTTGCTCCTCTGCCTGTCGTGCTGAGATTTCTCGCCGCCTTCGCTGTGGCCTCTGGACATTGCGCTCCTCGGCCACCCTCCGTTCCCACAGTGCCACCCGCTGTGACACTTTCTCAGGCCTCTCCGGCTGAAAACAACACAAGGATTACCAGAAGGGAATGGAATTTATTGTAATAAAAAAGTAAAGCATGTACATATATATGTATTTATTTTTTACACAATATGTAAGAAAAAACAGAAAATGTGTAAAAAAAAATTAAAAAATATTGAATTTAAAATTCTTCTTGTGCATTTTACGAGGACAGAAAGTTGTCGATTGATCTTATCATGGATTTGGAGAGAATGAAAGAAAGTTCTTCCTCTATAGAAGTTAGTGTACAATAGTTTCTTTTGTCATATAAAATATGTTTGTTCTGTATACACTGTTTAAGAGGAGATGGTACTCAAATGAATAGTGTAGTAGCGGACTGTCAATGATGGAACCTGAATGTGGGGGAAGGGACATCCCTCCCCCGGCCTGCTCCAATAACACAACAAACCAATCAACTAAGTATATTAGTTCATTTTTTATTGCATTACTCATGTACTCTATGAAACATGAGCAAGAATGAAGTTGACATTACTTCTGCTTCACAGTTCATCTGCTCAACTTTGAACCTGTGTATGTGATTGTCAACAAGCAAGGGAAGGAGTAAGTTTGATGATTCATGAAGAAGGACTGATGGTCACAGAAGCTCATTGCATTTGCTTTGTAAGAAAGATGGTAGATTCAGTAACATGGCATATTGCAAACTCTCATCTGAAATGTTCAATTATGATGTATAAATATATTAAAATGTAACGAAATATGTAGTAATAGGTAAAATATGTAAAAATATATAAATACATTTAAATATTTAAAAATATGAAAAACAAAAATAGTTCTATTCCATTCATAATGCTTTAAAAAATATTTTTGAAATCTGCTATCTTGTTCCTGTAAATATATGTATTTACATGGAAATCTGTCCCCTCATTAATAGGAATTAAAAGAGAGGAAACTCAACTGTGTTATCTGGGAGAGTTTATTTTGGTTGGAAAGTGAAAGGAGATTCCTTCTATAAAGAGTAAGCAAGCACTATCTCTATTAAAATAAAATCTTTGAAATTTTGTTGGCAGATGAAAACTGCAACGAATTATATATACTTCTTAATAATTAATCGAGGATTGATTGTCCATTTCTTTCACATTTTCTGGCTTCCTTTTATTTCATCACAATCAATTTTATATACCACCCTTATAAGTCAGATTTGTCAGTTTCTCTCCCTTTCATAAAATAATTATTATATCATCAATGTAATGAACACTTCCTTTCCTTTATACATCAGAATATGATTTTATAAATATTTCTGTAATTCAATAAATTCTGGTGTTTTTTTTTTTTGCTATAATGCCATTTACAATTATATGCTCCAATAACCCTGTAATTGGGTTAACCTGCTGGATTTGTTGTAATATCTGATACAAAGATAGATATAATTAAAAAATTACAGGTGAATTTTATAATAATTACTGGAAAGAAAAATTAGAATTATTATATTATTATATTATAATATTATTATAGTATTATATTATTGTATTATTATAGTATTATATTATTATATTTACTCCAAGGAGACTCTCCTTGGAGTCGGTGGCGATTACAAAATTTTCCCTTACAGACATTCATAGGACTTCCATTAAAGAAAAAGTGGTTTATATTACAAAAATCATGAATGAATTAGATTTTCTATTTTAAAATCTTGACGATTTTATAGACACAAAGATAAAGATAAAACATACCGTATTGAGAGAAATTTCCTGAAGTGCTCCTCTTTTCTCTGGTGAGACATCATTGTTCTCTATTGCTACTCGCAACTCATCCACTGTGCAGTAAATGCTTTCCTCAACCTCCTGATTGTGACCATTAGTCATTATTCCAGCTTTTTCCGAGTGTTGCATTTCCTCATGTTGTTTCAACAACAATTCTTCATTACTTTGCTGTTCTAATGGAGGAGATTGAATCATTTCAATCTGTTCATTTCCTCCTATTTCAGTGGAGTCAAGAGCCTGCCAAAACTTCAATTATTAGTATTCAATGCATCTGAAGGTATTTACAAGATTTTGAAATAATTACAAAATTACATATTGATATTGAAATATTAATTTTACAAACATCTTTATTTAAATTACAATCACCTATTTTATCAATTTTTATCACAAAATTTTATCAATTAATCATTCTAAAATAAAATCTCCTTTCTTTGTTATATCTTGAATATTTCTTTTCCTTCTTTATACACATGTACCACACTACTTAATACTAAGTGATAATCAGACTGACAATAAAATACAAAATCATCGTTTCGCATTAATACATTTCAATGAACTTTTGGCATCAATAAATCTTACAAGAGTGGCTCCTACATTCCTCTACTCAACACTACATATAAATAAAATATGTTTCTGTTAATGATGTCCAAGGTAGGAATGCAAACTTTAGAAGCAATCAAATACACACCTCTTCTGCAGAGGTGCCATTCTGTTCTTGAGCAAGGATCTCGTCTATGGACAGATCGTCTGGATGTTCTCCCATCACCCACACCCAAGGCTCTCCATCTGCCCCCAACAGCCAGTCAACGTGCTTCGCACCTAATACCAATAAGTTCATTTTAAAAAAGAGATACAAATTTAAAAAACCCAGTGTTCTTGAGACATTTAAATATTACTCATGTCAATAAAATATTATGAAAAGTTTTTAACGGTAGCTCACACCACAAATCATCCTTGAATTTCCCTCTTCTGTAATTCCGTGAAGAGGGAGAAAAGAAAACTAAGAAGCAAGAACTGAGGCGAGTGGGATGAAAAGGGAAGTGTGTGAGAGAGAGGCAGAGCGAGGGAGACGTAGACAAGAGCGAGAGAGACGAGACAGAGCGAGGGAAAGACGAGACGAGAGCGAGGGAGAAGAGACAAGAGCGAGGGAGACGAGGCAGAGCGAGGGAGACGAGGCTAGAGCGAGGGAGACGAGACACGGAAGCGAGGAGACGAGACAGAGCGAGGGGAACGAGACAGAGCGAGGGAGACGAGACCGAGCGAGGCAGACGAGACAGAGCGAGGGAGACGAGACAGAGCGAGGGAGACGAGACAGAGCGAGGGAGACGAGACAGAGCGAGGGAGACGAGACAGAGCGATGGGAGACGAGACAGAGCGAGGGAGAACGAGACAGAGCGAGGAGAACGGAGACAGAGCGAGGAGAGAGAACAGAGCGAGGGAGACGAGACAGAGCGAGGGAGACGAGACAGAGCGAGGGAGACGAGTACAGAAGCGAGGGAGACGAGACAAGAGCGAGGGAGACGCGACAGAGGAGGGAGACAGACAGAGGCGAGGGAGACGAGACAGAGCGAGGGAGAAGCGAGAAGAAGTGAGGGAGACGAGACCGAGCGGGGAGACGAGACAGAGCGAGGGAGACGAGACAGGAGCGAGGGAGACCGAGACAGAGGCGAGGGAGAAACGAGACAGAGGGAGGGAGACGAGACAGAGTGAGGGAGACGAGACAGAGGAGGGAGACGAGACAGAGTGAGGGAGACGAGACAGTGAGGGAGACGAAGACAGAGCGAGGGAGACGAGACAGAGTGGAGGGAGACGGGGCGGGGTGGCCTGAAAGGGGGCCGGGGCGGGGCGTGTCCGGGACGTGTCGGGTGCGGGTCGGGTCCGGTCGGGTCGGGTCGGGTCGGGTCGGGTCGGGTCGGGTCCGGGTCGGGTTCGGGTCGGGTCGGGGTCGGGTTGCGGGTCGGGGGCGGGGCGGGCGGGGGCGTGGGCGGGGCCGGGGGTGGGGTGGGGTGGGGTGGGGTGGGGTGGGGCGGGGGGGTGGGGTTGGGGCGGGCGGGGTCGGCAAAACTGAAAAACCTGGGCACGCTGCCAGCCGCCATAACGGGGCGGGCCGCGTTAATGGTTCGCGCGGGTCGCTGGCTCTCGCGCTCCGTCCAGCGCCGCACCTGCTCCGCGCGCATGCGGCAGAAGAGCGCGTGGCGCTGCGCCTCGTCCAGCTCCGCCAGCAGCTCGGGGTCCACCCACAGGTCGCGCAGGATCTGGCGCAGCATCTCTCCGCTTGGGCCTGCGAACAAACGCATCGGTCACTCGCCGTTTTGGAAGCTCAGGCTTCCGCGGCCGGAGGCAGTAACTACTTGGTTGTCCGGGAGACACCGCGTCCTGGGCTCAGGTGCCAACGATTCTGCCGCCGTTCTGCGGCCTTCCTCAGGGCGAAATCTGAGAATGGCGGCTGAAACGACGGTACATGTACCTAGGTCGCGGCGTCACCCGGACAACCACGTGCCATTTCGTCCTGGGAAAGTCACAAAAGGGCGGCCGAAATGTTGGCATCTGTGCCTAGGACAAGGCGTTTCCCAGAAGCCAAATTGTTACATTCATTATTTTGTTTCCGGGTGCCTCAATTACCGACGTTATTTGCCCCGTAAGTGTAGTGCATTATATATCCCGTGGAGTGGTGGTTTGGCTTCCCCCGCTGGAACACAAGTTCCGTCGCCAATCGACGCGGCAACTTCTAGGGTTTCGCCTCCAGAGATCTCTCCCTAGCGGAGCACCGCGCTGGTTGGGACAAACTAAGTTCCCGATTGATCTCTCGACATGTAATACAGTTTAACTGAATGTGTGTGTGTGTGTGTGTGTGTGTGTGTGTGTGTGTGTGCACGAGGGGAGAGAAACGAATAAGGAAACGAAAGAATGGTTGCAGGCGGTACATAGCCCGTTTGTTCATGTACTGCTCCGGCGTTCGCCTGGTATTGATTGAAGAAACTATGAAAAATTACTAATGAAAGTGACGGGCCATTAGACTTTTCTCCTCCAGACAGAGCGTGACGTACGAAAAGCGTACTCCGAAATCCGCCACTGTCTAGATTCTAACCCCCGAATCTTCCGCTCAACGACGCTGCAGAGGCACAATATGCTGCCTCTGAGCCATGCCAGCGAACGCACGGAGCAATGAACTACCTATATTATTTCTTCAGAATAAATTTTACTAAACCTCTGGGACTTGTAAGAGAATCAAAGGTGATCACGTTTTGTCAATGAAGATTTCAAAAAATTCATTAACGATGTGCCGCATGGAACACTTACCCCTGGTTGGTATGCAACTACTCCTGCACTTGTGTTTGGCAGGCACGCGAAATGTTTTCGACTCTGTGAGAACGTGAACCTGCCAATCGCCGTACACCACCTTGTGGGCATATTGGGAGGAACCCACTCCGTTGAATTGCCATCTACAGGCTTCTCTTTCAACTGCATCAACGCTTCCTCTCTTCATTAACACGTTGTTCGTGTCACACATCGGCAAAAAAGGCAGGACGCTCTTGCCCCATCGTGAGCCAAGGCATGTTATCTAATTTGCGAGTGTTTCATTTAAAGTATTCTACGTATTTTACTGCTTTCCTTTTCTTTAGAAACATGCGCGATAGGAATCTGAACCCAGAAGTTTTCACATTGTTTATTCAAATCCTTCAATTACAGGATAAATTGATTCGAGTGAAAAAACACACATTGACCTACATGTGGTATTAACAAATGTTTCTTAAGTAGTTTCACTCAGACACGCATCATTACTGCACAGAAGTTTGTACGGAGAGGTTATTCAGGGACCGTTTTGACAGTTACTGCTGGACCACTGGTGGTAACATAACTGAGTTTATGTCCATGCAATCACTTTGTCAATGCGTTTGCTTACAGTTCATTTGTAAATGGCTTCAGCACATGATAATCTTTCTCCCACTACGTCACATACAGTTTTTACCGTTTTTTGTCTAAATAAATCTTAATCTAAATCACCATCTATTGCAATGTCATCGTCCAGCACGACGTTCATTTGTTTTTCCGACCTGTGAAAATAATCCTCTCTTTGGAAAATTTCTCTATACCAAATTTCTTCAGTACTATAACGCACGGACGGTTGTGTTTATGGTAAGAAGATTTAACGAGTCTAGTACGCTACATCAACGAAGAGGAAATGTTCTTTATTTAGATACAAATAAGAAAGGGGTAAATTATTGATTCGATGGAGCTGGGGAAGCGAATGGCTACAGTCATGTTTCGAACCTTCTTTATCACTGCTGCTTCGAGTTTAGGAAAGGTTTTTTCTATGCAAATGATGAAAATTCAATTCCTCTACCAATTTTTAACGAAGAACATTAAGAGCACGAACTGGTGAATATTTCTTACGTCCGAAATGACTCTTATCAGTATTTTCGTCAATTTGTTCGAGACAAAAAAAAATGAAAAAATGTTCCCTCAATTTACACAACCATTCCATCATCACCTATTGAGGACATGGATGTCTTCTTTATGCACAAAGAAAAACCTATTTAATGTGGGTCGTACTAACGAGTCTGAGCCAGAAACTAATGGCCATGATTTCAAAAACATCTGTGATGGCCGACACGCGCAGGCGGTGGCTGGGGCCATCGTTCGCGCTGGCTTCCTCCAATGGGCAAATGTCACGGACGTCTCCATGATGTGCCCGAGATTTAGTTAGTAGACTCATTCTCAGCATAATTCTCCAAAATAAACTACTATAATTCGGGATAAAATGCTTAATTTCTATGATTGAATACAAACGAGAGAATTTACTTACCGTTATGCATTCGTAAAGTTAGTCTTTTCTGAAGACATCTGAAGAAGGTGACTGTCATTATGAAAAAAAGTCTTCTCCTTAGACAGCCACCAGTAAAAGCAGTTACTTTTAGGGCAAGAACAGTTGCAAAAGTGAGAAGCTCCAATGTTCAGAATGTGTAAATGTAAAATAGCGAGTGCAATAAAGGAAACAAGATACTTTCGCCTGATCGCATTAGCTCCTATTGATCTTATTGAAACATAGTACCCTATTAAGAAATTTTGTATACTTGAATTAAAATAAGAGGGAAGCCATTAAAAATAGTGTATTATACGTGGTAAAAGTTATTTTATTTTGCTCTTACTATTGTGCCCCTCGACCTATCGGCCTCATCTCTCCTTTCCTACTCCAAAAAATAAAATGCCACTTTTACCACTCGTATTATAAATAGCTATTTGGCTGTAAAATGGCGAACGAAAATGGTTGTTTGTTTGGACGATAGAGTAGCTTTGGAACAAATAATGATGCGTAAGAGAAGCATTTTTACATGAGAATAAAAACAATTTTGTTTACATTTCGTGAGCGAAATGTTTCTTTCTGCAACGACCGCATTTGATTTTTACTCGACCTGTCTGTCTCGGCAAAAAACAACTACAACTACAACAACAGAATCTTGATCATACAAAAGGTATACAATTATTTCACGCAATTAACACAAAAAGATAAAAAACGATTCGTTCAAAACTACATTAAATGATGACTACAGAGTTTTTCGTGAAAATTGTACTTTCAATAGAAACTTCTTAAAATGATTTTAACCCATTAGAGACCAACGTAATTTTGTGCAATTTGTGCTCACTAATTATCACGACTGTGCATACACAGCACTTATTGGAGCCCTCTGATAGCATGAATTTGCAATTTTTAATTCTAACCCATAGTAATGTTGCTAAATTGTACTACTAGACAGTTTCAATGTGCCAAAAGCTGGTTATAAGAGCATTCTTTTCTAGAAGAACTTGCAAAACTGGTAAATCTTAGCTGCCATATGCTCCATCAACTTTGGTGCGGACCAACCATCGTTCGTGCGTTATTTTTGTGGGAGGTTGTGTAATGTTTGTGGGCGTATTCTTTGCCAGTGCAATGCTGAAAGTTTTTTCCAATTTAATTTTTTTCCAATATTTCCAAAAACGGAATGATGATTTTACATTTATCGCAGAATTGTAATATTATTATTTGTGATTAATCAATATTAATTAATTGTAACACGAACGTATTGTGTTAGTTACGTAATGCTTTGTAAGAATATACAAAAAAAGAAACTCCGAGAATTTTACTCATAATCTCGAGAGAGTAAACTTGCGACTATGCTACCTGCAGACTTGCACTGGTGGCGAGTACTTTCTCTCTTCCTAAAAAAAAAGCCTATTCATAAAGTGCGTGCAGAGTCACAATGCATGTTGCAAGTACGCTCGTGGGCAGTAAAAGTACCATCTTTCATTTCCGTAATTCAAAACTTCAAAGACATTCAAACATGGATAATCGCCTGGTCTGCATAGGGCCAGATAGTGGGGAACGAATTTTTAGGCAAATACACGCTTAACCCCGCCGAACAAAGAGATACGAAATTAATTTTACGTAAACATTTCATGACTTTGCGATATAAAAACAATATTCACGGTCAGAGCCGGATTAATTACTAAAATTATCAAACGATAGGCCCCCGTACTGATATTGACGTACTAAACATAAGTTATTAAATTTAACTCTTACTTAAGAAAATAAAACCCTTACATAACTATTTTGTATCAAGATAGTTAAAATATCACTTTCTTAAAAAAAACATTGGGACATCCGACCTATATTACTAATAGCTAGTGATGGTAGAATGTAGTACTTTAAATTTCATAAAATCTCATTTTGGAAACTACGCTATAACAATAAAAATTAAATTTTTGCATTTTGTAGCATTTGTTAAGAAAATTATTATTAAGCGAGGTTTCAGAGATAAAAAAAATATTTTCATGCTTTTTAGATTTCCCCATTAAAACGAGGAATTAAGGGAAACCAATTTAATATTTCACCATTTGTGAACTTCAACAAATTAAGAGGTAATTTTAAGAAGTAATTTTAAATCCTTAGAATGAATCGTGCCTTGTATATAACTACTGGCTTGTGAAAAACACTATTCAAAGGAGAGGAAAAGGATTGCCTTGCAATTTGTAAATACTTATAAAAACAACATTATCTTAAATGGTCATGTGTTCTGTTAAATGAAATCAATTTATATAAATAACTATTATCAATATTATAACACAATCAATGGAAAATTAACTGAGAACATATCTCAAAGTTGGCTTCCTTTACTCTATTTTTTCTGCCAGTAACAATGAAACTATATTGACTGAACCATCGTTCACTTTCTACGCTGTTGACCACTATCAAATTAAATGTTTTCAAACATCGATGTGCTGTTGTCGA